GTCAGGCATTAACTTATCTGTTTACTGTCTTTTTAGCAAAGCAAAGAAAACCGACATTCCTTTCAAAAGGATTCCGCTTGCAAAGTTAAAGCCATTAAATGTTTTTATTGAAAACTACGAAGAGCATAAGCTTGGTTTTGCTACAGAGGTGATATTTTAGGATATGTTTAGAACTCACAGAGGAGCGATTCTTTGTAAAATATTTGCGCAGAGCTTTAGCGGGGTGCTCTGAACAATCAATGTACCTACAGTTGTTAAAAATCCGGTTTTTAAGCTGTTCTCTATCCGAACCTCAAAATTTAAAGAAAACTGATTCTAGAACATGACCCCGTTTCCAAAATCTTTGACTGCATCACCCTCCCTCCCCCAGAGACGGGTGTTAAATGAAGTTAAGCGTAGGTCTCTGGGAATGCCTCCCGACCACACCCTTTTTTATTATAGAATCATTTCGTTGTTTTTACTTAAAGTCTAAAAGGCAGCATTTTCAATATCAGGATATGCTTTCCCAATAATTTTATTTGCTTGCAAAAGTATTACATTGAAATTTATTTCCCCCCCTTTGCACATTCAATGACTCCAATAGTCAAGCCTTGAGAAACGGGGTCAATTGAGTAATTTGTAATTTGAAGTTAAATGTCTTTATATAATGAATAGTCAATTCCTTATCTCCTTTCCGAAGCTCAACTTCCAACCTGCAGCAACTTCGCAAAATTAATCTGATGGCAGCTCCCTTCTCTGAAATGAAAAAGGCAAAACTTCAAACACTTCAAAATTTGGTTGAAACGTGTTTTCTAAGAAATAAATTTGTTTGCTTATTCTGAAGCAATTTTTATGCTACCTCTGATGTTATTAATATTGGCCGACAAATTGTATAACTAAAGCGACTACGTGCATGGATTTTGGTTGGGAGAAGGGGGTGGCGAAGGGTAAAAGGGCAGTAGTTCTCACGAATTGAAAAAATTCACAGCTATTCAACTTAACCGATCACGGGCTACCGAGAAAAGTTCAATTCAATGGCAATTCATTTCAATGACAATTCAATTCAATGAGAATTCAATTCAATTATAATTTAATTCAACGACAGTTCAATGAAAGTTCAATCCACGTTTTCTCATTCGCACGTACATGCACACTGCACAGATTCCATTCAGAACAGCTGAAGATCTAATGCATGAAACGCAAATAGCTAGGTAAAAGAGAATAATTCTTTAAGATAATCAAATCCAACTATTGATATGATTTTCGTAAAGACCAGCAGCCAATTTTTGCATAGAGGGGGGTATGATTGAAATTTTGCATCTTCAGTGTACTACTGAACTGATAATCTCGATAAAATCAACTGAATTGCGAATAAGATTCTTTCATTGGCTGTACGATATTCTCATCCTTTCAGTTTTCACTTCTAGTCTATAGAAAATTGAAGTCCTTCTTTGCATCTTTTGGTATGTTTTGTGCCTCGCAGCATGCCGGATAGAGAATTTTCGAACACAAATCGTTCTCATCAGCTTGCAAGCTATCTTTGCATTGAATTTTCAATCATGTATTATTTTCCTTTCATTCGGAAAAAAATGAATTATTTGGCAATGTTGATAAGATTTGTTTGGGTTTGGAGGTTTTAGCGATTGTCGTGGCAGTGGGATTTTAAAGTCTCTTCTTTTAAGCTTGCGGTATTTGACAATGTCTTCTTAAAGAACAGAGAAAGCTATCTTCAACGATTTAAGAATCACCACTGGGCCTTGTACAGTATTCATTATTCATACGAATGAATAGGTTTATGCAATGTAGTTCTTTAAACAACATCAAAATGCACTCAACGCTCATTAACTTAGCCAATCGTGCCACATTTGTAATATCACCATAACGAAATTGTCATTAAAGTCTAAATGAAACTGAAATGATTACACTGATTAGAAGTGTAGACAGTATAATGTATGTTCTCTTTGTGAATGAAGAATCTCAAGCCATTAGATTCAAGCAATTTTCAGTTATTTTTCAGTTTGCGTGACTCGTATCACCTGGCTCTTTTCCAAGGCCATTCTTCTGCGAACAGAAGTAACTTTGTGTAATATTTTGATAGGTAAGATGTACCCTTGGCCTTGTTACTGGCAAAATCATGGAGCACAGGCGGCTACCCCCCCCCCCCTCCCAACTACCCACCGACGCTATACCCTACAATCTTGGCAAAAAATTCCTAAGACTTTTGAACAGGCCGGTTTCTAGCTATTGGGCTCAGGGGTGGTGTTTTCATGTTCAATTTGCCGAGTCATCCTGTCGTTGCCGCCAAGTTTGGAAATTTGCCGACTAAGCGTCCCTAGATAGCGAAAAACTCCTCGTTTTTGCAATGGAAATATTTTTCATTCGGGGTATCACGCCTCAAGCACCCCTCTATAGCGATAGGCATGCTGAATAAGAAATGAAAACAAGTGCCTTTTCTTTTTATCATACACTCTGGTGACTTAACTTACTCTCCCGGTGGACAATATAAAGAAGTTGGTTACAGATTAAGGGGGCAGACAGGTGCAACAACTCCCATCCCAACATTAATTTGGATGGTAGTGGGGGGTTGAATATTGTGTAATTAGCTTGGTTTGGTCTTCTGTGATTTAAGCATGTCACAAAACAGCTTTAAAATCTTAGTTACAGTTGAATTTCGTTGAGTCGTACCGGGATGATAACTCGGATTTTTATTTAGTCAGGCTAATTTTCAGTTCGTATTGGATTTAACTACCTTGTTCAAGTCAAAAATCACTCCGGATAATTTCGATATTTGCTCAGTCGGATCATTTCCTTAACCCCCACCCCTCTGAAATTCTGCTTTAAAGCCCCGGTCAAACGCATCCAACATTTCATCTAACATTTATTCCCAAAAAATTAGAAAGTTCATTGATGAGTGGTGGGTGGGTGTAAGCCGGTAGTCAAACGCACCCAACATTTCACCCAACATTTCATCCAACATTTCCATCACCGTGCATCGTCTGCGCAGCGACATGTTTGCAGCACTGATTCACAGATGATAAAAAGGCACTTAAAACAAAAGTGAATAATGATAGCTGATTTCAAAAACAACACGTTGAAACGTATAGCTTCCCGTTAGGCCTACGCCTAAATCTAGATCGCCATCGCTGCTGTAAGTCACAGTCACATCAACATGTGACTCTCCACGTCAGTGCTACGCTCGCCCTAATCCGCCACTCTTTCCTCAGCTATTATTTGCTAGATACTTTCATTATGCTTTTACTTTCCATTTTTTACTCGATAACTTTGAAAAAGTTGCTCACAAATCAATCTCGATTCACCTCGGCTCAAGTGGCAATAAAAAAGTTCGAATTCTACTCTAGCTATCATATGTCAAATAGATTCGGTACATGCATCATTAAAACTTCGCTTAAATCTGATACATATTTATGGCTCAAACTGAGCCAACTCGTAAGATGGTCTCTACGCATATACGACCTTTTCCCATACTCAAGGCCATAGCACATTGTACCACCTTGATTAAGGAAAATCCCACAACGTTGTATTGCCTCGATTACATTCAAATTATAACGCATGTGAGTACTTTTCCGTGAGAACATTCAAATGTCTCGATTAAATCTGTGATTCTCACCGTTACGAGAATCTTGTCTCAGTATCAAATCGCGTGGGGCATACATAAAAAATAATGCTATTAATTATTAAGAAATATAAAACACTAAATAAAAATGGATTTCGGCATTATAATTTAAGAAAAAATGAAGTCCTTGCGTCATTAAAGCATACTTCTGGCTTATTATTCCCAGTATTAAGTATAATCTTCCTATCAAAACCACTTGAATTCAAACGAAATACATATCTTTTGAATACTAACGAGTCTTCAGTGATGGGTGGGGCATTTGAGATTGCTAACATTTGGTTGCTTAACAGTGGAAAACCTAGGATTTGCGGTTAAAGATCTGAAACATTTTCAGAAATTTGATGCAGATGTAGTCATAAGCCCCAATCTTGCATTGATTAATTCTTTGAAGAACTGCCATGTTTTATGAATGGTTGCGGAATTTATAGATGAGAATAATATAGAACTTATCCTCTACGACAATAAGCCTCATGAAAAATTTACTGCTTTTTATAAAAGCTTCTTTAAACCTTTGAAGTAAACAAAGATTTAGCAAGCTCTAATAAATGTAAAACATGTTTCATATCAGACCTTTGAACTTTTCTCTAGAATCTTTTGGCTTGGGTTTTGTCAGAGAATAGAAAGAGGGGCTGGGGGTACATTATAGGTGAGAGAAGATAGATAATATTCCCCTTACAACTTGGCTGTCACTGCCACGCTCTCTAAATCTATGGAGACGTAACGGGACGATCCACAGGAAACTGACGCTCCACGTTTCACGGTACGATTTATCGGTCGTAATTTTGTCCACAATGTGACTCCATATAGGTCATCTGTGCCTGACACGCCTTTGCTTGTCGCTATAAGGCATCCAGTGTAGCACAGGTTTCACTATAACATTGTTGCTGCATTTATTTCTAACAAACCTTTTGTTTTCTTACTCGATAAAGTAGACAGTAAAAATATTCGCCAACTAGAAATCTTGAAGATAAAATTCCTTTGGGGATATATGTCTCAGACACCCTTTTTGTTCCATACATTGTCGCTTCAAGATTTCTGTAAGCAGATTGGTACACAATCTTTCTGTAGTGAGGCAGAATACAAACCGTCTTACCGGAAAACTATGTCTCCATCATAATACCTGATCCTTTTTGGCATTTCTCAACCATTTTGTCTTCTCAGGGTTTCCTACAGCTCTGTGTTAGCTAGATCCACTTTTCCACTTTTAGTTTCTTTTTCTCGCTCAGTCATAGATCTTTCCTCTTTTTTCTGCCATTTCTTCTGTTGTCAATCGTCGTCTCATTTACTGTAAGCACTATTCATGTGAAATGATATCTTGATGTTTTGTTAGCGCATTTCTATTCTTATTTATAAATTAAATTCTTAGAATAGCCGTTTTGTGTCGTAGGAAATGGTGCGAAAATATATATCAGTCCGTGAAGTCAAATATAATGGCTGAAAAAGAAGGTTAGAAGTTTCTTCTTCTTATGCAATAAATGTTATTGATTCTTGATGTTGTATCACGTGATGAAAGACAAAGATACTAGACACATCCACATTCTTTATATGAGTTGAATCAAGGTGACGTACAATATTAAGGGATTTGTATAACGTATTCGAGTATGAATGCACATTCTCTACCCTGACTAAACAACACATGTTGGAATTCCATGTGGATCTTGGAGATTGATGCAAGCTAGAAAGTACAATAGGCTGCAATAGACCTTTTAAACCTGATACTTGATGAATATTGTGGAACTTTGAAAGTTCAAAGAGCTTAGGAAACGTTCCCAGTCATCTTTTGAGGTTTCATATGCATGGTCATCTAAGTTCTGAAGAACCGTTCCTCTTTATAAAATATTGTGCCCGTCCAACTGTGTTCCTACCACCCCCAGACTTTAATGCTACTTAATGGTAGCTCTGAACAATGCTCTTCGTTGGCCAATCCATTTATAAACTGACAATGGCAGTTAGATCTTATGCCCCGAAAGGCTTATGATGTCCGATCACCTATCTTTCCAGTAATTACTGGTTGGATAGCTAAATCAGCAGAGTCCTGAAAAGTTGTAACCTTCCGGCCAAGAAAACCTTACTACAAAAATCTCATTTTCAATGGGTTTATAATGGGTGTACTAAGAAAACGTGTTGCTTAACTAGTCTTGATCGCCTCTCCTGACAACTCTGTTTTTTCAAAACTTTTCTAGAAATTTGTAGCTTTTTTTTAATAACATATTTTTTCAGAAACCGATGTAAAGTAAAATGCTTATGTTGATTAATAACAAAATCGTGCTATTATTCAAATATAAAAGTTATAAAAAGTCACTGCCTACATTTTACAGAGCAAAGCAGTTTCATATTTAGAAAGCAGCACTGTAAGCGTATTCATGTTAAAAAATTACAAAATGAAACAATTATTGAAACCATGTACAGAGCGTAAAGAAAGGGAAGAGGAGGCCACGTCTCTAGCCATGTATACAGATTTATTAACGTCTTTACTTACTAAAGAAATAAAGCTCATTACCACATGTTTTGTAGAAGACAAATCGCTTAAACCGATCAAAGCTATTGACGATGGAGAATATTTGGCAATAGACGAATTTGAAAAGCATTCCAAGCATTTTTTGTCATCATTGAATGAAGATGGGAGTCTTGAGGGGAAGTATGAAGTTATCTCCAAAGTAAGCCTTTTGAATCTATTTATTTCTACTGTATCCCTTATTTTTCACGCAAGCAAGTTGCCAATGAGGTTGAATAATTATATATAGTACAATATAATGTAGCGATATAAGTTGAAGTTAAAGGTGATGTGTCCAGCTATAGCAAGCGACTCTGCGGGGTTTTTTAGAAACATGTGATTTTTCATGTCATCGCCCCAGTCATTACGGTCGTTCTGTTTATTTATCCTGCTGCGAGGTCACCTTTTCATGTGGGCAGTTTTGCATCGCAAGAATACTAACCAATCGCAAACTGTTATTTTGATGGGTGGCTTGACAAGTTGGGTATACGCAGTCATTTTATATGGACACATTACCTTTAAGGTGAGAGAAACTTAAAGGCGAATTTTAAAAAGCGACGTTTCCAGCGAAGCCTGTTATCAAGTCAATATATTATTGGTGTTTCCCAAACTGTGAAGACTACACAAGACTCATTTCTTCGATTGTTTTTAGCTTTTTGTAACAGCGAGGATGAATTTTTAATCTCATTGTTTTTGTTTATAGGACTTAATAAAGCTTGTTGTGAGTCAAGGTAAGATTGAGTTTTTATTGATAAATATTTTGATTTAGAAAGTTTATCAAATCAACTTATTCGTAGGAATTAATAAAGCTGGTTGCGAGTCCAAGTAAAATTAAGTTTTTATTGATAAATATTTTGATTTAGAAAGTTTATCAAATCAACTTTAAAAACTAAATAAAAATAGAGCTTTTTCGGCTGTTAAATTTTTGTGAGGTCAGAAGGTTTATTTGGACACCCTTTTGTTAAGTTTGGAGTTTAACAAATTAGAATATTTCCCTTGAAAAGTTGGCTTCAGCTGTTGATAGAAATCATTTTATGTTTTTGAAAAAGGGTTCCCTTCTTTCAACGATTTGTATTTGCTAGAATTTTGACTCAATCTTTCATTGCTTCTTTGATTGATTTTTCTATTAGTCGTTCCCAGAGTTCATGACCCGTCTCCTACAATCAATCTAAGTATAAAGAAGCATACCGATAGTTCATTAAAGCTTCAATTTTATTACACACTTCTTTATTGCAATAGATCTAAAGCTATTTCAGTTCAAGTTTTAAGAACTAGTTAAGTGTAATAATAGCTAGGTTCCAATTTAATCTCCAGTTGACATTTTAATTATCTTGATTTTTTGCACAAACAAGAATGCTTCTAAGATGTTTTCATGATTAAGCAAGACAGCTGGAAAATTGTGACTTTTTTCGACTCTTGCAAAATTTAAATGTTTTTTTGACTTAGGATGATTTAAGAATGATATTATCAAAATTTTTTCAAGAATAATTATTTTCGGCAAAATAAAGAATCCGTGAAAAAAGTGATGTAAAGTAGTTTTTGGCTGTCTGTCACAATGTGCTCGATGCCGTTTAGGCAAAACTTACATGTCACGTATACATGTCATGATATTCTATACATGACGTTTAGGCATAAATGTCATTGAATGTCATTAAATATCATTGAATGTATAGAACAGAACTCAGAACTGTCCTAAATTGTGACTTATAACCGTCCTGTTCTATGAACCGAAGCTTATAAAAGTGTTTATATCAAATAAGAATAATGATCTGAGCATAGATTTTTTGTTTTATATCGAATCCTATGCCTTCTAGGAATCTATGATGGAAGATTCCGTACAACACTTAAGACATTCACAAGCGCACTAGAGGTCGATTGGGAGGAGATTGATCACTTCGAGCAATCACTTGTGGAAGAGCTAGTTAAAATACGATCGGATGAAGAACAAAGGTAATATAATGTTTTACTATGAATGACTAAAATAGAAGATAACTAAAATCTAAATTTTAATGTTTGACCAGTTGATGTTTCCGATTATCGCCAGATTGCTGATTGTTGTTATTATCAATTTAACACATGGTATGATTGATCATAAACAAAGTCGATTTGGTGTTGGATTCAATAATCCATTAAGCTGATGTTAGATTCGATCACTTATCAATCCAATGCTAGATTCAATTACCGGTCAATCTAATGGTACGTTTGATTCGATCTCCTGTTAGTCTAACGTTTGATTCGATCACCTGTCAATCTAATGTTTGATTAAATTGCCGGTCAATCTAATGGTATGTTTGATTCGATCTCCTGTTAGTCTAACGTTGGATTCGATCACCTGTCAATCTAATGTTAGATTCAATTACCGGTCAATCTAATTGTACGTTTGATTATCTGTAGATTCTTAGGCCTTTCTGGATTTTAAGACCAGTAACTTAGTCAGCCTCCTTGTATTAAGTGCGTTTACAGTAACAACTTGCATAAAAGAGCTGGTGCTTTTCTGGAACAGGCTGAAATTTTCCCTATCCTTTTAAATAGTAGCTGGCTCATATATTGGATTTACTTGTTGGCTAAAATTTCTCGTTAGGTTCATAAACTTCCTTTTTTCATTTGTGTTGGCTGTTGTTCCATCTGCCTCTTCTTAGCCTTTATTGCGAATTTGATTACCTTCAGTCTAGTGACATCTTAGACATAACTGTTAAGCTAGTTTCATAATCTTCTTTGAAATGCCTGTGAGATAAGATGATTCGGAAGTTTGCATAGCTACTAAACTGACTGACCTATTTAGTAGTCAAAGAATCTTTTGAGAATTAATGATTGATACTTGACTATGATGAGCTGCAGTCAACAAATTAGGCTAGGTCACCAGCCACAACACTACATCAGATTGCTCAAAGTCTCTTACTGTTTTTTCAGAGAAAAGAGACGACAGACAGAACAACAGAAAAGAAATTTGAAAAGAGCTTTTGTGATTGGCCTAACTGCTGTTGGTGGTGGAGCTATTTTGGGTACAATTTAAATAATTTGTTTCCTTTACATATTGTTATCAAATTGACTAAAAGCCTTGCGATGTTGAATTAGCTTGAGAAAAGTTAAAAATTTTTGTCCTGCTAAGGCGACAGGAGTCAGACTGCTCTATAACTAGCTCTTCAAAGATTAAGTTTTCCCTAGTTCTTCGAAGGTATAGTTTTTCAAGGTCCCCCTAAATGGCGATAAATACACCTTTTTCAGTACAACTTGATTTGATTAAATTGAAGCCATATGTTTTCAAAATGTTGATGAGAGATAAATCAATAATTTTCTCAGCCTTTTAGCTGATCTCAAAGCCTTTTTCATGGATTATCTCATAGTTCGTTTATCAGAATACCTGGAAGCTTTTAAAGCATTTTAGAATGGGGGTTGGATTTGGGAGATTAACAGATTATCAAATCTAGTGAATCTAATTAACGGCGTATATATTTTCTAGTTCGCTGATTTTGCGCTTTAACTAGAGTTTCAATGGCTTCGACTGTTTGCTATAAAATATTGATGACGCAATTAAATTTAATCTGATTACAAGGAAGTTCATGTAGAGAAGTTAATAGCACTTTCTGTGTCTGCTTTGTTGGTTTGCCACTGGATGTTGTAGTAGATAATCATTTGGTAGATTTTCAAGATGGTAAAAGTGGTTACAAATACAGTTAAAGATGTGGAAGCTACTGTATTTTTCGGGATTATCTGTTACAGGGAGGTTGTGAGTTGTAGGGAGATGTCGGTTGTAGGAAAAAGTCAGTTGTAGGGAGAAGTCAGTTGTAAGGAGATGTCAGTTGTAGGGAGATGTCAGTTGTAGAATGTTGTCAGGTGTTGGAAGACGTCAGTTGTATGGAGATGTCAGTTGTAGGGAGATGTCAGTTGTAGGGAGATGTCAGTTGTAGGGAGATGTCAGTTGTAGGGAGATGTCAGTTGCAGCGAGATGTCAGTTGTAGGGAGATGTCAGTTGTAGGGAGATGTCAGTTGTAGGGAGATGTCAGTTGTAAAATGTTGTGAGGTGTAGGGAGAGGTCAGTTGTAGGGAGATGTCAGTTGTAGGGAGATGTCAGGTGTAGGGAGATGTCAGTTGTAGAATGTTGTCAGGTGTTGGAAGATGTCAGTTGTATGGAGATGTCAGTTGTAGGGAGATGTCAGTTGTAGGGAGATGTCAGTTGTAGAATGTTGTCAGGTGTTGGAAGACGTCAGTTGTATGGAGATGTCAGTTGTAGGGAGCTGTCAGTTGTAGGGAGATGTCAGTTGTAGGGAGATGTCAGTTGTAGGGAGATGTCAGTTGCAGCGAGATGTCAGTTGTAGGGAGATGTCAGTTGTAGGGAGATGTCAGTTGTAGGGAGATGTCAGTTGTAAAATGTTGTGAGGTGTAGGGAGAGGTCAGTTGTAGGGAGATGTCAGTTGTAGGGAGATGTCAGGTGTAGGAAGATGTCAGTTGTAGAATGTTGTCAGGTGTTGGAAGATGTCAGTTGTATGGAGATGTCAGTTGTAGGGAGATGTCAGTTGTAGGGAGATGTCAGTTGTAGGGAGATGTCAGTTGTAGGGAGATGTCAGTTGTAGGGAGATGTCAGTTGCAGCGAGATGTCAGTTGTAGGGAGATGTCAGGTGTAGGGAGATGTCAGTTGTAGAGTGTTGTCAGGTGTTGGAAGATGTCAGTTGTATGGAGATGTCAGTTGTAGGGAGATGTCAGTTGTAGGGAGATGTCAGTTGTAGGGAGATGTCAGTTGTAGGGAGATGTCAGTTGTAGGGAGATGTCAGTTGTAGGGAGATGTCAGTTGTAGGGAGATGTCAGTTGTAGGGAGATGTCAATTGTAGGGAGAGGTCAGTTGTAGGGAGATGTCAGTTGTAGGGAGATGTCAGTTGTCTGTTGTAAGAAGGTTTTTATTTAAGGGAAATGTCCATTTTAGGGCAAGTAGATGTCCGTTGTAGAGAGATATTCATCGTTGGAAGAAGTTCATCATAAGGAGATGTCTGTTGAAGGGAAATATCAGAAAGATGCATGAAGAATATATTTTGAAGCAAAATTATTTGGCTGTTTTTTTGTATTGTCTGTTACAGGATTTGTCCGTTTTTAGAGGTATCCATTTTGGAAGGTGTCCATTTTAAAAAGTATCCGTTAATTCATGCTGCTTGAAAGGTTACGGAAGAAATTAATGTGCTGCTTTAGATATTTCAGAAAGCCTTGAACGAGAGTCCTGAACGAGAGCCCATCGGCATAGATATTAAATTCGACACAAGTTACGTCAAATTTACTTCTTTGCGACTTTTTCATTGAACACGTGATTAGATAAATTTAGAAGAGGTAATATGACCAAGCGGTAAAACCTCTTATACTGGGATTCGCTGGAACTCATGTTTAACTCTCTATTTTGACGCTATATTTGTATTTGATCCAACCCAGCTTCCGAAGGTTGTTTTTGGACACCTGGAAGCTATGATTATCGAGCGGTGTACGGGTCATTCCTCTCGGTGTGACGACACATTTTGATTCTAGTTGTCTTTAAAATCCTGCTGTCTTTACACTTTCTCTTTAACCTTATCCAGTGATGGGGCTGCGATGGCCCTCCTGGTGTGGGCAGTCCTCTCTCACTCTTCAGGTCCTTTGCACTTTACGATGGAACTGCGATGGCTCTCCTGTGTAATCGGTAAAAAAAGGGGCAGTGCGGGTGAATGACTCGGCCTTGGGTGATGGCTTGAAAGCACCACCCGATAGCTCTGGCAGAGCACCTGACGTATAAAGTCAGGGGTTGTGAGTTCGAGCCTCGCTCGGGTCTGTTATTTTCCCGCACTCTCTATTACATTGTCATTCCTGCGCCTTGGACTATAGACAGCCATGGTAACTCTCTTCTCTTCAAATAAAAATTTGGTCATGTCACTGACTCGAACCACAGCCGCTTGGATCTGTTTTCAGCGACGCTAACCACCGAGCCACTCGCATGCTTGTCTGCCTGTCCATCTAGCAGCAGATATGTATTAAGTGGCAACACTCTGGAGGCTAAATTAAGAAAGACAGTAATCATAATCTAAGTCATCATATTTTTAGCTCAGGATAAGTTTTCTTTAACGCCGTCTACCCTACTCACATAATAATGCAATGATTGTTTAATATCGTCGTATTTGTGTTCATAGCGTTATCAGCTGGCCTAGCCGCTCCTTTGATCGGTGCAGGGGCGGTTGCAGTCCTCGGCAGTGGATCAGCTGCAATTTTCACTGGTGCATCTGGCTTGGCAGTTATTACGTCAATATTTGGAGCAGCTGGTGCTAGTTTAGCCGGTAAGCTCATTCGCTTTTTGTATCCAGTTCAGTTTTTATTGCAAATTCCACGTTCGTTTGTTCCAAGTAAACAGTTATCCACTACAAGTAAGTTTACATAAGTATGCTCAATGTAAAAGGTATTCTAATCATATAAACATTTCAGGAAAGGAATTCACTTAAATAAACAAATACACTCTAGAGAAACAAGCTACCTTGCAGCTGATTGTCCAGTACCTTCGTAAAGGATGACGATCAAAATTACAAGCTATTATTACCTTAGTTCAAGTTATGAAAAGACGAGATTTCCAATGAGTACGAATTGGTACGAAATCCTGTTTTTATTAGAAAAGCTGGATGATTTATTAGAAAAGCTGGATAATTTTTATTAGAAAAGAATTTTTCGTCCATTTTTTGTTTGAAAGATGTTTTAAAGATTTAATTGACCTTAATTATAAACTTTGTTTTTATGCCTGGAAGAGGCATTTTAGAATTAAAGGTGAAAAATTTCTGTTCAGATTACCTCTTTAGCATTTTAGAACTATAAACGAATAAAGAAGGATTTCGCCTATAAAGAGCAAGGAACTAGGAGAAACTACCATATAACCCGAAAGCGTATCATATATACCCATAACATTTATGTGAAACAGAATATGCCAAAAATCCTATGATAAGTTTCCCATGTGCACTTGCAATTGTGGGACAGTTCTCTTTAGCCAATAATGCGTGGATGTAATCACCGTCTTCAGTTCATACATGCTGGTTTCAATATTTGCTTGAGTAGGAGACATTAAACAAGGCTTAATCGGAGTTGCATTTATCTTCACTCAGTAGTCTCTTTATCTACTTTAGATGGAAATTAGAGTTTCTGTTATCGGCTTCTGTCGTGTGCGATTAATCGAAAAAGTTTCTGCTTTTTTCTCTCAAACTTCTCAAACCATAGCAACCTAAAGCTCTGATGCTCTGAATATAGGCGAAAGATATTTCGTTATTTCTCTACTGAATGAAGCTGAACAGGCTCAATTTTGAAAAATCCGATATAACTGCCATCTTAGACGTTCAGATTTCGTCGAATTCAATCATTCTTATAGCGTAATCCGACTTTCACCCAACTTAACATGCTTTCAGTTTTCAGGATTGATTTGGCTAATTGATTGAAAATTAATCTCAGCAGAAGGAACCAGGATTGCTTATTATCTCTGGACTTAGCTCAGCAATGAATGACCACTGTAAGACTCAATCTGAATGCATGAATAAGAGATTCATGAATTTTTGGTTGCGTCTAGGTCTGACACTCGGCTAAGGAATATAAAAACTGCTATTTACCAAGTAGGTATGTGCAGCAAAAATTGTCTAGCACATTAAGATGTATCTCCGATTTCGAAATTTTACTATGAAGATATCAAAATCACTCTGTTTGAAGTTAATCAACGAAATTTGAATATTTATGGTGATAAAACAAAGATTTAGTTTGATTAGAAGCCCATCCATCTATCTCTTTTTAAGTACCGTTTCCTCTTAGGACGTACAATGCCTGCCAAAAGTACTTGGAACACCCAGCAATTTACGCTGCATTTGATATCTTTAATTTCTTTCATGAAAGAAATCGCTACTTCCGCCCCCTTCCCCCCTAAAACAATGTTGATGATTTAGAGAAATAACATAAAAGAAGCGCAAAAGAAAGTGCTTCCGAAAATCCTAACCCGTTTGATAGTAAACCAACATTGTTCTGTAGGGGAGAGGGAGATGATTGATTTTTACCTTGGAAATTGATGTCAGTGTTCCAAGACTTTTGGCAGGCATTGTAGGTGACCATGCATTTCCACAAATCTCTATCTTTGCAGGCTATTAGCACCTTCTTAATTGTAAATCTTTTCTGCTCCTCATCAGGCACTTTTGCCTGCATCTATTTACCAAGACTCGTCAAGTAATTCAGACGATGTCTCCCCTATTTTTCTTTCAATTTTGCCTGTTGTGCCTTAAAGCCTATGCGAAGTCTTGCATGTGTTTGAAGTCCCAAAAAGCATCATGCCTCATAAAGTAAAATACTTTATGCTATAGAGTTCGAAAGAATGACGTCATCAAAATCTATTTTAAGAATTGTTTACTTCTGACCACATTATCTACAAGAGCACCGTTAAATATTATATAAATTCTTAAACATTTTTTATTCTTGTGTGAGATATGGTCAATGAAAGATCAGAGAGGTTTGTGTGAATCAAACTAGATGTATCTAGGTGTGAACAAAAAATAGCTGTGCATTTTTTGTCATTTGTTCAATTTTGTCGTTTTCTAGCGTTTCATACTTTGAAAGTGTATCGAGCGAAAAGTTATTCAACTGGATGTGAAATTTCGTTCAGTCATAAATTAGATGAAAGAACCTCTCACCCTTCTTCTTGTAAAATGATTATGACGCTGCTTTGTAGTTTATTTGTGCATATAAGCCACAAGTATCTGAATATGATTCCCTATTGACAAGATAAAGGGAGCGAAACGCTATTTAAAAAAGGGCCTCCTACTGTTCTATTCAATTCTCTGATTAATATTTGAACACATTTCAAACCACCATCTAGCAATAAGCCAAATGTATTGCTTGTCGGTTTTTCCTCCTGTTTGATAAGATCTTTGAAATAATTGAAAAGTGAAGATATAACTTAATAAGTATATTTGAATATATCTATTGATGGAATATTAATTTTGCATGTTGCATGTTGACTTCTTCGTCAGCACTTCTGTCTTGTAATTCGTTCCAAAATTTATGATTTATCTAAACAACAGTAATCTAATTATGACTTTCATGTTCCTCGCTGGCCATATGTGTAAAGGCCCTGTAAAACAGTCAAATAACTTCATCAGATATCAATATTGTTGAATATTCATTTGTTGAATAAAGCCTTCTTCTCGTTTTTCTGCCGAGCTGGAGCACAAGCAGAAAGCCTTTTCCTCCTTTTCACGATTTTAAGATTTCAATATTTAAGGAAATTCTGCTGCACAAACCGAACGTAAAACAGGAACCCAAAAGTCCAAAAAGATACTTTTTGCACTTTTGGACGCATTGAGTTATTCTGTTTTAACATGTGTGTTCAAATTTGGATTCTGGCTGACAATGCCTGTGACGTCATCATTCTTGGCTTCTGAATAACATCGTTTATCTCTTTCATTCCCTTTTTTTCTCATGCTTAAACTAAAAGCGTTAGTGGCTGTACAAAACAGGAACCCAAAAGTCCAAAAAGATACTTTTTGCACCTTCAGACGTATTGAGTTATTCTGTTTTAACATTTGTGTTCAAATTTGGATTCTGGCTGACAATGCCTGTGACGTCATCATTCTTGGCTTCTGAATAACATCGTTTATCTCTTTCATTCCCTTTTTTTCTCATGCTTAAACTAAAAGCGTTAGTGGCTGTACAAAACAGGAACCCAAAAGTCCAAAAAGATACTTTTTGCACCTTCAGACGTATTGAGTTATTCTGTTTTAACATTTGTGTTCAAATTTGGATTCTGGCTGACAATGCCTGTGACGTCATCATTCTTGGCTTCTGAATAACATCGTTTATCTCTTTCATTCCCTTTTTTTCTCATGCTTAAACTAAAAGCGTTAGTGGCTGTACAAAACAGGAACCCAAAAGTCCAAAAAGATACTTTTTGCACCTTCAGACGTATTGAGTTATTCTGTTTTAACATTTGTGTTCAAATTTGGATTCTGGCTGACAATGCCTGTGACGTCATCATTCTTGGCTTCTGAATAACATCGTTTATCTCTTTCATTCCCTTTTTTTCTCATGCTTAAACTAAAAGCGTTAGTGGCTGTACAAAACAGGAACCCAAAAGTCCAAAAAGATACTTTTTGCACCTTCAGACGTATTGAGTTATTCTGTTTTAACATTTGTGTTCAAATTTGGATTCTGGCTGACAATGCCTGTGACGTCATCATTCTTGGCTTCTGAATAACATCGTTTATCTCTTTCATTCCCTTTTTTTCTCATGCTTAAACTAAAAGCGTTAGTGGCTGTACAAAACAGGAACCCAAAAGTCCAAAAAGATACTTTTTGCACCTTCAGACGTATTGAGTTATTCTGTTTTAACATTTGTGTTCAAATTTGGATTCTGGCTGACAATGCCTGTGACGTCATCATTCTTGGCTTCTGAATAACATCGTTTATCTCTTTCATTCCCTTTTTTTCTCATGCTTAAACAAAAAGCGTTAGTGGCTGTACAAAACAGGAACCCAAAAGTCCAAAAAGATACTTTTTGCACCTTTAGACGTATTGAGTTATTCTGTTTTAACATTTGTGTTCAAATTTGGATTCTGGCTGACAATGCCTATGACATCATCATTCAATGGCCTTTGAATAACATCGTTGATCTCTTTCGTTGCATCTATTTTCTCATGCTTAAACTAAAAGCGTTAGTGGCTATACAAAACAGGAACCGAAAAGTCCAAAAAGATACTTTTTGCACCTTTAGACTTATTTAGTCATTCTGTTTCAACATATGTGTTCAAATTTAGATTTTGGTTAACAATGCCTATGACGTCATCATTCAATGGCTTCTGAATAACATCGTTGATCTCTTTCATTGCATTTATTTTCTTATGCTTAAACAAAAAGCGTTAGTGGCTGTTCAAACGTGTTTTATCTTTGCATTTATGTTAAAGTCCACCCTATATACTGTAAACTATTATTCTCAGATGTGATACATTTTTATTGCATTGGATTGGCCAGGGTGTTATGGACTAACATTAAATTGAATTGAATTGAATTAGATTCAGTTAGATTTAAGGAGATTGAATTGTATTGGACCTTTAAATTCGTGTTTCTTTTCTAGGATACAAAATGACAAAAAGAATAGGGAAAATTGAACAATTTGAATTCGGCTCTTTAAGCAACGGAAAACATCTACACGTGGCCCTAGCTGTGTCTGGTTTCTGTGGAAGCGATGACAATGATGGTGACGTAGCAAGTTTTGTTAAACACCATATATTCATCTTCATGTGCAAGGCATTTGAAGGCGTTGTCTTAAGCCTAGCGCACACTAGCGATTTTTGTCGCCAGCGACGGCGAGTTTTGTCGCTGGCGACTAAAATCGCTAGTCTGCGGGGAAAAACATCACAGAATTTCGGTCGCCAGCGACTAAAAACTGAAAATCGCAAGTGTGCGGGGCGCAAAAACAAATTCTTGTTGATCAGCCAATCATAAAGTGTTTTCAAGACATGTGGAAAGTGTGTTGATTTTTAAGAAAGTTGACAAAATGGAGGTCACAGGAACATGCTCGTTTTCTTGGACAACGCATTAAGAGGATTTGTTAGTCGATTTGTGGCGCGAGAACTTGCATATCCTCTCGACAATACGACGATAGGACGGCAAAAGCTGCAGCCGTGGCTGAGCTTGCTGATGCTCTTAGTGCCACGAGCGGGTACTACTGCTCTCAATTATTGATTAACGTATTTGGATAAACACGAACAAGAACAAGATCTCATTGCACTTCTATTGATATATCCTTTCAGCAGTATAGGTTGCCTATAAAGCGAAAATCTCGTACGATGTAGGATTTACTATCTACTAGCGACTAATAGTAAAAAAGATAACAAACAAATTGTGCATGTGTTGGGTTCAAACAAAAAGCCCTTGTGTTGGGTTCACTACAGTACAAAAGAGAAAAAAATCGGATCAGATTTTGTGTTGCGCAAGCGCTTTGGGTGCAAAAATGGTCACATGAACTTTTTTTTGAACCGTTCCGGGACAGTAGTTTTCTTTTGATCAAAATTGAATTAGAACTTTTTAAACAAAAGAGCACTTGCGTCATGAGGCGAGAATCCCGTGGAAATAATGTCAACGTGCATTCCAATCTGAAACGATCCGCGGATCGAAAGAACAACACGATCGGATCCGATCCGCGGATCATTTTCCGGAGTGGGTTTTCGGCTTAAGAAGAAGCTCTCTAGTAGATAATCAGATCGTAAGAGCTGCATGCTTTTCACGGTCAATAATCAGTGTTTCTACGTACCATTACCAATCTTAAACCAAATAAGTTTTTGGTACTACAAAACTAGTATTCTATATTCCGGTATTTCGTGCAACCTTCAAATACCAATCTTTGTATATTTTCGTACAACATACCGCATACACATACCAGATTTTCTTTATCTAGAATAGAAAGGGAGATCTAGTTATTTTAATTATTGAGTGAATGTTGTTGCTCACAAATCTGGAAATTAATGTTGAGTAGAGGAATACCGTAAAGGGAAAATGGGAAGAGATTTACATGGGCTCCATTTTCCGGTCCAGATCCAAGAATTCAAAACAGTAATGAGTCTTGTTTTTGCATTGGGTGCAAAGTAAATAAATCATCAGTGTTGATTATCTTTTTGATCTTATTTCAAATAAGCAAATGTCGACTTTTTTCATTCTAGCTGGGTTTTCGGTGCCATGGGAAGCATTGGGAATATCTACAGAGCAGTATTACTTGAAGTGGGAGGGAAAGTATGTTTGTTTCATCTTCATCGCCATATTGCCATTACCTCGTTACCGTTATGAGAATTGTCAATGATCGAGGTTGATTGATTCCTGGCCCTGTCTTAGAGCACTCTGTAATTTTTTTCAACACTGAAAAAGGGAAAGAATGACGATAAGAAAAATAGAGAAAATAATGAATGAATGAATGAATAATTGATTAAATAATTAATTAATTGATGAATGAATGAATGAATGAATGAATGAGTGAATGAATGAATGAATGAATGAATGAATGAATGAATGAATGAATGAATGAATGAATGAATGAATGAATGAATGAATGAATGAATGAATGAATAAAATCTCATTAATCTTAGAGTCATCTTCTAACAAAGTTTATTGCCATGACCATTGGATTGCAGAAGCTTCATGGTTTGCCAACAAGCATTCTCCTTTCTTCACCCCATGCTTTGCAGTACACTAGATTCGAAACGTTTTTGAAGTAGCAACTTAAAGTAGTCGTGTTCTGCATGCCAAAGGAACACGAACATTCTTCCACCGTGTCTATATTCGGCTGTGAATGGATGTATATATTATCAGGTTCGATTGCGAACAATCCTCTAAGACATTTTTATATTCTGCAGGTATTTGAGAAACCTTGGAAGCTCAATAATCGACTTTGTGAAACGAGAAGCTATGCAGGCTGCCGTTAAAGGAATTCTCAAGTATACAGCTCTGCGAGGTGCTCTTTCGCTTTTCAACTTTGACCTGTATCAGATCAGTGACCTTCAGGGGTGTTGCCAAAGGGAAGGCGCTGATTTTTCTCACATTGTAACCTTTTTGCAACAATTGTAACTTATTCACATTTCCGCACCAGCAGAACTTTCAACGTATAGAAATAATATACTTGGGGTTTTTTTCGAATGCTAAATATTGAAAAGGAAACGCCTAAAAGCAGCAAATAAAACTATTTATCTTATTGTCAAACCCTTAAAAAGGTGAAACGCCCTTTTTGTTGACAAAAATCGTTTCGATACACCTCTAAAAGAGAAAATTTTTCCTTCGCTCCAAGTGATATTTGACCAAAACTTGTAAGTTTTTTGGCATATACCAGCACTAAAGAAAAGCCCATATCTTTGCCACTGATTAAGTTCCCGGATTGTCTGCAAGGCCTTTGTTCATGGGTTCTATTCTCGATCTGCAAACTCGGTGTTCTTCACGTCTCACCTTTAACATGTATCAGTGATCTTTACAGAAGTATATCTAGAGGCAATTTTACGACTACAAATACTGACAAACCATTTCTAGCACAGAGCCCAGAAAGCATCATGGTCACATGCCCAACGACTGTGAGGAAAACCAATGAAAACAAAGAATTTCATTCATGGACTTTTCTGTTATATTGATTCAATCTCTTGGTCAAGGGGTGCTGTTCATTACTTGCCTTGACATGTATAACTTACCTTTATACGAAAAAACGCTAACCGTGTCCACTACTGGTCCTCTTTAGCTACATTTTTGGCTATAATCAACCACTCCCAATTTATCTCTGGTTCCATTTCATCTTTGTTTATCTGCAAACTTGGTCTATGTTCATGGGCTTTTATTGAGTCTACACTCGTACTTATCAACTTCTCACATTGTAATTATCAACTTCAACAGAAAACTGGACTTTTGAAATGGTTTTGACAATATAGCTTTCCGATATGATTAGTTCACTTTCACTCACATTTCAATAGCAACCATGAACTTAAAAAAGCAAGCCATCCAAGATTCCTCAGAAATTCTGATTTTTTGATGTCATATATTCAAGGTATTATTTGATACCAACTTTCTACCTTCTACAACAATGCTGTAAAGTTACTTTTAAGTCGACCACGTATTGACAGAAAATATCTCTTTTCTAGCTGTGTTGAAATCGATCGCCTGGCCTCTGACTCTTATAAGCGCCGCCAATCTCATTGACAACCCATGGAACGTTTGCACGCAGAGAGCAAAAGAGACTGGAATCCACCTTGCGCATGTACTGCTAAGCCGACACCAGGTCTAACATCCTTATCAGCTTATATGTAGCCTCGTTTATGTGAGCCAAACAAAATCGGCTTCGAGGCATTGCATATCTTGAACCTCGACTCTATTATCACCCTCACTGTTACAAGTTTTTCGGGAGAGAATTAATTTACAAAAAAGGCAGACAGTCTAGTGAAAATCTTAACGATTGACTGATCGCATGAATTTTCTAAAGTTTCCGATAATCAGAGTCGACAAGGCAATTATTCGATTTAATCTTATTGCACTGTGCGCTCGCTTGATATAGAAAATTTATCTCTTCCATTGGCTAGTAACTTATGGAATGATGGCCAAATGTGGAATGAAATGGCTGCTTTAAGAGCAAAATTCATGTTTTGAAATTTTCAAAGCTAGATACTTATAACGTTTAACCTAATTTTATTTAGAAAAAAAAACATGGTAAGTTGTGTTAAAAATCTCTAGTACCTAAGGGCAGTGCCTACATGAATAGGGCAGGACTATGCAATCTTCAAGCCCGACGACTGTTTTTAATAGCATTTGAAATTTTAACTTTGCTTAAAGTACACCGCAATCACATCTGAGTTTCATGTTTCTGTTGATCTTGTTTAAGATTAAATAAATTACTTTTTTTTTCCAGGGTTATCGACCGATTACGCTAATTGGCTTTAGTTTAGGAGCAAGGGTTATATTTTACTGTTTGCAGACAATGCTCAATGAGAAAGGTAAGTACTGATTTTGATAATTGTCTTAAACTGACAGCCCGAGACCTGGCAATTCGAACTGGATTGTGGGTCTTTTTTCAAGCTGTGATGAGACTTTGCTCATATCATCTGTACGGTCTATCGTGAGAATTTTATGGCGGGTTAAAATAAACAAAATGGAATAGGCTGGGCTATCGGAATCTTGCTCTTCATAAATTTTACAAGAAACGATTTAAATAAGATAGTCATCAATCAATAAGTTTTAGTCATAAATTGTCATAATTTCCTTTTGATTAATTTATGCTGCTACAAAAATCCTTTGTAATAATGATTAGTGTTTATGTATAGGCATACATTACATGCTTCTGGTGTAGAGAACAACTTATGCTTAATGCTTCTCGCATTAAACGTTAAACTCTTTGCTGTAACTTAGAATCGTCCTATTCTGCAGTATAGACTGGTAAAATAGAAATTTTCGCTACATAGTAAGCAGCGACGGTCTGGTATCCTAATTGCAGAGTGGCTCTGAAGCCGTAAGGGCCCGGATGAGGGTAAGGTTGAATGACCACACCCATTGAAGTAACAGCCTTAGGTTTGCTTTCATTAAAAAGACAAGTTATCAGCTAATTGATTTGCTGGTAGTATTTGTGATGCGGTGTTTGCACCATTTGTAGTCTGTGTGAATCAATTAAATCTCCTATAGACAGGGAAATAACCGCAACTAACTAACCGCAGGTGTTGTCAAGGTTCTCTAAACTGTTTCATGATGCCAGTATGCCAGAGAATTCAAATCTGTCAGGTACCATTTTAAATTTCACTTCCGGTCACGTGACAAGACAAAATTTCATTTTACGGTCAGAAAAAATTAAAAGTCTTTTTTTAAAGTCTGAGACAACCATTGGAAAAAGCATCAAAAGAGATGAAAAAATCTATAAAACACCAACCCTGTGATGCTTATATTTTAAGAGATATGGACCGTTAAACTTTCGATGATGACGTCACAAAATATCTAACTTTGCCCATTTCCTAATGCGTAAAACAAAACTTTGTGTTAAAAATTGATATACATACTTCAAAGCTCAAATTCACAAAAAGAATCATCTGTTGTATCATCAAAAGAATCAAGCCAGGCCACATTACCTTTCATATGGACACATTACCTTTAAAATGTTGTTGCAGAATAGCTAGATCGAACTGCAGAGGAATATCGTTCTTGACAACTATATGCAAATTCTTGAAAAGGAATCTATGAATAACAGGCATTATGAATTATGATTAAAAGGATATGCTTAAGTGACAAAATATGTTGTGGAGATAACTTGGAAGAATTTCGTGAAAAAGATCTGTAAACAGATAACACTTGAAGACAAACAGTCTTTCTGTATTATCAGCGTGTATTTTAATCATAATGTAAGCGTCGAAAACTGTCAACCATGTGGATCTTCAGAAGGCATTTGTTATTTTGAAGATGCACAAAGAGCCGAGGGGCGGCCAATTCAGATGCTCGTACGGTATTATAACATAAGTAAAGGAAGTAAATAAAACGATAAGATGAAGACAGGGGTAAGATAGGGATTTATGTTAGGCCCACGACTGTTGAATCGTCTAACGAACGGGATGGAACTGCTTTTTACGTGGCTAAACGTGGTGCTCAACTCCACGACTGTATTGATATTCACCTCATTTTGTTATGATATTGTAATGTTCGGTGACTCGATATGCGATTTGTAGTGACCTTAAATTTCACTAAATTTTTTATTAAGTTTTGGTTATCAACTTAAACATTAACATTTGTTATTACTTTAGTGATTTTTACTATTTGTTTTGGGACTTTAGTAGATATTTCAGTTGAAAGGGAGAATTTATTAGAAGTTATCAACATTCAGGCCCCGTCGTCAATTTTTTTTATGCAAAGGGCCCGCGATCGCCACTTTGCCACCCGGGCCAGACCGCACCGTATACTAAGAAGTATTCAACTAAAGCTCTACAGAATCTACCAAGAGTCTTTAATCGTTAGTTTTCGAAGGCAATATTAAACACGCCGTGCCCCCTTGAGCAATGTTTTTAGTTGCCTAAGTTTTAATGTTGTTCTGGGGAGGGGAAGGGGGTGGAAGTAGTAGCATTTTGGAAACGAAGGCCTTCACTATATGGCGAAGACGTTAAATGCAATGGACAGATGCAAAGTGGCTGAAGCCATTTGTCAATCAAACACTCAAAGGCTTTTTGGCTGGCCAGTTTTATGAATGACAGATTACTTAGGCTTCTGTAGTATCTTCCCATTGCCTTTGGAAAAGGAAACCCCTTTATTTCCATTATTTACTGCGTTGCACAAAATGATTAATGCTGTGATAGACATCCCTAAACGCTAAACATTTCGACCAGGAACAAACATTAACAGGTAGCACGAACAACGACTTAGCAACATTAAAGAGGGTGGCAATAAACCTTCGAATTTCACTAAGCATTCTATTAGTTGTTAACACAAAAATTGTATAAGTGTTAAATGGCATGTTTAGATGTTTTGCCAGGTCTCAGTACTATTTGGTTACAGGTTATGAAGGTATCATCGAGGATGTTGTGCTAATTGGAGCTCCTGTTGGCGTCAGCTGCGAAGAATGGGAAGCATTAGAGGCAGTTATATCAGGAAAATTGTACAATTGCTATTCAAGGTAAGCTGTGTTTTTGAAGGCAACATCGAATATCTATGTTGTCGCCACCACCAGCTACTTCACCTAGCCTGCTACCACTACCACCAATTTGTTTATCATAAGGCTCTTCAACAAGCAGCATTCCATAGCTACTAGCGCCGCCACCACAGTACAAACGATACGACCACCGGCAGGACCATCCAACAGCGCCACTGTCATCACCATGAACAACCCCATCGACATTGCAGAGTCAGGAAGGAAAACATTACGAGCTCCCATGACGGACCTAAGCCATGCTCACTTTCTATTGTTTTGTGAGGAAGGTTTGCCTTCTGGGATGTTTTTGTCTGGAGGAAGGTTAACAACTTTTCTGGACTCTGCCATTGCCACCATCGTTATACAGTCGACTCCGCTTAAAGTCACATTACCCGTTACAGTCACATGAAATTTATACCCAAATATGCAAAGCTACTCAATGAAGCTCCGTTTACAGTCACACCCCGTTTACAGTCACACCCCGTTTACAGTCACACCCCGTTTACAGTCACACCATGTTTACAGTCACACCCTGTTTACAGTCACACCCCGTTTATAGTCACCCCGTTTACAGTCACACCCTGTTTACAGTCAAACCCCGTTTACAGTCACACTCCGTTTACAGTCACACCCTGTTTACAGTCACACCCCGTTTATAGTCACCCCGTTTACAGTCACACCGTTTACAGTCACACCCTGTTTACAGTCAAACCCTGTTTACAGTCACACTCCGTTTACAGTCACACCCTGTTCACAGTCACACCCCGTTTATAGTCACCCCCGTTTACAGCCACACCCTGTTTACAGTCACACTACCCGTTACAGTCACATGAAATTTATACCCAAATATGCAAAGCTACTCAATGAAGCTCCGTTTACAGTCACACCCCGTTCACAGTCACACCCCTTTTACAGTCACACTTCGTTTACAGTCACACCCCGTTTACAGTCACAAATTTCAAGTGACATTTGTTGTGACTGTAACTGGAGTCTACTGTATCAACATTCGCTTCAGGAATTTTTATGCCTTTTCAGTTTGAGATGCAAACTCATTTTTGTTTCAAGGTCAGACTGGCTGCTGAAATTTGTGTATCGTGCCGCTTCTGTTCAAGTTGGTGATATTGCTGGGCTGGGGCCGATTGAAGTCAGTTGGCCAAGACTTGTTAATATTGACCTGACAGATGTCGTAAGTACACTTTTTGTCGTAAGTCGTAAGTGAATTATTGGTTATGAGACTAGTAAAGCGCACATGACTAAAATGGGGAATGGAAAGTTTCAAGTTATTTGGTCACTGTTTTGCTTATTTGTCTAGCAAAGAGGAATTTTTTTATTAGCCCTTGTTTTGAGTCTCATCAATGAATATCAGTTCACTTCATTCGTCATTTTGTCCAGAAATTTTATCCGTAAAATCAAACAAAAGCCTTTCCTCTTTGACCAATCTTCCTTTTCGTTTAAAGTAGCTAACTCTTATCAAACTTAGCATGCGACACTTAACTGCGTGCGCTCGCGTTTCTGATTGGCCAATTTCTATCTACAGCTGGGTATTACCTGGGTAGTATTATCTACAGCATTTCTATTACCTCGCGTAGAGTTCCCGATCTACGCTCTAACATTTTTTACTCTGACGAGTGTAAGACGAAAAGTTTAAGTATAACTCAAAATGTTTGCTTTTTTAATTCTACTGTAGGTAAACAGCCATTCTGAATATGCTGAACCAACAGTCATTCATGATGTTCTGCAGTTGATTGGTTACAAAACGAACCCTGTGGAAACAGCAACAGCCGCAACTGCCGTGAAGATGCCGCAGGACTATGTCAAAGAAATCTCCAAAACGCCAACGAAAATCCTTCCACAGAGTTTCCCGTTGCCTGGGAAAGACGCAAAGCCACAGCAGCCACTTGAAGAGCTCACTGCAGAGGAGCAAGAAACCCTTGATAGACTGACGTCATGTCAAACTGGTACGGTGATTGACAGCTTGAAGAACAAGGGTGGATTCTGGAAGAATGATGATTCGGGTGATGCGGAGAATTCTGGCATTTCTGATACACAGTCGAGTAAGTGGGGTAAGGTTGTTTCAATAACAATGCGTAGCTCATTAGCTCGAAACAGAAAAATGATTGAGGCTGGCAATGTGATTCAAAAGGACGATCAATCTTTACAGTCTGAAGACACGTCATGTTTACATGAAGTAACAGAGCAACAGGATATTTCCTATTCTGAATGTAATGATGGTGACGTATCGAAGAGTAGTTGCCCTAAAGGTGAAGTATCGGATATGGACGGGGAACTGAAATATACAGATGCAGTACAGGGGGGAAACGAAGTGAGGAACACAAATCAGCCAAAAGTTACTGTTGGCTTGAGTAAAAGTATTGACAGCCAGGTTTTAAGTCGATGTGGAAATGAAGAAACCATCGAAGATAGTAAAACAGGTGATGCCTTGATGCCAAAGGATTCCTCAAAGGAGAAAATGAGATCTGGGACTTTAAGTTTACCGTCATTTCATACACGAACTGAGCGCAGTAAAAGTGCAGGTGATATCAAGACCAATCTTATGAAAGGAAATGATATAAGAGATATAACTGAAAGCCCTCCGACTGAAACTAAAAAGGATTCTATTAAAATACCAGGAAGAGAATTATTTAGCAAAGTATGCAAGAATGTGAAGTTCGCTCTGCCTTCGCCAACTTTATCAAGACATAAAAAAAGTACCGAGAAAGAAAGCAGCGGTGATCAAAGCAAGGACACTGAAAATCCCGATTCTTCGACGTTTCCAGGAAAAGCATTTAGGAAGATGTCTTTTCCAGGAAGTTACTAATACATGATCAGTTCTTCCTCTAAAAGCCCAAATCTATCTGCTGATTTCTCTAAGTATAACTTAGCACTTATTGATGATGTCTTTTTTGTTAAGTCAAAACCCCCACCCTTTCTTATATTGAATAATCACTGAACAAAACCTAGAACATCAGCAAGATTTAGCAAGATATAGGATTGAATTTATTTTAATTTAACACTAAATGATTTTATTTATATTTAGGTTTTAATCATCGTATAAGTTATTTAGAATTGCATTCATTCATTAATTTATTTATTCATTTGTTCGTTCATCCACTTATCCATACATTCATATATTCATTACACTGATATTTGATATATCGAAAATTCAATATTTTAAAGGCTCTTTTTGCTTGATTTTCCTTTTTGCTTGATCTTCCAATGAGGAAGCTTTTCTTTGTAATACTGGAAAGTTTTCTCTTGCAATCTATAATTTAATTTGAAATTTATGGCCTTTCTCTTTATTTTGAATGCATTCTCGTGCCGAAATTCATCCTATTTGTTCACAGAACGAACAAACTTGTTCCTAAGAATACTTGTTATTCACAAACCTATTCACAAACTAGATCATACTGTTAATTTGATAATAATTTTACTAATTTTTGATATCTTAAGGTAGTCAAATGACGTCTTCAACTTCAGTTCTTTGCTCGCAGAATTTTTCCTAGGCTTGTAGCATTGATGAAATTCATAATTTTGTAGCAACAATTCAGTCGGTATTTCCTGATTTATGGCACCTACAGAATCTATCTGTATTTAGTAATTATAGCAAAAACAACAGCCTCACTGCCAGTACCAACAGCTCTACAGCCCTACAGCCCCACAGCCCTTCAGCCCTTCAGCCCTTCAGCCCTTCAGCCCTTCAGTCATCTTTTATGACTTTGTGCTCCCAATCAGCACCCGCTGAAATACGTTTTCCACTCTTTTCCCCACTGTTTTCGTTAAGAAATCAGTTAATTCATTGCATGCACACATATACAATTAACATTTCGTGATATTTACAAGCCAATAGCCGCCATATTTAAACTTATATGGCGGCTATCTACATAGGAAAGCAAGCTATTACAACACAAGAACCTCTTTAGTTTTAAAGGTGAATAATTTATAAATCTCTTTTTTTCTTGTATCCAAGGCCGTTGCATTTGTATATGCTAAGCCATGCTGGCAGAAGACAAAAATTGGCTTCGGAATGCATTCAATTATCTTTGCTGTGGGTAGCTGGTCATTCAATGGCTGCGTCACCACCCCTGTTTACAGTAAACATTATGCACAATGAACTGGTATCACTACCGGACATTGATACTGCGCATTCACAAAGGAGGGAGGACTCACAATTTTTTTTGTCGCAAATATTGATTTTTTCATTCCTCAACTTGAGTGAATGAGATTAAAAAAGTGAGTTTGTATAATGACTTCCAGTTCATTTTTAAACCCCAAAATTCAGCCCTCACACTCGAATTAGTACGTATGCAGGACAGGGTGGAGGGAGGGGCCTCGTCAAAAAGCGTATTGTAAAACCTCTTAAAATGGGGGTTTTACAAACGTGAGTTCTTTGTAGGCAGAAATTCTCAAAAAATACGGCAACGGCAGATAAGATCAAAATTCTTCTTTTTATGGCAATGATACGACTAACGGCTAACAACAAGTTCGACAAATAACGACACGGCTTCAACAGGCACAACAAAACTAGCGGCAGAGCTCCAAGCAGTACGACAAAACTTTCGACAAGACTACTCCTAACTTATGAAACAACCCTTTATATAACCTAAGCAAACCTTAAAATAATAATTACGTAATACAAAAAACATATTTACAGACGCTGATGCAATCACAGCGCAATGGTGCAATTGTCACGTGATACTGTCCGTAAGGGAACCCTGTGTCGTTACAGTATGTTTCCGTTTTGCATACAAGTGGGGAGGGGGCTGATGTAGTTAAAGTACGTGCGCAAAATGTTTTTAGATAGTAGAAAGACCATGGAATGTATTTTGTATTTTGTATTCTAATTACAAAAACTTTCATTTTTGCCGTGCTGCCTCTTGCAATACTAACATCATATTGATAAATTTGTTTAATGTATCCAGCAGAATGACGTGCGTACCTTGTTGGCAAATTGTAATAAGAGGGGGCTCAACATTGAGATTACCGTACGCAAAGGGGGTAGAGGTCGCCAAAGAAGTACGACTGCGTACAAAGGGAAAGGAGTGTGGAAGATATAAAATTTTTTGCGTACGTTCTATGTGAATGACCCCCAGCGCGTTTATAATCGACAAACCATCGAGAATAAGCCTTACGTTGCTGATTGGTTGAGTAGTTGCGTAGTCCAACCAGTGGGAAATTCGAATGGCAATTGAAAATCTTCGTGACATAGTGACTGTAAACTGTTGACTTTAAAATTGTTGATTCAGGATTGATATTGTATGCAAAATACTGATACCTGTATGAATCGGATGATTGGTTTTCAGCTTGATTAATTCAATTATGTAACCATGAAGTTCAAACAGAATTACTAAATGATTCGAGCTTGAGATAAAAGGGGCCCTGACACAAATCATGCACAGTTCGCTTCTCTAGTGTCAATTGTTTGGATCGCATACGAAAATGCAATCCAAAAGATGTTTTGGTGCTATCACAGTTCTATTCAGCATTTTGATCTGTGCAAAATCACAAAGCATCGAAAAGATACACCGTTCATCGTGCAGAAGAGATGTTCTAATGAAAGCAACTGACCGTGATAAAAAGTTGACTGGCACTGCGCAAAATACCATATTGGAGATCCACGCCGAAAAGCTTTCACTTTGCGCAAAGAGGTGCACAGGGGCAGAGAAGTGTATGACAATCAATTACAAGAGGTTTCCTGCCTCTTTGCAAGAGAATAATTGCCAACTGCTGGATATTTCGAAAGCAAATCAAAGCGTTTCATTGACAAATGCAGCTGGGTGGATTCACTATGAACAAGTAGCGCAGGTACACTCTTTTAAAACTAGACGATCTTCTTGTTTCAATTTCATAGATTTTTCCCGCGACTGTACGAATATTTTTTGGTTGTAGCTAGAGATAAAACCTAACACTTCGATACTTCCACTTCGAACAGATTTCGTGCAAATTAACAATGGGTTTGAAATTTAAGGCTAAGAGGCTTCAATGCATGGAACAGAGTACAGCTAAATTGAATATAGATAAAAGGATAGAATATCAACTCTTTCCCTCATAGCATCAAGATATTCAAGATAGCATACATTGAGCAAGAATAAAGAAAAAGCACCTAAACCCAACCAAAGTCAAATCGAAACAATGTCAACCGTAATATAATTGTCCATTAAAGAGTTATTGGGTTTATATTTCGCGTCCATGATGGTCTTTCTTCGATAGATTTAGCTACAGGACTCACTCAGTTGCATGGTTGTCGCTTCCCCGCATTCAACCGGCTCTTTCTCCTGAGGTTGGGAGAGAAACAAAAGCAAGAATCACCCATGGTAACATGTCGAAAAGCCTACTAACACAACAATGAAACGAAAGATCCGGGACAGCAACCATTTTCCCACAAATTTATTACAGTACTTATTCAATTATCCGGTCTTATCGGGACACGGGATTTCAAGATTCGTGCATATAATCCGAAATTCCGGAAAATTGAGGATAGTTCACATTGCTCCGGATTCAAATGAAAACGGATAAAAAAGAATCCGTTTGTGCCTTGCGCTCACACTGCCCCACCATGAAAACGGATACTTTTGAAAACGCTAAAAGCAACAGTACAGCAAGATGCTTAGACCGCGCCAACTTAAACAACTTTTCTTAACATGGCTGATTCACTCGAAGTTAGTACATTACTCGGAGGAATACTAGTGGCAGTGGGTTGTTTAAAAAGTTTTTTAGCAGTCGCGAGTGCTGTAAACCAGTTCGTGGCTTTTTCCTTTTTATCCAGAGCGGAGCAATGTGAACGCGTCATCGTTTTCATACCGTTTTCAAATGTATTCGGAGCAGTGTGAACAAGCAAAAAGGATCGATATGAAAACGGATAAAAACGAATACGGAGCAATTTGAACGTAGCCTGAAAATATACGAATAACGGCAGAAACCAGCGTAAATAAAATAGACGAGTGTTGTGAAAGTTCATTTCTAAGCACACATTACAATTTAATGCACCAAATTCTCTCAAAATACTCAAAAGATTTTTAGAATGGAAAGCAAGAAAAACGCACCCGACGTATTATCAAAAATGCTTAAAATTTTTCCTAAAGTTTTTCACATTTTTTATGAACCGGATAATCGAAGTCCGGATAAACGGTGGGTCGGATAATTGAATAATTACGGTACAATAAAATCTATGGTAAACTGAAAGAGATTGAATGGATACCTAAGTGGTCCTGTGTGCCCAGTATTGTTCAATTTCTATGTAATTACTGAAAAACCGAGGAATGGCCATGCGTGGAAGATTCTTATGTATACAAGTTTCAACATGACTCCTAAATCAACTTTTTAAACTTTTTCTTGAAGGTTGGACCACGTTGCCGTCTAACGAACTGCGATCCTGGGTATTTCTGCAGCGAAGCGTGTTCAAAGTTGACAGGCTACGAATGCTTAGGTTTGCTTTTTCATTTCCTCTACTTGAATTATTTATCATGCCAATTTTGTAACAGATTTGAAATTTAAGTGAAAGCATCTTCTGTGGTAGCCTGCGCAGTAGGTTTCATTTCAGGTGCGGAGGAGCAGGCTCGTTCTCCGCGACTGAAGTAAAGTCTGCGGTACAGGCTACTTACGGCCTGTCTTTATCTTCACCAGTTTACTGGGCCTTTTGGCATCTTATCTACGTAATTCATCGAAATATAAGCACAGTAGAAGTTCAATCAAAGAAACCAATTAAATAAAGATATGTCTTTCTTATATTTTTCAAAATAGTAGCAACATTTCCAAAACTTTCTGCAAATTTTTGTGATTTAGGGGGGAGGCAGGGGCTTGCCTCTAGCCACTGCGCCATTACATCTGCCCGTGTGACTTCCTGTCGATTGATCGATTGATGCGTATCTCTCGAAACACATCTTACAAATTCTGCTGTAATAAGACTTTTTCCGACCGATAATGGCTTCCTTTTAAACTTCGTTAGCTAGCTTTTAAAAGACTTTTGTTAGCGCGATTGTAAAAGAGTTACTTTGTGAAAAGAGATTAGCCGGCTACATTTTAGCTATGTAATAAGTTAATGATTTTAAGCTAGCAGTAATTAAGAATAATCGAGAGTTTTCTTTCAATAATTGAAATAGATGAATCGGGGAAGGAGGGGGTGGGGTAAATCATGCAGATAGCAACCAAGGGATATATCAAATTGACAAAAATATATTTGAAAAGAATGTTAATCTTAACATCACATTATCCTATCATTAATCATAAAGTATCATTACAAATGACGTTTCAGACATCGACGAATGCGAGAGCAGTCCATGTCAAAATGGTGGTACCTGTAGCAATGATATAAACAAATATACTTGTACCTGTAAAGCGGGCTTTGAAGGAACAAACTGTCAGACAGGTAAGATACATTTTTTGTGCAGACAGGCAACATATATTTTGTACCGCTAAAAAGATTTACCTACTTTTTCACTTTATGAATCATGAACATGAACAATTACTTCTTAATTCTTTTATGCTAATTCATGCTAAATAATTTATGCTAATTCAATTGCACTTGCGCAGCAGGATATGAAGGAGCATAGTGCCAGACAAGTAAGAATTGACCAAAAATTATGAAACGTCTCTCTCCGTCTTATTACGTCTACTTAAGAATATTGCCTTGATTCTCTGCTCGTATGTATTTTTAAAATCATTTTAGATATAAATGAATGTGCAAGCAGTCCATGTCAAAATGGCGGCACATGCGTTGATGGAGTCAACCAGTACTCTTGCACTTGCGCAGCAGGATATGAAGAAACACTGTGTCAGACAGGTAAGAGATGCTTAATTGTAGAATATTTTTCTCTCTCATAACATCTACTTTTCAAAATAAAATGACTATCTGTAATTATTACTGTGGTATTCATTTTAGATACAAATGAGTGTGCAAGCAGTCCATGTCAAAATGGCGGCACATGTGTTGATGGAGTCAATAAGTACACTTGCACTTGTCCAGCAGGATATGGAGGAGCACTGTGCCAGACAAGTAAGAAATGGTTTATTGTGAATTTTTTTTATAAATGTTTCATCAAATTTAAATCAGCCACAATGCCTGCCAAAATTACTTGGAACACGCAGCAATTAGCGTTGTAACTTTATACTTTTCTACTCTTCACACGAATGCTTCTACCTGTGCACACCTTCTGCCTAAGACAATGTTGATATTTTAGACAAAAATTCAGGCTTTATACACCTAATTGCCTTGCTAAATTGCGATTATTACCTTATCATTCCTTCTAGATATAAATGAATGTGGAAGCAGTCCATGTCAAAATGGCGGAACATGCGTTGATGGAGTCAACCAGTACTCTTGCACTTGCGCAGCAGGATACGAAGGAACAATGTGTCAGACAAGTAAGAGCTGCTCAATTGTAGAATATTTATCTCTTTCATGACGTCTACTTTTAAAAATAATCTTGACTATTTGTAATTATTACTGAGGTATTCATTTTAGATACAAATGAATGTGCAAGCAGTCCATGTCAAAATGGCGGCACATGCGTTGATGGAGTCAACCAGTACACTTGCACTTGCGCAGCAGGATATGAAGGAACACTGTGTCAGACAGGTAAAAGATGCTCAATTTTCGAATATTTATCTCTCGCATATCATCTACTTTTAAAAATAACCTTGACTATTTGTAATTGTTACTGAGGTATTCATTTTAGATACAAATGAATGTGCAAGCAGTCCATGTCAAAATGGCGGCACATGCGTTGATGGAGTCAACCAGTACACTTGCACTTGCGCAGCAGGATATGAAGGAACACTGTGTCAGACAGGTAAAAGATGCTCAATTTTCGAATATTTATCTCTCGCATATCATCTACTTTTAAAAATAACCTTGACTATTTGTAATTGTTACTGAGGTATTCATTTTAGATACAAATGAATGTGCAAGCAGTCCATGTCAAAATGGCGGCACATGCGTTGATGCCATCAACCAGTATTCTTGCACTTGCGCAGCAGGATATGAAGGAACAATGTGTCAGACAAGTAAGAGATGCTCAATTGTAGAATATTTATCTCTCGCATATCATCTACTTTTAAAAATAACCTTGACTATTTGTAATTGTTACTGAGGTATTCATTTTAGATACAAATGAATGTGCAAGCAGTCCATGTCAAAATGGCGGCACATGCGTTGATGCCATCAACCAGTACTCTTGCACTTGCGCAGCAGGATATGAAGGAACAATGTGTCAGACAGGTAAGAAATGCTCAATTGTAGAATATTTATCTCTCGCATATCATCTTCTTTTAAAAATAACCTTGACTATCTGTAATTGTTACTGAGGTATTCATTTTAGATACAAATGAATGTGCAAGCAGTCCATGTCAAAATGGCGGCACATGCGTTGATGGAGTCAACCAGTATTCTTGCACTTGCGCAGCAGGATATGAAGGAACACTGTGTCAGACAAGTAAGAGATGCTCAATTGTAGAATATTTATTTCTCTCATATCATCTACTTTTAAAAATAACCTTGACCATTTGTGATTATTACTGTGGTATTCATTTTAGATATAAATGAATGTGCAAGCAGTCCATGTCAAAATGGCGGCACATGCGTTGATGGAGTCAACCAGTACTCTTGCACTTGCGCAGCAGGATACGAAGGAACACTGTGTCAGACAAGTAAGAGATGCTCAATTGTAGAATATTTATTTCTCTGATATCATCTACTTTTAAAAATAACCTTGACCATTTGTGATTATTACTGTGGTATTCATTTTAGATATAAATGAATGTGCAAGCAGTCCATGTCAAAATGGCGGCACATGCTTTGATGGAGTCAACCAGTACTCTTGCACTTGCGCAGCAGGATATGGAGGACCCCAATGTCAAGCAAGTATGGAATTTTTTATGACTGATTTCTTCATTTCCATAGGCCCCTTGGGTGTAAACTTAGTCACCCGTGTGAGTCAATAAATCTGTTCGACATGTTAGTCTCCTTCGATTCATGTATCCTGAAATGCTCATTGCTAGACCATATTTTTTCCTTAAATGATGCTTTTTGCTCTCATATTCGCACCTAGAAAAATGTTTTTACTTTATTTATTTTTCTTGTATTCACCTATGTTTTATTGAGTTACTGTCGTTACAATTCCTGACTCTGCTTTTTGCTTATTCAAACCGCAACATTTCAGTTTATAAATGTTTCTGAAACACAAATGATAGAGCTTTTGATTAAATATTTATTCGAAGGAAAGGGGGTCGCGAATTAACAACGGCCATGTAAAGTAGAAAATTGAAAAAAATTGCGTTAATTTTTCATTAATTTTTGTCCTGGATTGTAGGTTTTCTTCCGAACAATCTTTCCGGAGTCAACAATATTTTGATTCTTTCGAATCTTCAAAAAGCAAATTGTTGTGTCGAGATGGCATCAATGTCAGAAAATCTATATTTTTTGCCTATGCATTCGTTAGATTGATACAATCAATTTATTTTATTCGCTGTACGACAGGCGGATCTCTCTATACTGAAGCTCGTTAAATTGATGCATTCAACTGGGATTTTTTCAACCCCTCTCCTCACTGTACTGAGCACAATTTACTACGTATTTTGTTTTGAGATGCACAGTAATTGGCTATTCTAACTCGCTCTTTGCAGCAATAAATGAAATTTACATAAATATTTACATAAATATGTTCTTCTTACCTGTGCACTTCCCGAGTTCGAGAAATTCCAATCGAACTTCACTAAGTCTCCTCCAATAAGGATATCTTCCCACCAACAGGGTCTAGAAGGCCTTGTCATATCATAAGACATCAGATGAGGAGTTATTTGAGACACAGCGCCTTGAAATCGTAGCTGAATGTCACAGGATCTTGAAAAGAGAAGGAGGAAACATTAAAATATGGCCTTTCTAATTGACTAAAGTGGAATGATTGATTGGTTGGGAGGCTGAAAGTGAGGGAGGCCAGAGGATCAGATCCTCCAACTGAACTTTTTTTGCAAAAAAAAATATTAATGCAAAATCTTTTACTTGATTTTTGCCCTTGCTTTATTCATTTGCTCAACCTAACTTTCAAATTTTTCAGCATCTGGAGCCAGCTGCAGGGCATTGTACCTTCAAGGACACACAGTTAATGGGGTCTATCTGTTACAAGGTGTTTCTGGTTCAACATTTTATGTAAGTTACGTTTAAGAGTTAATACTTAATTTATAAAGGATATCACTGGTCTTGCGATTCTCTCATTTGCAGTCTAAGTCACAATGGTATGGGGGAAGGAATGAAAGCTTTTTGGCCCCACCCTTTGGCCATTTACTGCCGGGAAACCTTTTTATCAATGGAGGGCGATTATACATTAGCAGGAAGAGCACATATACCCAAAAGGGATGCTAATGTTACCAACTGGGAATTTACTTGAAAAATAAAAAATTGCTTGTTAAGTTGTGATTACTAAGTTAAGTTGAGTTTCAGATTCATAAAAGACAGACGAGGAAGTATTTAGTCAAAAATACCACTCGCACGACCTTATGGCGCCGAATTCAGAAAAAATATTGAAGTCTATCCATGATGGAAGATCGGGGCTGCCTTGCCTTTTATACCTCCTTCCAGCGCTGGTATGCCCCCTTCTAGCACTGTTTAGGGTAGGTGGTGCTGTGTGGAAAAGTAATTGTCACCAACTAAATCCACGAAGACATATTGCTCCTCTTTTCCCTGTATTCTAAAGACTGCAGAACTGATAAATAATTTGTTTTTTCCAAAAACATTTATTAGGTTTGATGCATAAAGAATAATTTTTTCATAGGCATACTGTCATATGAGTGCCGGTGGTTGGACACTGATAGCAAGGTTCTCGAACGCAGATGCAAAGAACTGGATGCAAAGTAGTGGTTCATTTTGGTACGACCAAGGGGAATTTGGATCAACAACATCACCATCGACAAATGCTGACATGATAAATAGGGCATTTTTCGATACTGCTGGAAACGATATCAAACTGTCTCGCAGTGATTCTTCTACCCACTACGTCCTGCTTTACGGAGGGAACTGTTTCTCTTCAGCAGTAACATTTCGTGGCAAGATGTCGTCATACGGCAATTTTAGGTAGAAGCGAATCGTTTTATTTATAATAAACGTTAGTCTTAGTGTTCGTAATTAAATTTAGCTTGTAGATTTTTGCTAAGGCAAGGGACATGGCATAACCTTACTAATGATTGTAGTGGTGGGGAGCTAAGGGGGGAGGAATGGTAAATTTGTGTTATTGCCTGAAAATAGAAAATAACCTTCTTTTGTTTTGGTTTTCCAAGTTTTTCATTAAGCTAGGACGTCGGAATAAGGGGTCTTCCTGGTGCACATGCCTCCTCAATTTGGTAACATCTCCTTTACCATAAGATAAAGTGAGCTTCTCTGACATTTGAAATAGTGCTCCTGCAAAGAGCTGAAACGAAACAAAATTACTGGACTAGGTAGATCGTAAGATCGCTTTATTTTGCTTTAGGAATAACGCAGTCTGGCTTCCTACAAATGATGGCTGCAGAGGAAGCTGCACAATTACTAGCTATGGAAGCGTGTCTGGAGTTGCTGGATTTTCACAGTACAGTTGCAGCGGTGACCTCAAACCAAGCAATACATTAGGCTTTTGGTGTCATTATAGCACAGGTGATGGGGCAGTGCTTATGATTGGTGGGGGTGGCAGTGCGTGTGGACGGGCAGATCACGGTGTTGGTATAACAGAGGCAAATACTCCAAAATTTGCAGATTCAACACCAAATTATGATTTTGGAGATAACGCAGATTACGCACAAGCAACTACATATGCCTTGAATCTTTGGATTCGATGAACTAGATCAATTGTAGATAATTTCTTTTATAGATCGCACAATATGAACAGGGACAGACCATTCAATTGCGTTTGGGCTACGATAATGAATGACAAGGGAGCTTGCAAAAATTCCTCCATAGCAGACGTTTTACAACGCTTGCTATGTTGAAATATTTAACATGAGTTTCCTAGAAACTTTGTACATATTTGATACTTAAATACCAGATGTAGGGGATACAGGGGCCTTGTGGTGGCTAGTGTTGTAGGTTGTATATGATTTGTACAACCAGAAGACAAGGCACTCATACGCCAGCAACTGTAAGGAAGGCCATATAAAATTCAGGGGACTATTATACTGACTTATTACATCAATATTGCATTCTGTAAACACGAAAACTATTTGAGCAGTAATAAATGGACTTATTTGAGCACTAATAATTAGAATTATAATATCTATGAACTGTTTGGAAACTGATTGTTATCTATTAGAATCTTTATCTATTACATCGACATATCTATTAGAATCTTTGTTTATTAGATCACTTCTAGCTGCGTTTGTAACATATGCTACTGATGTTTCGTTTTGTTCTATCATGATGGAGGTGGTTCACAAACAAATGCATTTGTCTTAAATCTTTGGCATGGGTGCCATCAGGGAATAAAAAACCACCTGACCATGTGGCCAGGCGGTCGCAGGAAATTTTTCATGAATAAATTTCTGCAGAAAGTTTTTGGAATATACTATTTTTCAAGAGGCATCTTTGTTTCTTTAATGTTCATCACAAGCAAAAACGCAAAGTCAAAACAAATGTACCTCATGTATGTGCCTTGTACAGGTTGAAATGGGTTTCCTATCTAAGAACCCTTGAAAATGTTTTTAAAAATTCTTGTTTGATAAAAGCTTACAGTTTTTCATCTGACTTAAGAATCTTTGTTATAATCTACAGAATTCTTGAAAATTCTGTACATTTTTGCTATGTTGATGCGTGAAAGACCGCTACCGTATATTGCCTATAACAGTGATTTTTACTGATCATCTTTCATGCTTTTTGCAATTGGTTTCTGCTCAGGGTTCTGACCTATATTTTCGTTAAGTAGTTTTTAGAAACTTCCATGGATACAAGGACATCATATGATGAATCATTCTATGCTCATTTTTAATTTTATCTATTATAATGCCTGGATGGAGACAAATGTAGCTGAAAAGTATGTAAATAGGTAGATTACTATTGCACTTTTTTCCTTTTTGTATATAAATAATTTATATTAATTAGTTTCACATAATTGTCTATGTATATTAACTATTGTTCAAACCAACTGTAAATTTAGAGATTTTTATTATTATAATTATTATTGTTGGCAACTCCTTCAGATTATTCATCGATATGTGTGACTCTTTGTCCATTGATCATCAACAGAAACGCTATCTCAGCTACAAACTTTTCAGCAACTCCATTCGCACCACATACAATATTATTTGCTGTAGAAACGCTGTAGGAACAAAACTTGACAAACCCAGAGCTACTCCCCATTTCACGTTTTTTTCTTTTCTTATTACTACGATTGTAATAGTTTTATTTTGTAAAAAAACAGGCAAGCTAGTTACCTTGTAATAGTAAGATTTGTAATTGTAATTTTAAATGCAATTCTAAATGGAAGGTTTCCATTATTATTAATATTATTTCCTGTTAATCTCAGCTTCAATGATGTAAAATGGCTGGCTTTATTCGGCTAAACATCAGGTTCTATTCTATTTCCTGGTACTTGTCCACTTTCTCCCTCTCTTTTTCAGCAAATCGGGTGTCAAAAGGGCATGCCACATCCACAATCTTGCATGTTCTATTCTCCTTCTCAAAAACTACCATATTTGGTTTCGAGTGCTCCAGGATCTTATCAGTCTGTCTGTTTCGAGTGCACCAGGATCTTATCAGTCTGTCTGTTTCGAGTGCTCCAGGATCTTATCAGTCTGTCTGTTTCGAGTGCTCCAGGATCTTATCAGTCAGTATCTCCATATCTCAAAGGATTTTAGCTTTTTTGTTTTCTGTTACCTATTCTGGATGATGATCATACCACTTTTCTATGTGTTCTAGATCATGAGTTTCGCATAGCTGCCAATGAATAACCTGGACAATTTTATAATGACGCCATTTCTTGTACTGTGTCTGACAAAGGATCTAGCACTCAGACACCAAATGGGCTATCGTTTCATCTCTCTCTCCACAGAGTCTGCACAATGAGGAGATGATGTTCTCTTTGTCGATACAATGTCTAATAGACCTTGTTCTGATAACTTGTTCTTGTGCTGCCATAATAGTTCCTTCTGTGGCTGTCTTCAAATCTCCTTTTCTCAACCAATTCTACGTCTGCTCATCTCTAAATTCAGTATTTTTGAAAAACACGCTATGTAGGTTTTTGCGTTTCAGGTTCTCTCTTCTGTGTTCTATATGTTTTCTTTTTATATTTTCTGCTTTAACCAAAAGTGGTTCCATAAGCGTGGGAGACAGGAGCTGGGAGGACTGAAGCCCCACTAATCAGGCAACATTATAAATTTTCAGGCTCCATTTCGGAAATTGTTTCTTGACAAAGCACTCATATTCGGGTAAGATCGATACTAAACCCCCTTAAACCTTTTGTATCCGCTACGCCCATAGGTAATACCGAGATACTATGCGATACAGTCGAGTCCTCTTATAGTCACTCCAGTTGCAGTCACATTACTGGTTACAGGCGCATATTTGGGTCTAATATGTGCATTTTTGTGTCGAATATGTACATATTTGGGTCTAATATGTGCATTTTTGGGTCTAATATGTGCATACAGTGGGACCCCGCCTTACGGCCACTTCGTTAATACGACCACCTCGTTATTACGGCCACATTCGTTTGGCCCGGAAAAACGGCCATACATAGTATCATAAAATGCCCATATCTGTGTCATAATATGCACATATCTAGGTCTATTATGTGCATATTTGGGACTAAGTCCACTGGAGAAAAATCAGAATGTTTGGTGCATGTGGTTGTTTAGCTCAAAGCAGGGGCGGATCCAGACAAAAATTTGACATTCTCAAAACCCGTTATGACCTCAAAGGGCCTAGTGGGGCGAATTCCCCACCACTCGGTTTGTTAGAAAATTCTCCTGATGAGCCTTGGTGATCGTATTTGTATGATCTTCTCAAATTTAGGATTAATTTTATTTCAACACGAAAATCCCAATTTCCAATTGGCATCCATACTCACTTGAATTAAAAAGGTTCAAAAATCTAGAAAACTGCTTTGAAATCTAAAATAACATTAGACAAAATTAATTCTTCCTAAGTGTACATTATCAATGTGTCCCTTTTTCCATAGGAGCATGATTATCAAGAACAGCAATCTTGCAAGACAATTAGACAGATGAAAGACTGTAGACTAATTGATGAGCTTGAGCTTCCACTTAAGAGCTTTCAAAACTTTCTTGATGCTGCAACTCATGCAGTAAACCAGGGTCTCCACCTTTATCTTTCTTCCTTTGTGTGCCCTTTTGTAGGTGATTGGCCAGCACAGTTCTTCATGAGACAGGTTCAATATAACCTCCCCAGTTTTGCTCCTTTGTCTTTACAAAATATTGTTCCTTTCATTGGTCCCTTGCACATTCAACTAAATGCAAGAGAATCTGTTTGTCTACTCAATATCGAGTTTTTCAAAAAGGCCTTTTCCTTCATCTTTGGTGCTAGGAAACACCTTTCAAATAAACCAAAAGCAAGTCGAATTTCTTTAATCGAGGAGATACTTTATGGTGGTTGGACATCAATCAGAGAGCAAGTTACTGTAGCTTTCTCAAACTGCAAAGACCTACAGTACTTAGCCCTTTTAAATCTGTTAGATAATTATCTTCCTGTTGTCCTTTCTATCTATTCTGTCATCTTTAAAAGGCAAAACACAGAGGAGTATGCCACATCACTTCTCAGGTGTTGGATAATGTTCTTTTGCTATAAACGACACCACTACAATAAGGCACCATTAATTTGGCTGAGCAATTTCATGCATTGGAAGAATCAAGATCATCCTCTTTTCAACACACTGATGACAAATCTTAATGCATTTGATGAGTACCCTGTGGAAAATTTCCATTCCATACTGCGAGCTCAGTCAAGCCATAGCGACAGTGGTGATCTTCTGCGCCAAAAAGCAAGAGCATTTGACAACACCAAAGCCACTTCAGCAAAATTTTCATCTGTTTTTGAAGTTCCAAAAAAATACACCTTCAGCAGATCAAAACTGGAAAGAATTAAATTGGATGCCGCCAAATTCATTTGCAGCATTTTGAAGCAAATTGCCCAAAATCCCAATTCTGGATATCAGGTGCCTCGACCAGCTAGGAAAGCAAAAAATATGACATACTGGAAACTGCCTGTACTTTATGGAGAAGACACAGTTGTAGCATCCAAGGTCCTTCCGCTTGGATTCCAGTTTCTCAACAAGGAACCAAATCCAAGCAGGTACACTCTTTTTGATAAGAACCAGTAAATTTCCTCTTTCATCACTGAAAAAGCACACAAATGACCAAAAACCATCATTATTTTAGATAAAACATTGCTCAAAATTGCATCTAACAGTAGCTCAGCCTCAGCTTGTTCCTAATTTATTTTTAGCTTTTGACCAATCTTGAAACTCATGTTCTTATGTTCATGTTCAAAAAAAGTGCATATATATATAATGTAATTCGGTATATTATAACATTTGCTCATATAATATAAATGATTTATGTCATATCCTTTACTCCTTTGAGAAAAATAAATTACTTGCTGCTGAGAGACTTTCTAATCTAATGGCCCCAGCCCCAGAACATTAAATATGCCCTTATGTATCCAAAATGTATATTTTACACTCAATGTTTACCTGTGCCAAAAATAGAATACAGTAGAAAAATGGAACTTCTTAGGCTTTTGACATTTTAACCTATGAACAAATTACAAACAATTATTTTTCTTCGTAGATCAACTGTATCATTATAGTTCACAATTGTTAAAATTTCAAACAAAACATGCAATTTTTTTATTCTCTCCGTTTTAAGGCGATGCGACCTACCTAATTGTGTGCAACCATCCATCAATACAAGCATGAAAATTCTCCATGGTTGTGGGCACTCCTTTCATCCGGAATGCTTTCCTTCTGGCCCTGGCATTTGTAGCATTTGCAAAGATAAGTTGGTTGATGCGATCAAAGTTTTATCTGAAGCTGCATCAGCATCCATTCTCAATCCAGACTCGGTGCCAATTGTTGGTGATCGCGATAACGACGATAAAGAAAAGGGTGACGATGGTGAGGAAGAGTTTACTACCGACGAAAAAGGCTGTGATCCCGCAACCATTGCTGACGCCTTCCTCGAGTTAAAAAGAGAGATATTTACATGGGGCCTTATTCCAGGACCAGAAGCTTAACGTTTTCAGAAATCCTGGGATCACAAATCAAACGGTTTTTTTAAAAACCACCAAATAACCAGCTTAGGTTCTACCTACCGAGTGACACACACATACTGCTAACCAGATTGGAATAGTAAATGGTGACCAAATGTTTTAAAAATCATCAAACTGAGTGGAAAAAGTTTTTATGAGTGTATTAAATTTCTTTTTAGCGGCACTCCGATGCAAGATCTTGAACTAAAGAACAATCCAATAAGATGACATAGCATGTCGGCCTAAGAGCTAAAACACGTGCTTAAGATAACTTCTTGCAAAAAATGAATTTTATCATTTGTGTTAGCAAACTGTAGCCAAAGTGCTAATATCTTATAAGGTTGCATCATGCCATAAAAATTAAAGAAACTTACTGCGTTCTAAAGTACACGAACAGCAAGAATGGATGCACATCGCGGCTGTTCAAGTTCGAGTCACTCGAGTGCAAAGCACATGTCATGTTGAGCATTCCGGAACATACCATAACCCGGAAACAGAACAGAAGTGACATTTCTATTCTGTGACCCGGATAATGTGGACGTCAACGCTTCGGGCACTAGCACTGCCATTAAATATAATTTCCTGACCACTTACAAGATTTTACCACATAGAATAAAAAAAATTGAATTCCGAAATCTGAGGAGAGCTACCAGTTACTGATTTTGTTGCGTCGGCCTAAGCGATAGTCATGAATGAAATCGTTTTTCATCAAAATTCCCAGGTATAAAGTTGAAGTAAACATGGTTTGTGAATTGTGAAAAAACAAGAATAATTAAAATTTGAGTTTTCTTGTTAATCTGTTGTTTTTGACTGTTAATTCATTCATTACAATCTCCTTCAATATAAATGTTTCTGCTGGCTAGGTTTGAGACGCTGTATTTTCTAAACAATTAAAAATCGGGGTCATGTTCCACGGTAGATTTGTGGGAAATTTATCTGTGTAGGGCTGTAGTTAAAAAAATTTGAAATTTATCGCAGCAGATTTTACACGTTATTTTTTTAACGGAGGGTGGTAAAAATGCCCAATTTTCGGCTTTGGCCTAAGTTTGTTTACACTTTCCGGGACCGTGATTGGCTTAGCGGCGAGAGAGACCACATGACTTAGCGCAAGCTCTCAGCCAATCAAGATTTGAGCCCTATGCTGAAAATTGCCACGATCCTTTACCTTTATTTGTTGATTGCTGATTGGCTATCTACAAAACCATCTGCCTGCGGCGTTACAAAGAGACCCATGGGATAATGGTATCCGCGTTTTCTGGCTTCCATGGGAATGTTGCGTTGTTGATCTTGTATTGAGAAATTATTTAGAGTGTTGTGTCATTGCATCTCAAATCACGAAGCATCACTAATTGCAAGTCCTTGTAAGATTGCTTGCTGAAGAACAATCATGGTATTGGTACAGAAGAGAATGGACAAACATACAGGACAAACGATGTTAGAAACATCATTGCCTCTTCGAGCACCGAATGCATTGATCAAAAAATTGAAATGGTTTATGCAACAAAGAGGTAATACTTGATAGTATTTTTAAGTAAAAAAAGGGGGGTTTCCTATTTGCTCTGGTCGCGCGACTGTTGCCAAAGCGATTCGACAAATCAACTGAGTTGAACAACTTGGCGAATGGTCGTGCATTCACAGTGAAAAAGAAAGTTTGATGTTGCTTATACTCAAAAGTGATTTCGCTCAGTTGCGCGAATAGTGCAAATCAATTGGAAACCGGCCTTAAGAGTTTGGTACAGTCGCGGTACGGGCCATGCAGATGTGGAAAGGAGGGCAACATAAATCCTTTTTGGTCCGCGATTTTTAGTGTCAGACAATGCTATTTTACAACCAGCTACACCAATCTTTTACGAAATTTGTTGGTTTTGCAAAGTAACTTGTAAAATCATAGTTGGGCCCCATAAAGTATGTTTTGCCATTATATTACTTATACAGTGACGCAGATGCTATTTTTTGCAAATCTTAATGTTAGCCGTTCAATCGACCGGGGTAGAAACCTTAAAGTAAACTATAGAAGACTTGTTAGATGTGTGTACAGAGTTTGTTAAAGGAAATCACGGCACCAGATGTACCAAGATTAACCAATCATATCCTGACAAGTGCATTAATCCTTTCTATCCCATTTTCAACTGTCCCTCTTGTATAATGCTTCGGCAGGATGGAGACAAAAATACAACTTCTCGACGTTTTTGTGTCTTTTCAGATCAACAAACATACGTTATACACTACTGAGGCTTTTCTCAAGCACCTACAGTATGAACTCTAAATCCTTATATTGCTTGATTGCCAAAGAATAAGCCGTTGTCAAGGAGGCCTAATAAATTTATGAATTCTATTTTAGGACTCGAAATAATCAAATGTAATAAAAGCATGCCTTAAAAAAGCAAAAAATTCAATTGATTGCAAGATTGCAAGAAAATGACTGCAAGAAATATTTTGAAATGTAATTTAAGCGAATCTAAAGGATGTGGTTGTAAAATTCTTTCGGAAGCCTCTTTCTTTCAACTATAGCTAAGGTCCCCGACAACCGCTCGTCAGCCCCTTTCAATATACAGCATAACATAGGCATAAAATATCGTGGAGAATTTTATTGCGTTATTAAAAAGTTGGTTCTTTTGTCCTATGAAGTGCTCTTGATTTCAATCTTGTGTTTGAATTGAGCTAGGGTGCCTCGTAAAGTAATGAATTCCATTTTAAGAATGGGATACATAAAAATTTTTGGCTTGCTCCGCTCGTAGGGGGCTTCATATTTTTACTCCAAGGCCTTCGAAACTTTCTATGGCCTTGGCTGAAGCTTTCATTAATGCAATGTCTGCACTAAGTTTGTCGCTCAATTTACCATACGGAGGTTCCTCCGGTAAAAAATGTTTCACCATGCTAAAAAAGGATAAAGAAAAATAGTGAAATAACGTCCACAATGTTACAGTAGTGCGTTGTTGTCTTATGTTTAATGGCAGCAGATTTTGATGTCCTGGGAGTTTTAAACACCAATAAAATCATCGAAATGTTTTCAGCATTAAGTAAAGACGAAAGACATTAGCGTCATGAACCAAGGCAAGGGTAGTTCTGTTGGGAATGGACTGAAACGCTAAATGGATACAAGTTAATTCGTGTCTTATAGTTTCTATCTATCAAACTTTTTAGTGAATTTAACCTGGTTATGATTATGTTTAGCAAAGTACTATGCATGTGACACATACTTTTTGTATTTTTCAAGGGGCCCCAATCAAATTTAGGCCCAGGACCCCAACAAATGTAAATACGGTCTTGACTACCCCTACCGTAGGGAAAATACTCTTCAAGAATTTCGAAAAGGATGGTTGCTAAATTGCTCTGGTGGCTAAATTTCTCTTGTAGCAGCGAGGAGTTATTATTTATGGGCCTCTATAGCCAAGGGCCCCGGACTAGTGAGCCCCTTGACCCTTTTCTCCTCAGCACTTGAAGTGATTGTACCTACAATAAGGTAAATCAACCATGTGACTTCACCTTTAATGCAGTTTATTTTGATAAAGGATGTACCAAAACTAAAATCAGGACTTCACCATTTCTCATGTATGTTGTTATTAGTGCAGCTGACTCATTATCCTGTGAATACCTTGACCCAAAATCTGTATAAAAGTTTCTATATTTGGGTCTGCGATATCCGTACCTTAGCAAAACCTTAGTTATGCTGGTAACTATTCTGGAAAATTACCTGTGCGGTTGGTTCTTCCCACCAGCGGTTGAACCCATAAACAGTATTAATAATTTAGATATACTGTTGTGCTAATTGATGGCGGCAAAATGGGAATTAGGTCAATACCAAATCAAAGTTAACAAGATTGGAAGATCCTACATATCACACGTGGCTCGTTATCAATTAAGCGGCCCCAATCTTTTGTGTTCTTCGATAAATTTTGCTTCTATTCAGTAAAAGCACTTTTTAGTGGTCAGTAGTAACAAAATAATGCAATAATTCACTTAATTTATTTTACTATTTTCCTTATCTTGAAGTTAAAAGCTGATTTTCTTAATTTTCAATAATTTTCCAGTCACCTTAAGGGTGTGGCACAAAATCCAATCATTGACTGTCCCTAATCCATGCGGTTTAGATCCGCCCCTTTGTTAAAAATGCAATTTAAAATATGTTTTCTGACAGTTACAGCTTTCTTAGGGTCATTGCCTTGTCCCAAATCCAAAATCTGAATTTACATTGAAAAGCTAGCCTGGAGATATGTTTATCTTGATGTAGATCTTCTGTTGATACTCTTAAATTAATGTTTTGTTGCTAAACTGCGTTTCATATTTTTTTTTCTATTTTGGTATCTATTTAATGTAAAATAACCTCGATCATACTCACTCCATGCACTTACTGCATATATTCTAAAATCTTGCAAAAACTATTTCATATCAGCTTCAAAATACATAAAACTGTGGGACAAAGTATTGAAAAAAAGCTTGTTTATTGCTTCGTGTTTAGATTGCTCAAAATATTATATTTAGATACAGTTTCTGACATCCCTAGAATACATTTTTCATCAATCCTTAATAAATCATGCATGTTCTTTTTCGCTCTGTAATCTCTGCAATCATGCTTTTGTAATCCTTAGCTTGCTCAATAATATCGACAACTGTGATATTATTTATCAAGATAATTCTTCACTACATTTTCCTTGTCTCGATATTTGAAGATAATATTATGACGCTTAAGTTATATAAGATGACCCAAGCGTTGATTGCTGGTTGGTAAACAGTTTGGTCAATAGCTGCAAATATGTAGAAGTTATTTTGACTTAAAACATAAGTGTTTGTTCTTTTTCTCCAAAAATCTCAATGATTTATAATTCAAATACCCTTAATCAGGCTTTTGTAATCCTTAGCTTGCTCAATGATATCGTTAACTGTGATATTATTTATCAAGACATTTCTTCGCTATATTTTCCTTGTCTCGATATTTGTAGATAACATCATGACGGTTAAGTTATATAACAAGAACCAAGCGTAAATTGCTGGTTGGTATACAGTTTGGTCAATAGCTACAAATAAGTAGAAATTACTTTGACCTGTGGAATTTGGCTAAATAAGAGTATAAATCTTGCCGAACATGAATAATTCAGAATGGTTACTATGGAGTTTCTAAGGCAAAGAAATCTATAAATTAAACTTACAGCGGAGATACGTTACCAGAGTCATTGACAACTTCAGGCTCCCCAGTGTCAAGTGCTCAAATCAAATTGGAAAATGCAATCCAAAAGATGTTTTGTAACTGTCACAGCTCTAGTCTGCTTTTTGATCTGTGCCAAATCACAAAGCATCACAATACACCGTTCGTCGTGCAGGAGAGATGTTCTAATGAAAGCAACGGACCTTGATAAAAAATTGACTGGCACTGCGCAAAATATCATATTGGAGATCTACGCCAACAAGCTTTCACTTTGCGCAAAGAGGTGCACAGGGGCAGAGAAGTGTATGACGATCAATTACAAGAAGTTTCCTGCCTCTTTGCAAGAGAATAATTGCCAATTACTGGATATTTCGAAAGCAAATCAGAGCGTATCATTGACAAATGCAGCTAGGTGGATTCACTACGAGCCAGTAGCACAGGTACTGTGTTTCAATATGACAAAATATGTCAATGTCAATTCTGCTCTGCTCTGCTCTGCTCTGCTCTGCTCTGCTCTGCTCTGCTCTGCTCTGCTCTGCTCTGCTCTGCTCTGCTCTGCTCTGCTCTGCTCTGCTCTGCTCTGCTCTGCTCTGCGCTGCTCTGCTCTGCTCTGCTCTGCTCTGCTCTGCTCTGCTCTGCTCTGCTCTGCTCTGCTCTGCTCTGCTCTGCTCTGCTCTGCTCTGCTCTGCTCTGCTCTGCTCTGCTCTGCTCTGCTCGGCTCTGCTCTGCTCTGCTCTGCTCTGCAAGGCTCTGCTCTGCTCTGCTCTGCTACAAAGTAACCAAAGTCTTCCTAAATTGAGTTCCCTTTTCTTTTTCTTTAAGGTTGGACCACGTTGCCGATTATATAACTGTAGTGCTGGCTACCAGTGCATCGAGTCATGCTCAAATTTAGATGGAATCGAGTGCATTGGTTTGTATACATTTTCATCCTTTCAGATATTCTACTGTTACAGGGTCTGATATTAATCGACGTAAACATTGAATTCAAGGCACTTTGGTTTTATAGCTTTTAAACTGATTATGTTGACATCCTTCATTGCTAATTTGACTGAGGAACTCGTTTCGAAGTGTCACACACCCTTTTGAAGATACAATGCTCAAGCTTGATACACTATTATAAACACGAGAGCTGTGACAATATCGCAACTACATTCAATTTTCTATTGTTATATCTTTGAAAATGTTGCAATTTTTTACAACCCTTTTTGCGCCACAGATTTAACGCTTTTTCAAGTTATAACTCATGACAAATTTCTTGTCTTGAGTATTCGTGCAGATTGTACCTAATTTGATTGTTTAACACAGCCTGGTGCAACAGTTCAAGAACTAGGTGTGATTATTACTGTGGTATTCATTTTAGATATAAATGAGTGTGCAAGCAGTCCATGTCAAAATGGCGGCACATGCTTTGATGGAGTCAACAATTACACTTGCACTTGCGCAGCAGGATACGAAGGAACAATGTGTCAGACAGGTAAAAGATGCTCAATTGAAGAATATTTATCTCTCTCATAACATCTACTTTTCAAAATAAATAGACTATTTGTGATTATTACTGTGGTATTCATTTTAGATATAAATGAATGTGCAAGCAGTCCATGTCAAAATGGCGGCACATGCTTTGATGGAGTCGACAATTACATTTGCACTTGCGCAGCAGGATACGAAGGAACAATGTGTCAGACAGGTAAAAGATGCTCAATTGAAGAATATTTATCTCTCTCATAACATCTACTTTTAAAAATAACCTTGACCATTTGTGATTATTGCTGAGGTATTCATTTTAGATACAAATGAATGTGCAAGCAGTCCATGTCAAAATGGCGGAACATGCGTTGATGGAGTCAACCATTACACTTGCACTTGCGCAGCAGGATACGAAGGAACACTGTGTCAGACAAGTAAGAGATGCTCAATTGTAGAATATTTATTTCTCTCATATCATCTACTTTTAAAAATAACCTTGACCATTTGTGATTATTACTGTGGTATTCATTTTAGATATAAATGAATGTGCAAGCAGTCCATGTCAAAATGGCGGCACATGCGTTGATGGAGTCAACCAGTATTCTTGCACTTGCGCAGCAGGATACGAAGGAACACTGTGTCAGACAAGTAAGAGATGCTCCATTGTAGAATATTTATCTCTCTCATATCATCTAATTTTAAAAATAAACTTGACTTTCTTTAATTATTGCTGAGGTATTCATTTTAGATACAAATGAATGTGCAAGCAGTCCATGTCAAAATGGTGGCACATGCGTTGATGGCACCAACCAGTACTCTTGCACTTGCGCAGCAGGATACGAAGGAACACTGTGTCAGACAAGTAAGAGATGCTCAATTGAAGAATATTTATCTCTCGCATATCATCTACTTTTAAAAAAAATCTTGATTATTTGTGATTATTACTGAGGTATTCATTTTAGATACAAATGAATGTGCAAGCAGTCCATGTCAAAATGGCGGCACATGCGTTGATGGAGTCAACCAGTATTCTTGCACTTGCGCAGCAGGATACGAAGGAACGCTGTGTCAGACAAGTAAGAGATGCTCCATTGTAGAATATTTATCTCTCTCATATCATCTAATTTTAAAAATAAACTTGACGATCTTAAATTATTGCTGAGGTATTCATTTTAGATACAAATGAATGTGCAAGCAGTCCATGTCAAAATGGCGGCACATGCGTTGATGGCATCAACCAGTACTCTTGCACTTGCGCAGCAGGATACGAAGGAACACTGTGTCAGACAAGTAAGAGATGCTCAATTGTAGAATATTTATCTCTCGCATATCATCTACTTTTAAAAATAATCTTGATTATTTGTGATTATTACTGAGGTATTCATTTTAGATACAAATGAATGTGCAAGCAGTCCATGTCAAAATGGCGGCACATGTGTTGATGGAGTCAACCAGTATTCTTGCACTTGCGCAGCAGGATATGAAGGAACACTTTGTCAGACAAGTAAGAGATGCTCAATTGTAGAATATTTATTTCTCTCATAACATCAAATTTTAAAAATAACCTTGACTGTCTGTGATTATTAATGAGGTATTCATTTTAGATACAAATGAATGTGCAAGCAGTCCATGTCAAAATGGCGGCACATGCGTTGATGGAGTCAACCAGTACTCTTGCACTTGCGCAGCAGGATATGAAGGAACAATGTGTCAGACAAGTAAGAGATGCTCAATTGAAGAATATTTATCTCTCGCATATCATCTACTTTTAAAAATAATCTTGATTATTTGTGATTATTACTGAGGTATTCATTTTAGATACAAGTGAATGTGCAAGCAGTCCATGTCAAAATGGCGGAACATGCGTTGATGGAGTCAACCAGTACTCTTGCACTTGCGCAGCAGGATACGAAGGAACACTGTGTCAGACAAGTAAGAGATGCTCAATTGTAGAATATTTATGTCTCTCATATCATCTACTTTTAAAAAAAACCTTGACCATTTGTGATTATTACTGAGGTATTCATTTTAGATACAAATGAATGTGCAAGCAGTCCATGTCAAAATGGTGGCACATGCGTTGATGGCGTCAACCAGTACTCTTGCACTTGCGCAGCAGGATACGTAGGAACCCGGTGTCAATCAAGTAAGAAATGATCAAAAGATTGAAGAATTTCTTTTCTGATTGGAATTCTTTATGACTGGTTTGTTCATTTCCATAGGCCCCGGGTGCGAAGTTAGTCACCCATGTGTGTCAATAAATCTGTTCGCACCTAGAAAAACGTTTTTACTTATATTTTACTGTCCTCACTCTGCCTTTTTCTTATTCAAACCGCATAATTTCAGTTCATAAATGTATTTGTTAGATTGATACAATCAATTTATTTTATTCGCTGTACGACAAGCCAATCTCTCCATATTGATGCTCGTTTGATTGATACAGTCTACTGAAATTTTTTCAACTCCTCTCCTCTCTGTGCTGAGCACAATTTACAACGTGTTTTGTTTTGAGATGCACAGTAATTGGCTATTCTAACTCGCTCTTTGCAGCAATAAATGAAATTTACATAAATATCACCTTTACACGCCCATATCCCTATGTTTTTCTTACCTGTGCACTTCCTGAGTTCGAGAAATTCCAATCGAACTTCACTGAGTCTCCTCCAATTAGGATATCTTCCCACAAACAGTGTCTAGAAGGCCTTGTCATGTCATAAGACATCAGATGAGGTGCTATTTGAGACACAGCGCCTCGAAATCGTAGCTGAATGTCACAGGGTCTTGAAACGAGAAGGAGGAGGCAGTGAAATATGGCCTTTCTAATTGACTAAAGTGGAATGATTGTTTGGTAGAAAGACTGAAAGGGAGGGAGGCCAGAGGATCGAGTCCTCCAACTTGACTGTTTTGCAAAAATATATTAATGCAAAATCTTTAACTACGTCTTAATTTTTGCCCTTGTTTTATTCATTTGCTCAACCTAACTTTCAAATTTTTCAGCACCTGGAACCAGCTGCAGGGCATTGTACCTTCAAGGACACACAGTTAATGGGGTCTATCAGTTACAAGGTGTTTCTGGTTCAACATTTAATGTAAGTTACGTTTAAGAGTTAATGCTTAATTGATAAAGAATATCACTGGTCTTGCGATTCTCTCATTTGCAGTCTAAGTCACAATGGTATGGGGGAAGGAATGAAAGCTTTTTGGCCACATCCTTTGGCCATTTACTGCCGGGAAACCTTTTTATCAATGGAGCGCGATTATACATTAGCAGGAAGAGCACATATACCCAAAAGGGATGCTAATGTTACCAACTGGGAAATTACTTGAAAGATAATAAATTGCTTGTTAAATTGTGATTACAAGAGTTTCAGATCCATAAAAGCAGACGAGGAAGTATTTAGTCAAAAATACTACTCGCACGACCTTATGGCGCCGAATTCAGAAAAAATACTGAAGTCTATCCTTGATGGAAGATCGGGGCTGCCTTGCCTTTTATACTCCCTTCTAGCGCTGCTATGCCCCCTTCTGGCACTGTTTAGGGTAGGTGGTGCTGTGTGGAAAAGTAATTGCCACCAACTAAATCCTTGAAGACATATTGCTCCTCTTTAGTCTGAAGTCTAAAGACTGCAGAACTCATAAATAATTTGTTTTTTTCCAAAAACATTTATTAGGTTTGATGATAAAGGAATAATTTTTTCATAGGCATACTGTCTTAAATTTTTTGGCATATTTTCACTAGTTTCGTATAAACAAAATTATTGTCAATAAAAAACGTGTACTTATCTATCTATGCATTCGTTAGATTGAGATAAAATCAGATGAAGCTTATTTTATTCGATGCATGCCAAACTAGTTCTTCCTGAAGACAGTATCCGAAAAGTTATTTTACAATTTTGAAATTTCTGATGATGAATATCACAGGGGCTTTAAACAAGAAGGCGAAAACATTTAAAAATGGTCTCTCTGAGTAGCTTGTATGCAACCTAATTGACTATATTTGGAATGATCGATTGATAACAAGGACCATGTCCTTCTCCCCAACCTCATTGTAAACAAATATGAACAAATGTTGTTCTGTAAAATGCTTGCTACCTGTCTTCAATTTGCCTTTGTGCCCCCCATCTCGCTTTCAAACTTGCGCCAGAACCTACAGGCCCTCTGATTCCCGAATTCCCGTCACGTTTCAGCCCGATTCCCCGAAAGCATATTGAGTACGCTCGTCAATCTGAATGTCAATTTTTTTAGCAATTTAATGTGAGTTCCTTTCTCAATATAGTTACAAGATACTTGCAGTGGCGGCTTTAGCCTCAAAAGTGTGTGGAAAAATATAAAAATCTTCAGGCTCCACAATTTCCTTATTTTACTATCTCATAACCTTTTTGTCAATAGGGGACTATCATTTCACTAAAAGGGATAGTTAAGGTTAACAATAGCGAGCACCAATGAACAATTATTGATTTAACTATGGCAGTATCACAATCATGAAAAAAACAGGAACAAAGTATTTCGTCAAAAATACCATTCGCCTGCCACTATCACTATGACATTATATACTATGACATAATTAGAAAATCAATCCTACCGAAAGAGGGGGCTATCTCCCCTTTCACCCTGGCGCTGCCATTGGCACCGTGATTTTATGTTTAATAGTAGATGGACATGGAAGGGTAATTACTACAAACTATACCATCCATGGAGAGAAAAATGTTCCTCTTTTGCCTGTATTCTAAAGACTGCAGATCTCACTAATAATTTGTCATTTGAAAGACATCTATTTTGTTAGATGCTGAAAGAGCAATTTTTTCATAGGCGTACTGTCATATGTCTGACGGTGGTTGGACGTTGATAGCAAGGTTCTCGAACGCAGATACAAAGAACTGGATGCAAAGTAGTGGTTTATTTTGGTACGACCAAGGAGTATATGGATCAACAACATCACCATCGACGAATGCTGACATGATAAATAGGGCATTTTTCGATACTGCTGGAAACGATATCAAACTGTCGCGGAGTGATGTCTCTGCCCATTCCTTCCTGCTATACGCCGCTGGATGTTTCTCTTCAGCGGCAACATTTCGTGACAAGATGTCTTCATATGGCAATTTTAGGTAGAAGCGAATCGTTTTATTTAAAATAAACGTTAGTCTTAGTGTTCGTAATTATATTTAGCTTGTAGATTTTTGCTATGGCAAGGGACATGGCATAACCTTACTAATGATTGTAGTGGTGGGGAGCTAAGGGAGGAGGAATGGCAAATTTTGTTATTGCCTGAAAATAGAAAATAACCTTCTTTTGTTTTGGTTTTCCAAATTTTTGATTTAGCTAGGACGTCGAAACAAGGGGTCTTCCTGGTGCACATGCCTCCTCAATTTGGTAACATCCCCTTTACCATAAGATAAAGTGGGTTTTCTGACATTTAAAAAAGGTGCTCCTGCAAAGAGCTGAAACAAAACAATATTACTGGACTAAGAAGACTGTAAGATCGCTTTATTTTGCTTTAGGAATAACGCAGTCTGGCTTCCTACAAATAAGTAGATCATTATATACAGGTTTATAAGTAGGTCAGCCGCTGTCTTCCTCTGCTCCCTCGATTCTTCCCGTTAGTGTCAAGTTCTCAAGACTTTCTTTTCTCATTATGTGCCCAAAAAACTCCAACTGTCTCTTCCTGATTAATCTCATCAAGCTTCTTTCCTTTTCTGCTCTGCGTAACATTTCTTCATTCGTAATGTGATCTGTCCAGGATATTCAGAGCATTCGCCTTAGGAACCACATCTCTACTGCCTCCAGTCTTCCTTCCATCTGACAAGAGATTGTCCAACACTCACTGCCATACGTAATGATAGAGAAAGATACATATGCTAAAAGTCTGTCTTATGTTCCAATAGGAACAATGTGCGATGGCTTCCTACCAATGATGGCTGCAGAGGAAGCTGCACAATTACTAGCTATGGAAGCGTGTCTGGAGTTGCTGGATTTTCACAGTACAGTTGCAGCGGTGACCTCAAACCAAGCAATACATTAGGCTTTTGGTGTCATTATAGCACAGGTGATGGAGCAGTGCTTATGATTGGTGGTGGTGGCAGTGCGTGTGGACGGGCAGATCACGGTGTTGGTATAACAGAGGCAAATTATCCAGTATTTGCAGATTCAACACCGAATTATGATTTTGGAGATGAGGCAAACAACGCACAAGCAACTACTTATGCTTTGAATCTTTGGATTCGATGAACAGGATCATTCCAGCATGGACCTTCAATAAGGTGTCTAGAGAACTTTTCTTAATCCAAGTAAAAAGAAGCTCGCAAAACTCACAAATTGAAATTGTCATAACGAAGGCAGACATTAAGGTCAAGTTTGTAATTAATCAGAAATTTAGGCTAAGATGAAAAGAGTGTTTTCCACTCTTATCAGATTCACCGTTGTATGCAAAGATATTTAAAATCTTTTTATGCACAGCGTTGCTAATCGGAAACATATGCATTTTTAGTTATCTTTTCTAAAGGCTGAGTATTTAAAATTGTTGGCAGAATGAAACTCTTGCATGACCATAATCAACGGAAGAAAAAAGAGCATAAAAATACAATAAAGTTCATCACACTAATACGCCGGAATAAAAGAGGGGAAAAGAGGAAAGACTTCTTTTTTGTAATTCTCGCTGCATGGGCTCTGACTAGAAAAATTTCCACCTAGATAATGTTGGAACTTTTGAACTAACAGAACAATACGTGAACCCTCGTTTTCATGTGGTATTGTTTTATTTTGCGTTTTACGGGATATTTTTTGCTGTCTTAAAAAATTGGAGAAGAAGGAGTCCAGAAAGACGTTTCACAAGAATCCTAGAAGACCACAACTTCTACACAAGAAAAACCTCTCAGGTGTTGTTGCTCAAAGCTTTGGAGCCAGGCTTTGAATTTGGTACAAACAATTATAACTTTTCAAATTGTTGTCGATTTTCTGAGAAATCAAAGTGCTATAAAAGATTTGACTGTGAAAATGACTGTAGGTCATAGGTGTAAAATCAGACAATGGTATTTCCTGTCAAAATCCTAACTTAATGTCATCAAATTTCCTAACTAATGCATATTGCAAACACTATCATCATTACTTTAACCAATTTTCTTCAAACTATTGATCTACTCTACATTCAAACCTAGGGCTATACCTTGAACTCCAAAGTAGAGTCATAGACACAGAACCATTATCAATATATCATACTGAAAGGTTTTGGGGCATGATTCCCCATGGTCCCCTTTCTCAACATAGCCCTTATGAACGGAATACATTCACAAGAGCAATGTGGACAGAAGTAGCTGTCTTCTTCAGACTGGTTGACAAGTTGTAGAAACTACAACAATGACTGTCACAGGACTTCAGAATGTCTACACCTAATTCATCTTTATATACATGAAAAGCATATTAACTCTAAAATGCTTTATCAACAACACCACAAAAATATTATGCCGCTATTTGTTTGCTTGGAGCTCTCAGTGATTAAAGGTACAATTAAATGTATTGAGAGATTCTGTATAGAGTTCACAATTATTGAGAAATACGAGACAGGTTTCCTTCTTCACTCTCGTCTAGGCCACTTGCACAAGGTTTACATTCGACCAAATTCACTCAATGGCCACACCTGCAGCATAAAAAATAGAATACATATAAATTATTATTAATTTTCTCAAGAAATGTACTTGATGAACAGCAAGTTCTAAAATGGATACACTCATAGGTTCCTTATGATCTTTACATAACTGTTGAAAGACAACAAAATAATAATCCTTATTTATATATGGGGTGAAATCCTATAATGAGAATATTCTGCAAACTCCTTAACAGAAAAGTAAAAAACAGGTTGCACTAGGAAAATGGGGAGTAGTTGAACAAAGTTCCAGGAACAAGGCAGAAAGGAGGACTGCAACCACCATAAGGTTCAAATTACATACTCAAGGGCAGCAGAGCTAGGGAGCTTGGGAAGCTTTATGTTTTTTCTTGGGAAGAATTTTTTCTTTATGTTTCACATTACAACACCCCCCCCCCCTACACTTCAAGATTTGCACTGGCTCCCTTGATACTTAATATGTTGTAGCCAAATTTATTAGAACCTCCTCATTTTGCATGCCAAACAATTATTGTTTTTGCTATCTGAAACTAGTTTGATTGATGCTGTCAAATCATACCTGCGAAAAGGATGGTGTTGAAAAGATTAAAAAATTCCCAAACTGTGTGAAATAGATGCAAAAAAATATCAGAAAAAGTTAATGTACTTATTCAAGTTTATTAAATAATGGTATTGACTTTAGCCAATTATGTCATTCATGTACAGTTGAAATATATTTACCTTGAAGCAAACGCGTCCCCTGACAAGACCATATGGAACTGGGCCATATATTCTTGAATCTGTAGAATTCCCTGAATTGTCACCAAGTAACCATAGATGACCTTTGGGTATCTGCCAACAGCCAATAGGCAAGGAAAATAATTTTTTGGCAATTTGCATCAAATTTACACAGCAAATGAATCTCAAATCCATAAACCTCGAACCATACAAAAATGAAAAAAGTCATTTTTGTATGGTATTATAGGAAGCAATACAATACAAAACTTTGTTGATGTCTATATGCATTTATATTATATTCTATATTCTACAAAATGCATTTATGTTTTTGATAAAAAAAGGTTCCATAGTGCTATTCTTTAATTTCTTTCAAAGTGTCAGTTGCTATTACAGGCTACTAAATGTTAAAAAGTGCAATTTGTAGCAAACCTTAATGTGACTGTCTTCAGATCCTGAATTCAATCCATTTGGCTTCTCAACCATGTCACCTCCCTAAATTTAAAATTTACTATTCATTCATAGATGCTTGATTTTATGATTTTTGTTCATAGAATCTAAATTTATCAGCAATAGCAAATAATAATAACAATTTTTGGCCCCCTTCCACTGATATAGTAGGGGTTTGTAGTCCTATTGTTCTCATTCCTATTGTTGTCCAACAATAATAAGACTTTTTAGCAAACTAAAATTGGTAGTCTTCAATTTTACTATTTGTCATTTTTGTATCTAAAACTTTCATATATGTCTGGTTGATGATTTCATTGTTTTAATAAACATGTTAGAAAAAAATTAAAATAAAAAAATGCTTAATTGCATCATACCATAGCAGCAATTCTTTTACATATCATTGTATTTGGATTTGATGGACATTTTGCAATGACAATGTCTCCCCTGAAAAAATCACTTATCAGCCTAAATCTCTCAAGATATTCCTGTGAAGGACAAAGGAGCAAAGCATACACAAATTCTGAATCCAGGGAAGCCATGATCTGATGGCAGCACATATATTCAGTAATCAACATCTGAAATTAGCAGCAGCAATGCCAGAGAAGAGATTCTCATCTTTGGTATGCGATTAATCATAACTGATTCGAAAGAGAAATTGCTGCATGGGCAATACTCTGTTTATAAAAGGATGAGGACAATAGCCTTTTTTATAAAACAATGGATAGTCACTGGGACAGTAGGCAGGCCTGGCCATACGAGGAGCCATAGCTCTGTTCCCCTCTAGGCCCTCCTCAAATGATGGAGGGGGGCTACAGATTGCTTGCTTAAATTGCCCTAAAAAGCAAATTGCTCTCCTTGAAATCAGTTTTTCCTTCGTTTCTGTTCTTATTTATTTACAATTAGCTTGCCTGAAAATTACTAGGAGACTTGTTCACTGCTCCCCTATTAGTCGGAAAAAGACAAAATACCTTTTTAGATATCTATATCTTGTTGTTACATGTTCTGTGACAACAACATCTCCATTTGAAGATGTGTTCAAAGTAGGTTCCATTGAAGGCCCAACACACTGTAAAAGAATAAAATTTTTATATATTTTATTTATTTATAGAGATTTTATTTATAAACCTTCAACATTATATTATTAATCAATGCATGATGAACAAAAACTTTCATGGAATTTCCATTTGACAGAACTAAAACTGTGTTATGTTTTTCAAAGGCACTTCTTGCCGAATGATACCTTAATCTGTCTATACATTTCTTGATACAATGTCTATACATTTCTTGATACTCACACATGTCCAATGTTTCTGTCAAAGAAAACTCTAAAAGAGTAATTACTTTTGCAAATTTTACAGCACTTGCTGCTCCAATCATTTTATAAGTTAAACATCTTTAAACTATATGACCTGCTTTAGCTGAAACTCCTCAGGTTTGTGTATGAATCTGTTAATGCAATCTCTCCCTCTTCTTTCATTTCTTCTTTGACTTAGTTAAATCTGTTCACCAACATCATATACAACAAGTTATCAAGAATAATATATTCTTGATTCAGAAAAACACATTACATTATTCCATAAAAATAATTTTCCATAAAAATTAGAGGTTTTCTTTTGAAAGAAACCTTCAACCTAATTTCACCTGATTTGATGCAAAAGGTGATAGCGTATTCTTATGCAAATTAAATCTAGAAAAATGATAGTTCTGGCGCACCTGGGACTTTTGGGCAGTGTTTGCGCACCCGTGCCTGAGGTGCGGGGCTGTTGGCACAGTCAAAATATTTTCTTAAAGCTGCCTCTTCTTTTCCCCTTTATACCATTCATATAATTTGTTAATAACTGGTAACTTTGTCTTGTACCCATTTGCTTTGCATTTAATTCATTTTTATACTTCAATAAGAAAATTAGTTTCATATTCACTTTAAATACATTGAAATACATGCTGCGCAGAAATACACACTGTTACACAACACTTCTTTGTTGTTGTGTGACTGCCCCGACCGAGGAAAGCTGAAAATTGTCTCACCATTGTGAATTCTGCAACATATTCGGTGACACAGTGTACAAAACACCCAATATTTATGGCAAAACCTGTCTTTAAGAGAAAACGTTTCCAGAAAGGAGCTGTCATTCCTTATACCTCAAGTAGCAATATTGACTTCTCGGTTTCATTGCGAGGCTGTTATCATAACCAGGGCCCGCGCCACAGGGGGGCCGGGGGCCATGGTCCCCACTCTTTTTGCTAACTATAGTTATCAAATTCCCCTTTTAGGTATTAAATAGGTAACCCCCCTTTTTGGGCCCCCACTTTAAAATCGGTGGCGCGGGCGCAGAAAATTTTTGAAAAATGCCCTAGATCTTTTTCTCAAAATGTGAGCCTGAAATTCATCCAAGACACCTAAAATGATACGAGGAACGATATTAAGTTATTTGGATTGCTTTTGATCAAATAATTTTTTTCGAAAATTGACAGTTTTTGAAGTTTTTGCATATTCAGGGGGCACAGAATTTGTGAAAAATTATTTGGATCTTTCTGTCAAAATATGAGGGTGAATTCATCAAACGCATCTCGAATTGTGTAGTGAATGCAAATAAGGGCATTTCAGGTTGGTTTTAGAAGAATCGTTCTTTTTTCTGACATTTTGTTTAGTGCTTCAAAAGTTTGTTATAATGTTTTTTTCAATTTCATCTTAATATTTCTTTCAGATGTCACTAGGACCCTCACCAAGATGTCTTCAAATACTGACAAAAAGGTATTTTTTACATTTTAAGGTTTTTTAACAGAAAATATTTTTGTGTGTAAGTTGAGGATTTTTAATTTTTTAAATATATGAGATCAGAGTTTTAAAAATGTCTTTGATTTTCTTCTCACAAAATGGGCTTGATATCAGGAACATAAAGTAAGTTATATAAAGTTGTTTCAAGCAAGAAAATCTTGGATTTTTAGAGTTCTTTGCATCTCCGGAGTCACAGATTTTTTGAAAGATTTTTTGAAAAATGACAGATATTTTTATCCTAAAATTATGACCCTAAATTTCAATGCAATTTTATCGTGAATGTAAAATAAGGCATTGTAGCTTTTCGAAAAAACTTATTTTGAAAATTGGCAGATTGCTAAGTTTATTTGGATATCTGAAGACACAATTTTTTTGAAAAATGACTTGGATTTTTTATTAAAGAATTTGAGCCAAAATTTACCAAAACACCTGAAATGACGCCGGGAACATAAATTAAGGTATTTAGGTTGTTTTGAGGTAAATTTGATTCCAAAGTTTCATTGTTACTGCAGTCTTTCTGCATATCCAGGGTCACAGTTTTTTTTAAATGACTAGGATCTTTCATTGAAAATATAAGCCTGAAATTTATCCAAGACACATTAAATGATGTCAGGAACGTAAATTGAAATATTAAGGTTGCTTTAGATCAGTTTATTTTTTTAAAAAATTGGCAGTTTTTGAAGTTCTTTCATATTTTAATTCACAGATTTTTTGAAAATTATTTGGCTCTTTTACTCACAATATGGCCTAAATTCTTCAAAAACAACTGAAATGATGCCTGTGACATAAATAAATTCATACATTTAAAGTTCTTTTGAGACAAAAATATTCAAAAAGTGATATTTAAAGTATTTTTGCATAGATTTTTTGAATTCATTGAAATTCATCTAAAAAATCTCAAATGATGTAGGGGACGTAAATTAAGGCATTTTAGGTTGTTTCAAGCGAAAAACACTTTTGAGCACACCTATAATTGCACCCAGCTTACTAGCATTTGTGTTAAAGATTCTCTTTTGTGTATGAAAAATGTTCAAAACTTTTTACCGACTCAAAAAAGCTGATAGGAACAATAAATCTTTATAGAGGGTTGTCAATGCAGAAGTCGTCCAACCAACTAAAACAAAGATGAATGTCTCTTTCAAAGAACTTTTACTTTTACTAAAAGCAAAGAGAAACATCACACAATGAAAACTAGATCAAGAGAGTTAAGATGAGTTATAAGCTATGGAAAAGGTTTCTTGCAACCAAACTTGGCGAAAGTCATCAACCATTTTGTAGGAAACGTAGCTATGTAAGATACATGACCAGGAAAGTGCAAAATTGTTTTGTAAAAAAACTAGCGAATTCAGCAAAGAAGAGCTCCAAATATTTTGGCTGTTTGTTAACTCGAAGATCTAGGTTAAAGCAGGGGTCAAAGATCTCAAGATTTGTAATGTTGATGAAAAACTTGTAATGAAGGTGCAAGACTTTCTTTATCAGTGTTTTCCAGTTGTGACGAATAACGAAACATTACCTTCAATAGCAGATATCAAATTTGTTCATTAGCTTTTAGGGCTGGTCATAACCAATGAAAGCTAATTAAAAAGTTGGGCAAAACATAAGTAAACAAATCTTCAGGTCCTAATGCAATTCATCAAAGGCGGTATTGTGAATTAAAGGAGTTTTTAGTTGAACCACTATGGATAATTTTTTCAAAGTCTCTTTCAGAATTTTACCTGTCAAAAGAATGGAACCAAGCTTCTCAAATCCGTTAGAAAGAGAGAAAAATTGGGTTTATCATTTAACAACACTAGAATAGCATATAAATGCGCAAGAATGTGCAAAACCAACGACGCAGGTTAGAAATTTGGGGGGGGGGCAAGGAAGATTTTAACACTCATAACAAAAGATTTCTCTTTTGCAATGTTTCGCAGCTCTATTGTTTTGAAAAGCTCTATTGTCTTGCAAAAAATTGGTGGGGCCATGGCCCCCCGCCCCCTCCTCCTTTGTCGGAGGCCCTGCAAAAGTGGTATTTGTACACTGGTCCTACTGCTTGGAATAAAATCCCAAAATCCATTAAGGATATCGATTCCATCGTATTATTTGATAAAGAACTAATATTTCACCTTTAAGCTAACAGAAATCAGCTCGACATGAATCCATGGAAGATCAGACAATTTATATTTTCAATCTTTGAGTGACCTTAACAAATTTTTATTGCAATAGTTTTTCTTTTTGCATATCATAAATTTTCTTTTTACTAAGCGGATATCTTGTCATGTATAAGTATGATTAAATGAAATAAAAATGAAATAAATAATATTAGATATGTCCTTTGCCATTCAAAGCTACAATATGCTAGTTCAAACTAGAATCCCCATTTTCAGTGACAAATTTAGGGCTAGAGAATGTACAGAGAAGATGTACTTACGGAGATTGCTTGGATTCGATCTTACCACACAATGGTATGACAGGGCAAGTGGGGACATAATAAAAGCCTACAAGATTACTTGAAAGTATGATACCATTCTCCCACGTTTCTTATTTCTGAGTAGCCTAGAAAATGATACAAGAGGCCATTCATTTAAAATTCAACTAAACCTCAATAAAATAAACTTCGGAAATTTTTTTCAAATCGCATTGTGTCAATGTGGAAAAACTTACCAGGGAGCGTAATATGGGCAAAAACAGAACATAATTCGAAAATCAACTTGGCATTTCAGGAAGGACCAGCCAATTAAATTTACTTTGTGGCATGTTAAGTAACACAGTAAACATGTAGGTGCATGTTTGTTTCAAATTAAATTTGAAGAGCATGCAATAAGAAGCCATGGTATCTGTGGATGAATTTTTCAGTTATCCATATCAATAATCAACGAATTTTTATTCCTGTCATCAAATGTCAATCGTCCGTCTTTATAAATTTCTAGTTAATATAAATGCCCCTTGTTATTTGTAGGGAAGAGACCCTCTTTGTGTAGGTACCTTTTGGCATATCAAGCATTCTAAAGACTCTTTGGGTGATACTCTCCATTTAAATGATCAAAAGCAAAATCAATACTCTTATCTCTTTCAGATGAATTGCTCACTAGCCAGACATGCAGCTACTATCAATGTTGTGCAGTAAAAGGTAGGACAACAGTATTGTTTAAATAGTAAATTTAAGGCTGCGTTTACACGATACCGGATTACTCACGAATTGGATTACTTTCATATCGGATAGGGGTCCCGTTTACACGAGCCCGCATTAATCCGGTACGTCCCGTACCACTTTTGCGGAACATACCGCTGTGAAAGTGGTATGAAAAGTGATTCGATACGTCCCGTACCACATTCCATCTCGTGTAAACAGGTGAATCCGATACGCTTTCACTCCGGAACCTCAAGGAAAGTTCTCATCAACGGATTCTACATCTTTACCCTTCGGGTAACGTTAGCCAAAAACTATTTCATCTTGTCATCATTCGAAATTAAATCTTTTCAATCCCTTCCCTTGAAAAAGCATTCACTGGCATATGCATTTACTGATTCAGGCTGCAATTCGACTTCTGCTTCCCCCCTCTGCATACATTTTCTTCTTCTATGCCACTAGCCAGCACTCATATTCTGAACTAAAGTGCTAATTTTTTCCCGAGACCTTCCTCTTCTCAGTAGACTAACGAAATCACCAGGATTTCACATCGCTAAAAATCGAAACAAAAGAAGAATGCTGCACAGTGAAAAGCGGAGCGTTGTCGTGTAAACAGGATGAACACGGTATGAATATCAATCCGGTATCGTGCAAACGCAGTCTAAACGGTATGCTTTCATATCGGAAAGCTGAAACTGATCCGATATGAAAAGCAATCCGGTATCGTGTAAACGCAGCTTAAGAGTGGTCCGTTTGCAAAGTGTAACTGAAGCGCACCCAAGAGGAAATTCTAGGCACGCAAATAGATTCTAGGCGCGCAAAGAGTAAATAAGAACAATTCTTCTTCAATTGTTGTTTTTCTCCCAAAGCTTTTCATGTACTTTGAGAGTATTCTATATTTATACTTGCACAAACCACCTAATCTAGTTGAAAATACAACAATGATATCACTTGGGAGCAGGGCCCGCGCCACCAATTTGAAAGTATAACGAATGAGCGCCTTGTCCTTTGGTTTGTAAAAAATCATTATAAAACCAGTAACACCAGCACTTCAAAGGGGAGCACATCTAGGAACAAGAGCACATCAGTGAGCTGCCAATCGGAATCTTTATTAAGGGGAGATGGGCCCTCTGAATACCCTACGTGTGTTAATCAATTACTAGTGAGTATTTTATTTGTACAAAATTTATTAGCATATCCATGTTAAATGTTTTCAAGCGTTTCCAAAATGTCTGCTTTCGTCCTAACATTTTCCATGAAGGAGTTTTTGCGAGGTCCCTTGTAATTCATTATCGTAGCCCCAAATACAATTGAAGGGTCTGTTCCTTTTCATATTGTGCGATCTATAACATGAATTATCTACAATTGATTTAGTTCATCGAATCCAAAGATTTAAGGCATAGGCAGTTGTTTGCGAACCACCTCCATCATTTCCGAAATCATGAGTCTCTGATAGACTTCCAAATATTGGATCATTCGCCTCTGTTACACCAACACCGTGATCTGCCCGTCCACACGCACTGCCACCACCACCAATCATAATCACTGCTCCATCACCGCTGCTATAATGACACCAAAAGCCTAATGTATTGCTTGGTTTGAGGTCACCACTGCAACTGTACTGTGAAAATCCGCCAACTCCAGACACGCTTCCATAGCTATGAATTGTGCAGCTTCCTTTACAGCCATCATTGGTAGGAAGCCATCGCACATTGTTCCTATTGGAACATAAGACAGACTTTTAGCATATGTATCTTTCTCTATCATTACGTATGGCAGTGAGTGTTGGACAATCTCTTGTCAGATGGAAGGAAGACAGGAGGCAGTAGAGATGTGGTTCCTAAGGCGAATGCTCCGAATATCCTGGACAGATCACATTACGAATGAAGAAATGTTACGCAGAGCAGAAAAGGAAAGAAGCTTGATGAGATCAATCAGGAAGAAACAGCTGGAGTTTTTTGGGCACATAATGAGAAAATAAAGTCTTGAGAACTTGACACTAACGGGAAGAATCGAGGGTAAAAGGAGCAGAGGAAGACAACGGCTACTTAGGTAGTCTAAGCAAATGGATGGCAGCCCAACTGCCTGAGAGGGAGAGAGCAAAGGTGTCAGAACAAGAACTGATGAGAAGAACAAGGGATAGGAAGCTGTGGAGAACCATGATCGCCAACTTCCTCGCCGGACATGGTACTTGAAGAGAGAGAGAGATCTTTCTCCAGTTTGCCTCTTCAAAAGAAAATTTTACATTGCCAAAGTCCCAAACAAAATTATGCAAGCCCTGTAACTTAAGCGTTTTCTAGAAAAAGGAAATATGCTATAGATGCTTTAAAATACCCACAGAAATCTAGCGCAGGTATCCTAGCTTCAGGGGCGTCGTGGCTAATGAATTATAGAGGGAGCCAGAAAGAAAAGTTTATCGACAAAACTTTTTGATTTGTTTTAATCAAAAAGAAGCATTTCATGTAATTGTAGGGGGGGGGGGGGAGACAAACACATAACCTTTGCCTTAGCTCGAAAGATATTCCAAATGCACTTGTCTCTGCGGTTTCTCTCATACTTACCACTGTGAAAGTCTCTGGCATATTGCTACCCTTTATATCGGTAGATTAGGACAAGGCTGGGCACCACGGTTGCTGCCGAAGAAGAAATTTTTTCATAATTTTAATGCTTTAAGTTAGCCGAGCTGGGCATTGTATTCCTTCTCACTCAAACAACTGTTTTAAAAGAAATATACTTTAGTTTGGCAATTATTGGAGGGACTTAAGCCCCCCAGCCCGGTTCCGACGAGCCTGTTTGGAGCAAATTTTAATAATAAAATTTTATTTTCAAAATGACTATAAACTAAATTTTCAAATCTGGGACAAAATTTTCAATTCTGCATAGGCAAAAAATTGGTACTGTCCCGGTCTTCAATATCAAATACATTATTCATAACCAAGTATGTGACATAATTTATGATCAAAATTGCAAATTTCTATAACAAAATTTGGCCCTTGAAGATTGACTGGTGAAACTTTACTGACGAAAGCCGAGCAGCAAATCACTCTATGGTAGAAATCGGTAAATCCTGAGAAATAATTCTGTTTTTGCGGAAATCTAGCATTTTCTTTACAAAAGTGAATTGCTTCTCAAAAATACGATAAGTATTTTAGTTCAAGTAATTTATGTCGCTAAAAGGTTCGTTTCACTTCTCCTTTAATCCACAAGTTTGAGAATTTTTGGACAAAACATTAATTTTTCCGAAAATCTATCAAATTTTGGAAGCAGATGGGGCCACGGCCCCCTTGAACCTCGGCCACGACGCCCCTGCGTTGCTTTAAACTTTAGTTATCCACTGTACCGAGACCGCAGAGAGGTTTCAGAGGCTCTGGGGCAAGATTTTAAAGACGAGGAAAAATTTTTCTGTTCACACCCTTACCGTAAATTCTCGAATATTTTTGGATAAGGGGTTATTTTAGGGAGGTCTTATTCGAGGGGGTTATAAAATCAAAGTAGGCATTTAAGAATACATTAATAAAAGACTTCGTATATTTTAATAGGAATTTCTTTATTAATATTTAGTTAATGATTACCAAAAATATGAATTTTTTTGTTAATTCAATAAAACGCCAAATGCAACCTCAGATGGCAAAAATAAACAAATCGAGGAGGGCGAATTAGAGGAGTTGCGGTAGCAGTGGGGGCTTACTCGAGGAGAGCTTTTTCGGTTGGGGGGGGGGGGGGGGGGGGAAGGGTGGAGGCAATTCGAGAATTTACGGTGTATTAGCTTTTAATGCATTTCACAATATTTCTTGCGGGTTGTTTTCTTGCAATCGTCTAAAACATATTACTATTTTTCGGCAAGCTTTTGACACATTTTTTTAATTCACTTCTTAAATTACTTTAGGAGGTCTCCTAGAACTAGAGGCCTTGGGGCAGCCCCGCTAGTCCCACTCTCGGCGGCCCTGCCTGAAATAGAGGTGACGTTTGTTTTTCAAGTAAATTTTTAGGCACTCTGAGATCTAAATTATTCTCGGGGGCTGAATAAACGGGGGGGGGGCATTTTTGTTAAAAATATTCGGGGGGAGTCAAGCAGTGTCGGAGCTTGAGATGAAAATAATCAGGGGCTGGGAACTTACGATTCCGCCTCATTTCTGTCAAAAGATGTAGCCCAGTTCAAAGTTATTATTTGTAATTTCAATCTGACATGAAACTTTAGTAATTGAAGCTTTCGAAGGAATATGTACCTGAAATTGCCATATGACGTTATCGTGCCACGAAAGGTCACTGAAGAGAAACATCCCCCGGCGTATAGCAGGAAAGAATGGGCAGAGACATCACTCCGCGACAGTTTGATATCGTTTCCAGCAATTTCGAAAAATGCCCTATTTATCATGTCAGCATTCGTCGATGGTGATGTTGTTGATCCAAATTCTCCTTGGTCGTACCAAAATGAGCCACTACTTTGCATCCAGTTCTTTGTATCTGCGTTCGAGAACCTTGCTATCAGCGTCCAACCACCGTCAGTCATATGACAGTACGCCTATGAAAAAATTGCTCTTTCAGCATTTAACAAAATAGATGTCTTTCAAATGACAAATTATTAGTGAGATCTGCAGTCTTTAGAATACAGGCAAAAGAGGAACATTTTTCTCTCCTTGAATGGTTTAGTTTGTGGTAATTACCCTTCCATGTCCACTTACTATTAAACATAAAATCACGGTGCCAATGGCAGCGCCAGGGTGAAAGGGGAGATAGACCCCTCTTTCGGTAGGATTGATTTTCTAGTTATGTCATATTGATAATGTCATAGTGATAGTGTCAGGCGAGTGGTACTTTTTGACGAAATACTTTGTTCCTGTTTTTTTCATGATTGTGATACTGCCATAGTTAAATCAATAATTTTTCATTGGTGCTCGCTATTGTTAACCTTGACGATTCCTTTTAGTGAAATGATAGTCCCCTATTGACAAAAAGGTTATGAGACGGTAAAAAAGCAAATTGTGGAGCCTGAAGATTTTTATTTCTTTCCACACACTTTTGAGGCTGAAGCCGCCACTGCAAGTATCTTGTAACTATATTGAGAAAGGAACTCACATTAAATGTTGAACCAGAAGCACCTTGTAACAAGTAAACACCATCAGCTGTGTATCCTTGAAGGTACAATGCCCTGCAGCTGCTTCCAATTGCTGAAAAATTTGACATTCAGATTACCGAGCGTACCCAATATGCTTTCGGGGAATCGGGCTAAAACGTGATGGGAATTCGGGAATCAGAGGGCCTTTTGGGTACCCTCATTGAGCCAATTAAATACCGTTAGCCAGTAGGCTCTGGCGCAAGTTTGAAAGTGAGGAGGGGGGGGGGGGGGTCAAGGGCAAATTAAAGACAGGTAGCAAGCATTTTACAGAACATCATTTGTTCATATTTGTTTACAATGGGGTAAAGGAGAAGGATTCATATTTGTTTACAATTGTCCCTGTTATCAATCGCTCATTCCAATTATAGTCAATTAGGTTGCTAACAAGCTACTCAGAGAGACAATTTGTAAATGTTTTCGCCTTCTTGTTCAAAGCCCCTGTGACATTCATCATCAGAAATTTCGAAAATGTAAAAGTACTTTTCGGATACTGTCTTCAAGACGAACTAGCTTGGCATGCATCGAATAAAATAAGCTTCATCTGATTTTATCTCAATCTAACGAATGCATAGATAGGCAAGTACACGTTTTTTATTTACAAGAATTTGGTTTATACGAAACTAGTAAAAGGATGCCAAAAAATTTAAGAAACTTTGGACTAGGCTCAAGATATATAAAGAAACGTAAATTTCTTCTGACGTTGCTGTCATCTTGATAAAAATCTTGTTGATCGCATAGATGTGAATTAAAGACTCAGTGCTAACAATGAGCCATTGCGCTACGTAAGCATCCCATAATGCATTTTTAGACTGTCTAAAATCAATTACTGCCATTGTTTGGACCGTCGCCACGCTCGCAAAGGCCTATTTATAGCAATGAGTCTTTAAATGCTAGGGTTATGCTACGGTTTTAATTAGATGAAGGCAGAGTGAAGAATTTAAACAGTCAAATCATTAATAAGTAAACAAGGCGAGATGTCTATCATCACTAACGAGAAGGTTAGATGTAGAATTACCCTGGGTGCCAGAGCCTCAGAGAGTCTCCTTCGCAGTTCTTTTCCCCCGCTCTTCATCCGTTGACTCACTGAGGCTCTGGCACCCAGGGTGGTGTAGCATCATATTTTCTGACACAGCCAGATGATTGAATTAAAGGGCGGGAACCTATGGAAATAAAAGTTTCATATCATAAAGAATGCCATACTTGATTGACACTGGGTTCCTCCGTATCCTGTTGTGCAAGTGCAAGTGTATTTGTTGACTCCATCAACACATGTTCCACCATTTTGACATGGACTGCTTTCACATTCATTTATATCTAGAAGGAATGATAAGGTAATCATCGCTATTAAGCAAGGCAATTGGGTGTATAATGTCTGCAGTTTTGTCTAAAATACCAGTATTGTTTTAGGCAGAAGGGGTGCACAGGTAGAAGCATTCGTGTAAAGAATAGAAAAGTATAAAGTTACTTTTCTAATTGTGGGTGTTTCATATACCTTTTGCAGGCATTGTAGCTGATTTAAATTTGATGAAACATTTATTAAAAAAATTCACAATAAAGCATTTCTTACTTGTCTGACACAGTGCTCCTCCATATCCTGCTGGACACGTGCAAGTGTACTTATTGACTCCATCGACACATGTGCCGCCATTTTGACATGGACTGCTTCCACATTCATTTATATCTAAAAAGGATACCACAATAATTTTTGAAGCGTCTAGCCAAGGCTATGTTTTTAAGTAGATGTAATAAGTCGGAGAGTGATATTCTATAATTTTTGAACATTTCCTACTTGTCTGGCACAGTGTTCCTTCATATCCTGCTGCGCAAGTGCAAGAGTACTGGTTGACTCCATCAACACACGTGCCGCCATTTTGACATGGACTGCTTGCACATTCATTGATATCTAAAAAGATGAAAAACGAAGTCAGCGCAATCGACCAAGGCAATTTTTATAAGAAAACGTTATTGAAGAGCTGGAGATGGATAGAAAATGATAGGTGTTATACAATTTTTTGACAATTTCTTACTTGTTTGGCACTGTGAACCTTCATATCCTGCAGTACATGTGCAGGAGAACTCGTTGACTTTATCAGCGCATGTTCCGTTATTTTGACATGGATTGCTTGCACATTCATTTATATCTAAAACAGTTAAGATGGAACTCACAGCCAATAACCAAAACAATTATTATATACAAATCAAAAGCTAAAAACATCTACAGTTGGTCTTTTCTTACTTGTCTGGTAATGTGCTTCCCCCGTCGCATGCAATTAGTGAAAGTTATAACAAAGTTGTCTACTATATATCTAGGGTGCTCTTACCTTGGGCTCCAGAGCCACAGAATTTCAAGTGCGGAAATGGAAGACCAAGAGAAGGATCATCTAGCTGAGATAGACGCTTCTCAGCTTCACCTCTCCTGTCTTCTATTTCCTCGTTCAATGTTTTGTGGCTCTGGTACCCAGGGTAGAGTGATCAAATTTTGACCTAAGTATATTTTCCTAAGCACACTAAAACATAGCATTAAAAATGTTTTCGAATTGTTTTCTGCTTTAATTTTTTCAATAAGGATAGTATTTTCGTCTAGAAGATCCTTTTTGTTTGATTTTAGCATCAATTTATTTACGATAAATAAATTTAACAAGTTTTGTCACTGCCACACTGATATGATGAATTTTATGTCCTTTTTTACTTATTTCAGTGCTGACCTATTTTTACTTTGAATGAAATCAGTAGAAAGTACAAATAAACACATCACATTATACCAAAATTTCCAAGATATCTAGCCAGCGATTCTCGGCTGGATCGATTCCGTTTTTCGTCTACGGTCGATGAGAAAACGTTCTCTTGTGAAATGGACATTCCAAACATGGATATTCTAACCAAAAATGTAGCATGGACATTCCATGTCGGTAAAAGGGTGTTTTAGACTGTAATAGTGGCGTGGTCTAATAAGTTTTGGTTTGTCTCCCCCCTCCCTCAGTCACACCGCCTCTTGGCCAGTTAATAATGTTCCCCAGTAAAGAAATTGAATACATTTTTGTCTAGAGACAACTGACCTATGCATTCATAGCCAACTTTGTTTGAGCACGTTGCCATGCATTTAAAACCTGAATTGCATACCACTTGCTGACACCGTGCAGAGACCTATGAAAAATAGATAAAACTTCAAATGGCCAGCTGAATTTTAATTCATATTGCTAAACAACTATCACGTGACGTTTTTAGCAAGTAATTTAGCATTACTATATGTGTTATATTAATGAATAGTATTTCAAAGCATTCAAATTTTTCAATATGGCACTGTAGAGGAGCAAATATCGGTATTTGGAAACTGTTTGAGAGCCTACTCCGTAGTTAGCATTGTCAAATAGGCCTTCTACGTATTTTTTCTTTTTCTGATAAAAGTATACGGCTTACCGTTAAATGCAGCTTATTCTGCAATTAACACTTGTAAGACGGCCAAACTATTCAAAAATATTCACTTAACGCATTCAGATATTTTGCCATTGTTAAAAATCTAAACCAGTGTCTTGCTGCTGTAACAAAATTTCAGTCTCATTTTCAGTTTAATTTTAGAATTCACACAACATACAAGTTTTAATATTAAATGCATCAAATGCGATCATACAGGTATAAAACAAACGATAAGCACCAAAACTCAAACTAGGAAAGAGAGCATATGAAGCTGTATGTGGGGAATTCCTCAAAGGAGGGGCTCTCTCAGTAGATATAGTGTAATTAAATATGACATAAAAACAGTCTAACCCGGACAAAAAATATATAAAGCTGTAATTTGGCACAGATGTTCCATACTAAGTTGGAATCATTGATATTGGATTTATCTAAAAGTTGTTTTGAGTTTCCAAGAGATGGTATCAAATTGCTAGGAAGCTGAAATTTGGAGATTGGGTAGGGAATGACACCCTCTACATCGTCCACCTATTTCTTTCCATTCTCAATGCAGTTTAAATTGAGTATTTCATTTTTGGATACATATTTATGTTTACTTGTTTCTCTAGCAAAAATCTCGGCAGCTGATGTTGCCAAAATTGTCAAGCACCTCTGTCTCTGTTAAAACGATATTTCCCACATATCAAAAATAAGAATTGCTGTTTTACTGGATGGAGAAAATAAATTACTAAAGCTTTGTTTATGCGTTCTCAAAATTCCATTAATGTCTTTACTTTTATAAAGCTTGGAAAATCTAAGCAGCAGCTCAACAGGTTCCATAAACGCAAAGACTCAGGAAGCATTTAAAAGTAGGGGCCACATGTAGGCAAAAATGGGGAATCTCCTTGAGCAGCTGATAGGTACTTTATGTCTGTTTCTGAAAGTAGGGAGAGACAGGTGTCCCTGCTTCCACGCCTGTGTATGAATGTCACCATGTCATGTAATTATTTCGAATTATAAACAGTGAAATCGTAATAAGAACATACCTGCGACACTGGCTCAAAATATATCCAGCCAACATCAGGTGTCAGTGCAACGCTGTTATTTCCTCTTGAAATATCCAACAGCTCGCAGTTCTTCTCCTGCTGCTGACTGTACTTCTTATAATTGATTGTCATGCACTTGCTTGCCTCTATGCACTTCTTTACACACAATGATGATCTTGCAACATGTATATTTGCTATGATATTCTGCAGAGTGCCTGTTAGCTTTTTGTCACGTGCGGTTGCGTTCATAAGAACGTCGCGCCTGCATGATGATCGGAATATCTTGCCTGTAGCTGTTATTACAACTATACTGCTATACAATACAAGGCCAAGAAAAGCTGCTTGTAAACAAACAGCTTTAAATTGCAGCATGGTCAAGCATTCGAAATATTTATATTTTCTCCAATATAGGTGGGAAAAGAGCAAGGAGCATCAGCCAGTTCTCATACTTCTGCAAAGCCAGTAAATCAGAATTCTCGTGTCTTGCATTACTTGAGCTCACACCTATTCGCAGTGCACTTCGTTTCAAAACCTGTTGGTACTTATCCGATTGATTGTAAATAATCATTCATAGTAACAGGAAAAATTGGGGTTTCTCTGAATTCTAATGTTACCATGAATTGATATTCGGACAAGAGTAGGCGCTCGCTGTGGGGCGCCAGTTTTGAAGCAATGAATGCCTTAATCCGAATACTGAAATTATTTTTTTCGATTCAATAAGCATTTTGCACTTAAATGAGCTGGTATTACTCAAAGATGAAATTAATTCCTTTATAAGGATGCCGACTGAATTTGTCGTTTTTCTTTACCTGGTTGATCTAGTCGGGATGTCTTATTTTGTAGCATGCAGCGATGTAGCGACGGGGGGTTCAGTGGATTTAAAATCTTACGACTATATTCCTGGTGGCATAGTATCAACTGTTGTTCATAGCGATTCTTTATCCTGCTGCTAACGATTTCGTCTAACCCCCGTATCGCCTCCCAACCACCACCAGCTACGTTCAATTTCGAATTCATTTCGGTTCAGTTACAAAAGGTTGCATATATTATCTGATACCTGTCTTCCAATGCGCAAAATAAAGTTAGCAAAAGTGATTAAAGTTGTACACCTCTTCTCCTTTTTCCATTTATGTATTTTTATGGGTGCATCTGTGCGGAAGGTCTAGGCTGCTACTTGATTTTTTCAAAGCTTTTGAGACGGGATTGTTCGTAATTTTTCATTAATTGCTAGAGGGTAAAGCCTGGTTCCCACTTGGTCGTTTGGGTCGTTTGGGTCGTTGGAAAATACCCAAACGACTGAAAAGACTTGGTGGAAACATACCTGCCAACAACCCAAAAGACCCGAAAGACTCAAACGACAGTTGTCGCAGAGATAGAAAAAATCCCAATCTCCGCGACCCAAAATACCCACGCATGAATAATTTTTGCAAGTGGAAACCGACAAACGACTCAAACGACTCAAACGACTCAAACGACTCAAACGACTCAAACAACCCACGCTCAGTGGCGGTATCCTTTTTCTTCAAGAATAGGAGATTTTCTTGTAACCGCGTGTTTGATTAGAACAAGAACAAGATAACTGAATATTTCACAGCAAGCTTTATGGAAGAAGTTCAAAAATACGAGTGCCATTATAACAATTACTGAAAAGAGTTTAAAAATAAATGCAAAAATATCAAATCATAGCAAGCTATTGCATTGAAATTTAGTGATCTAACATCGTCGTCTGTACAAAGTCACCAGAGGTAGAAATAGTTGGCTTTGCAACATCAGTTTTTGTTTATCAAATGCTAAAACGACTCAAACGACCCAAAAGACCAAGTGGAAACCAATGTGTTCTTTGGGTCGTTCGCGTCTTTCTAGAACGACTCTGACGACTCAAACGACCCAAAAGACCAAGTGGAAACCAGGCTTATGCAGTGAAATCTTTAAAGGACAAGTGACACGCTTTTGGCGCCAATTTTTTTTTCCTTTAACTTAAAATAAAATGCTGTATGAGAGTGTTGTTGAAATATTTTTCCTTTCTGATTTCATTTTCCCACTTAAAAACCCATTTGAAATTATGGCGGGAAATGAATCACGTGACACCCTGACGTAGATTGTGATAATTTATTATTGCTGCTACTGGTATAGAGTGCAATATTAACGTTTACAACACGCTTGTAAACGAATACAGTTCGTCTGGACCTGTCGCGTCGTGTTTCGTAAACTCTCTATCAATTACAGGAAAATTCTGAGTTATCACAATGTACGTCATAGGGTCACGTGATAAAAAGCAAAATCGCGCCCCCTGCGCCCCCTGATTAGAATTTTTAGTTCCAAACCAGGAAAAACTTACTTCTAAAAGATGATCTATAAGTTAATGAAAAGATAAGATAGGGTGAAAAGTGTGTCACTTGTCCTTTAAGTATGTGTTCAAGGCATAGAGATAGGAATTACAAGGTACTCAGGCCCCATTTGCCAAGGAAGTGAGATGCATCCTTACTTAGCTGACAATTTTGAAAATTTACGAACATGGAAAAACCTCCTCGTTTTTCAGATCAATATTTAAAGGAGATTTTGAATACAATCCCATTGAGTTTTTATAAGTTCATTTGAAGTATTCAATTTTGTCGAGAAGTTTTCCCTGGGGACACGAAAACTTGCACTCCTGCCAGAAAACAGCATAATGAAGTATTGCATTTCCTTCTAAATCCTACATAAAACAGGTATTTGGATCGAGTTATTGTATTGCGAGGATTTTCTTGATGTAAAAAAATGACACGATCAGCATAAATTTCACAACTGCTTGAAACGAGGTCATCAATGCTGCCTCGACCTCGTCAACCAAATTTATATCATGGCGGACCAGAAAGCATGGATGAGAAAACCTAATACTGTGAATAAGTTGGGTTTTCCATGTTTGTCGTACTCAAAGGCTATCGATTTTATAAATTCTGGAAATTCATGCCTTGTAGAGGTCGAACAACAAAGACAAATCAGCTTAGCTCCGCGATATATCGGACAGTTGGATGTTGGGATTCGAGAATATCTGGATGCCGATATTTTGAAGTACTCAGATGAGCTCGACGGCATTGTCGTTTGCTATAAACAAGTGCAGTGCCTTGAGACTAGTGGTTGCATAAACGATGAAACTCCATTGATTCATTTTACTGTGAAAGTAAAGTATATCGTGTTTAGGCCTCGAGTCGGAGCCAAGCTGAAGGGAGTTGTTAACAGGGTGGGTCATGGACATTATGGCTGTCTGGTTCATGGCTGCTTTAATGGATCCGTTCATAAACTAAAGATTGACGTAGCAAAGCAAGGCAACAGAATCATTAAAAAGATTTCAAATATCGATGTCGGCTCAGAGTTCATATTTAGAATCACGCGATTTGATGTTCATAACGATCTGTTGTCAATCAAAGGGAAAATTGATCAGGAAGACATACAACATATAAAGTAAGAAAAGTTAACCTTTAAGATTCCTTTTTTCATTGGGTTGTGATAAACATGAGATCATGATTCATAGGGACAAGGCCTATCATGACAAGGTGTGACAATTTTATTGAATAGGGTTGAACCTTGCATGGCCGGTCTGCAGAGTGTGGCACTTTTCGACGAGATCTCCGGTGTGCACGAGCAAAAAGCCTGGTGTGCCGGTGTGCACCACCAAAAATGGCTGGTGTGCTGGTGTGCACCGACTATTTTCCCCAGTTATGGTTAAAATTTGTGAATTTGCATTTCACCGTAAAAATGCGTGTGAAGTATACTGTTAAAGATAGCGCAAGTTTTTTTTGTATATTTTTCAAGTAAGATTCATGATATCTCAAATTGTTCATACACGACTGTGCTTGTTTTTATCAGCTGACATTTTCTATGTGACCACACCAAGCCACACCAAGCCACAATTTTTTTGGCCACACCCAAAAATACCCGGTGTGCAACAGGTTTTGCACAAAAATATCTCCAGTGTGCACATGCCAAACTCTGCAGACTGGTTGCTTGGTAATAAGAACTCCTAAAGGAAAAGGTATTTGTTTCCTTTGTTAGCGTTTACATCTGAAGTAAAATTTTGCTTGCAAATATCAACAAACGAATGATACCAGGTGAAGATGGCTAAAGAGAGTAAATTTGCAGAAAGGCAAAATTGTCAGTTTATTTTCTGAATGGAGATTGCATAGAAGCCAACACCTGTTTTAAGTGAAACATCAAGCAATAAACCAGGAAAAATGGGGGCAGGGCTATAAAAACTTTTTATGTAGGAACATTCTGTTGTTTCATTTAACTTTCTTTTGGCATACATCTAAATGAAGAAGCATAAACAGAGAACATTTTAAACACACAAATTTCTAGGAGCGAACACTTGGTCAAATATTAGGGGGCAAGCCTATTGTTTTGATAAGATGGTATCCCATTTACCCATTGTTTCAGAACAAAAGATGATTGTCCTCCAAAATATAAGGGGGGCAGCCACACCCTTGCCCCCTAGGTGTCTGTCACTGTAAATTTCCTTCCCTTCACTTTTACTTTCTTTCCCTGAGAAACTTTTTTAGCCCTTCCTCCTTTTGCCATAATGTTCCACACATAATTTGTGACTGCTTAGTTTTTCCAGGCTTGTGTTAAAATGGGTGAACACAATATCACATTATGGGTTCTTTAACTTCATATTATAGTGGCAAGTACCTTTGTCTTTTGAATATTGAAACCAATCAAACTTAGCAACTGGTTTTTGTTTTAGAAATCCTGACAACAAGGAAGTGGAGATCAAAGAAGAATATGATTCATTTACCAAAACAGATAGTCTTTCACATAATGCAAACGAATCATGTAAGGAGGATATTTCTCTGAACGGGGGTGTTGGTACTTCATTTTCAAATCACAATGAAATTGAATCCCAAGATAATTTGGTCACAGATGAAAATATTTCTAATAAAAAGAAGAAAAGGAAAGATAAAAACCGTGAGAACAAACGGAGACATTCAGAGGTTACCCAAAGTATAAAAACTGAAAATGAAACAGAATATGGAATTGACAACAATAAACATGTTGTATCTAAAAAGAAGAAAAAGTAAATTTTGGATTTTAAGTATTATATATAAGTTTTTATCATATGTTGTGTATCTTTCAAGTTTTATCTGCATAATAAAATTGATCTTTGGAAGATTTGTATTTTAAGTTCTCAAATGCAGAGAGTTTAGCCAAAAACCCAGTCTGGAAAATGATCCAAGAATCAGATCAGATCGTGTTGTTCTGATCAGTTCTGTTCGATCTGCAGATCATTTCAGATTAGAATGCACGATGACATTTTTCTCCACGGGATCCTTGCCTCATGATGCAAGGGCTATTGTGTAAAAGGTTGTAATTCGATTTTGTTCAAAAGAAAAAAACTACTGTATCAGAACAGTTCAAAAAAATTGAAATGATTTAAACTTTTTTTTGATCTGTTTCGATCCGTCGCAGATCAGTCATGTGACCAATTTTGCATCCAAAGCGTGTACACAACACAAAATCTGATCTGACCTGGGGATCATTTTCCGGAGTGGGTTTTCAGCTTCAGGCATTAAATATTTGGTACAGTCTATTGGCACAAATTTGTGCATAAAAATTGTCATTGAATTTTATGTGGCCCAAGAGAATAGAAAAACCTTTGCTGTTTAGTTGAAAATCTTGAAACTGTTTAGTTATAGGCATCACAGACTGATAATACTTAATGTTCCTAGGGCTAGTAAAATCTAACATAGATACTGCTTTTCTTGTCTCTATATCGCAATTTTGACCAGTTAAAGCCATCATGTCTGGGTAGTTAACCATTCATATTGACAATGGGCTTTACATAGCATTTATAATTGGAAAATCACTGAGAATTATTCCTGTTAAATGGGGAACATATCAAGAGTCTATTATATAATAAAATCAATGGGAATTTAGGCCTGTTTGAAATGTTTACAAATTATCTTCACAGGTTGCTACTAAATAAACCCTTGAGATTTCAAAATCAAGACAGATCACTTTCAATTTTGATGTGAAGTTTGATAACTTGATTATGTCACATAACAACACAATTCCTTCTTTAAACTTGTATCCTACCTATTTGCCTATTTATCTTACCTATTTTAAGTGATTCTTCAGTGATTCTTCAGTGTTGATAAGATGAACAAGTTAATTATCCATGCATGAGGCGAGAGAGAGGGAGAGAGAGAGGAGAGAGAGAGGAGAGAGAGAGGAGAGAGAGAGGAGAGAGAGAGGGAGAGAGAGAGAGAGAGAGAGAGAGAGAGAGAGAGAGAGAGAGAGAGAGAGAGAGAGAGAGAGAGAGAGAGAGAGAGAGAGAGAGAGAGAGAGAGAGAGAGAGAGAGATGAAATAATGTGTTATACATCCACATGTCAGAATATTCAGAGTGAGCAACCATTATAGCTTTGTATTGGGTCACAATCAAGGATGCTTTCCATTAAGGTTGCCCTAAGGCATGCTTGAAGTACAGTCTTGACATCAGACAAAATACAGTTTATTAATAGATTCATAACTTAATTATCAGGAATAGCATATATGCAAGAAAATCCAAGCTAGAGCTCTAAAGTTTTGCTTGGGATAATCTATCATTAGTGAAAATATATGAAAACTGTTTTTGAAGAATCAGTACAGTGTGGGTAGACTTTTTGGACAAAATGAATATTTTGATGTACTAAAGTCTCAAGACATTTCTAGGGCAGTAGTTCTATATAGCTCTCAGGGGTACAAAAGCCAACATCACATATGAGCCAAAGTAATACTCATTTCAAGATTACAAAGAGAATTTCAAACAAAACAAGACAGTTCAAATTAGACATTTTCCTCATAATAGATATAAATTTTCAGAAGATATGTCTTACAAAGTGGAGCTGGTTTAGAATTTGAAAAAAATGTTATTATACACATGTATAGGGTAGATTCTCTTTTGCTAAATGTAATAAAGCAAGCTGATCCATTTATTTGAATTCAAAAAGAGCCTTCAGCTGACCTACACTAACAATATTTCATGGGAAATGACAATTAAAAACAAGCTAACTACTTGGTAATAAAACAAAAAATATGAATAAAAACATGATGATTTTTGTACAATTTGCTTTCAGTAAACGATATTCAATTTCCTTGATTTATCAAAGAGGGTGCTTTGTAGTTTGATATTGCTTGATGGGCAGGAGTTGTATCCAGTAATTTCAGGTTTATCATGTCCATTGATAGCTGTTCCTCAGGGGGGATAATTTCAACATTGTTCATATTTGCCTGGAAAGTAAATAGTTCCTGTACGTTAAAAAAGAGAGATATGCATTTCATGAAGCAGCATTTGAATTAAATTAAACTAAACTGAAATTAAAGAGGATTGAACTAAATGCAAAGTAAAAATAAGGATTATTTTCTCAAACTTGTCTTATAGTTTTGGTTGTAAAATTCGGAAGGGTTGATGCTGTTAGGTTTTCATTTTTTTATTCAATCGTTTCTGTATGGAATAGCCTGCCAGACAGTATTGTGATGCAGGCAAATTCAGATACCTTTTACAACCTATGTCAAAATCACCTCAGTAAATTTTAAAATTTTAATGTTGTAGTTGACTGGGCAGACATTTGTATGACCCAAAGGGTTGTTAAATGTAAATGTAATGATGATGATGTAAGACATGCTGTAAAGACATTGCTGTGTATTTTTAAAATCATTGGCACAAACAAATGAATACATTATTGTTAATCCTCGAATTGCCCCCCCCCCAAAAAAAAGCCACCCAGAAAGCCCCCACCCTAACTACAAATTGTCAATAAGCCCCCCCCTTTCGAATAAGCGCCTACTGGTACCACAAATCCTCAAATTGGCCCTCCACTATTTCTTGATTGTTGCCATCTGAGGTTGCTTTGGTGTTTTATTGAATTACCACAAAAATTCATACTTTTGGTAATAATTAATTAAACATTAATAAATAAATTCCTACTAAAATACACAAGGTATTTTGGTAATGTCTTCTTCATGTCTATATAATTTTATAAGCCCCCCTCGTATAAGCCCCCTCGAATGACCCCCCGTCTAAAAATATAAAAAATAAATAAGCCCTGAGGGGGCTAATTTGAGGATTTACATTAACTGCTTATATTCTAAGGAGTGGGCTGCTTATGTTCCAAACAATGCTTGGGGTTTTTGTAGTCTTGTAATGTAGTACAGTGTATTGTTTTGTACTTTTTTTTGTAATTGTTTTGTAATTTTTTGTAATTGTTTTGTAATTGTTTTGTTTGTATTGTATTTTATTTTATACAATTAATGTTAATTTTTACAATTAGTTGACAAATTAACCTCCAATCCAGATCAAAATAAAGCAAAAAGAACACACACTTAAATTTCAAGGAGTCCAGTTTTACAAAAATTTATGATTTGACATCAATAATAAAAAAAATCCTCACCAGCAACAAAGTTGACAAAAAGTATCTGCATATCTGGTATCGCTCCTTGAAAGGAAAAAAACTATAGTAAAGCTATAATGGTTCCAAAATATTTATGAAGGAAAGATTGAAATTTGTGACTTCAAAATTGACAAAATTTTAGAAATCATTTTTGCTTTCATTAACAAGTTATCCAAAGGTGATAATATTTTGGGTAAGACGAAAAATCTATTAGCAGAATTCACACCTGAGGATTTGGCACTCATTCAAAGAGTGCAATCATTAACATTTGGCTTGTTTTATGTGAAAGGGAAAGGCTATTTAAAGAAATGATGGCATTTGCATTCATGGTGCTTTCCCGGCAGGTCCACTCTCATTGTCAAGGGGTTGAATTTCGTCATATTTCTAGGACATAGTAAATAAAAAACAGGGTATATGATATGGGAATCTTAATATAATTTCTATTTTTTCTTTGTTTGGCCTTATTTCAACTATTTGATTTCTGGAAAAAGGATATAAATTTTCTTTGGTTTCAAAGAAAAGGGAAATAAAATTGGAATCAAATATCAGAAGAAATAAGGGTCAGTTTTCTAGACCCTTAGACATTGGCGCTTACACTTGATAATGTGAGATGACCCACCAGGGATGCTTCATGCATATATCTTCCATGAAATTTAAATGAAAATTAATTTTTAAATCCTAGAGTGAATTTATGTTATGTTGCTATAACTGTGTGCAATTTGCTTATTTTTTCAGATGCAAGAAATATGCGGTGATATCAGAGGTGATTATATTCAGAAAAAGGTTTGTTTTTCATAAACTGTGTTTAACCTAAACTTTAGCATTTGATAAAAAATAAAATGGTGTCAGTGAAGATGGTGATGACCATAATAGCAATATGGGTTATCATAAGGGTGATGATTTTCACAATTTCCTTACATCAGTGTCAATTAGTTCCTTTAACTGAATCATGGAGTTTACTTTTTCCTATTAAGACTTTTGGCAAACATTATTTGTTTGCTGGGGCTGAGGTTAGTGCTTGTGGTGTGAATAACCAAATTTCTGGACAAAATAAGATCCAGAAAATGTGATATGGCTGAAGAGGGCAATTTTTCAAATCTAAATGCACATTAAATTCCAAACTGGATGAAAGATCAAAGTGAAGAAAAGCCAAAATTGCTTGAACGCTCAGTCCTGGTAATATCAAATTTGCAGGCGTTCTGGAAATCGCACAACTTGAAAAGTTTAGGATTTCATACAACCAAATAATTTTTACGGAATTCGGAAGAAGTTTCTTGAAAACAAAATAATTTAGCAAAAAGCATACAGGTTTCTAGGTCCTGTTTCTATTACTCTGTTATCGTGTGAGAACGGAATTAAATGAATCCATTTTAGATTTTAAGTTCCATTAATACGGTAAAAAAAGGAGTCATTCGATACCAAACTGGAGTCATTCAAAAACGCTCTTCAAAGTCAAGTCATTTGAAAACGGAATCATTTCAAAACAAATCATTTTATTGGGAACAGCATTAAAAAAGGGAACCATTCAATCTCATCAAAAAGAGCTTGATCAAAGGATATGAGAACATATAAAAATGGAAACACCTTGTTATCGTTTTGACCAAAACAGAGTGACTCGGGCACGCCTCTGCAGTTTTTGGAGAGTGTGCGATTGCACGCCTAATATTACCAGGACTGAATGCTATTTTGATTCAAAAGCTGAAAGATGACAAAACAAGTTGAAGCTTTACTGAACAAGGAAGGAAGATCAGAGCAAAGGCAATCATCAACGTAGCACAAAATGCAATATGAGTGGAAAAAGAAAACAAATTCAGAAGAGGAAGAAAAAAGAAGGGGAGCTAGAGTGGGAAATATTGAAGCAAGAAGCAACAGAATAAGCCCCAGTAGAAGAGCCCTGATTTTACGAAAACTTTCAACTGATGAAACAGAAAAATCAAGAAAGTTTGACAATAAATCATCAACTTCAGTGGATATGGAAGGACTGATGACTGATGATGATTTATACTGATTGTGATGATGATTTCAAGAAAATCACTTTGATATTCAAACATTTTTAAACAAACTAAAAGTGTTTTTGTCTGATACTTCTCAGAGTATTTATATATATATATCAGAGAAACTATAAAAAATTTGATGGAAAGAGCACTCCTTTGTGAAAATTTGTTAACAGACATAAGCAGTATTGTGACATATCTTTGTTTACCTTGTGTTTGACAATATCTTTAAAAGTTGTTTTTGGTGTTCCTGCAACAGAGACAGATAAAGGGTCAATTTTTATTATGATACCAGTTTCATTTTATTTTTTATAGTGAAGCAGCTAAATAATGATTTTGTAAAAGAATGTTGAAGTGAGAATAATTCACCGGAAAATGACTCCAATATTTCAGTTCCATATTGGTGTATATCATAGGAGCCATGCTTCTCCTAGAACGTAAAAAAAGGAAAATGCGTGAAAAAGAAGAAATACATAACTGAAAATAGTAGAATTTATTACAGTATACAGTACATCCATGCAAAGAAGCCCGAGTACAATCATTATCAAAATCATCATCATCATAATCATAATCATCATAATCATAATCATAATCATAATCATAACTATCATCATCATCATCATCATCATCATCATCATTATTATTCCTGTAACGTGTTGTTTCTCTTTGAAGGGAGTTGCATGGGGATATTGTTAGTTTTCAGTAACTTCCTCCACAAGAATCTGTCCGTTGGATCGAAATGTGTCATTTTCCATGTACGTATTCCTGTCTTCATGTATGGTGTCAGCCCAGTTTTTTTTGGCCTACCACGACCACGCCTACCATCCACTATCATGTCTGCAGCTTGCTTGATGCTACCTGCATTACGACAAACGTGTCCATACCACCACAACCTGTTTTATCACAGTGCTGATGTTATGTTAATGATGCCTAGTTTCTTTAGCAAGAAATAGGAGCTGGAGCGACCTTCCAAGCTCACATTGCGATCTTCCAAGCCCATCGTATCATGGCTCGGTCATTACGTTGTAGTTTGCGTATATTCTCAATGATTGGTGCCCAGCATTCGCTTTCATATAATAGAACCGGCCGAATGTAAACACAGTGACAATAAGGTTTCCCAAAACACATCACCTCAACAAAATACAATACCACGTGGGAAAAAATTGACACATGGCAGATTTACTGATAGAAAATCAACCTACTTTGCTGTTTTCCCCTGACTATACATTGGCAAAGGTTAAGAATATTATTTAATTCCTCACAGTAAGTAATAATGGATGTTCCAAAAACAACCATTCTTCCACCCACTAAAGGATTCTTATCCCAAAATCTTCCCACATCTTATTACTTATTATTGTGATCCTATCAATTACAAATAAACTGTTGCATCTTCCCACATCATATTACTAATTATTATCATCCTATCAATAACAAATAAACTGTTGCCAGTGTTGTATACATGCTATTTGTTAGAATTCCAGTGCAAGTTCATTAAACACTAAAAAATAAGCATCTAAATCTCTCCAGTAAGTCGTCTAGTGTTTGGTAGAGCACAACAGCGCAATGGTTTTTAACATGATAAGAACGTTCAAGGAGAAATTAAAATTAGTAATGTTGTATGTTAAGTTACCTCCTCCTCAAGAACAGGTAAAATCTTTTCTTGCCACTCTTTAACTCTTTTTGATAATTCAGTTTGCTGAGCATAATTCTCAGCCTCATCGATGTAATTATTCTATCAAAAAGGTTAAAATGCTACATTTAAATAACAGATAAGTCAGTTAAACCAGTCTAGAGCCTCAAACACAGTAAATTTTTAATCTGGGATCAAATTCTAGTGCAGTTGAAACAAATTCAGCTAGGGAGTAGCCAAATAATATCAGCTATATGAGGCAATTAGATTGAGCATTAACTTAAGCATCTTGGTGAAAATGTCAATATACTATTGCTTGCTGCTTAGCTTTGGCTTTTCAAAATGTTGTTTAGAGAGAATGAAGCTGCATGTTTCGATGATATTGTGCAGAGAATTTCAAATTTCATGCCTGCAAAACCTTGCCTAACAGGCGAAATTGTAACTATTTGAAGCTTCTGCATGTTAATTCAGCAACGAGTGCATCTACAGAGGGATATTTTCCAATGGCTATCGAATCCCTAAAAACTAGGCTTCATTCTGGTAATCCTAATGCAAATCTTTTCATAGTAATTAAAATCTTCTATGAATTGGACCGTTAACAAATAAGGATGCAAAGAAGCATCTTTTTGAAAGGGCATTTTCCTGCATCTTAAACGAACCCAAGGCTCAGCCTTCTTACTATCTGGTGCCCGGTCTCTTCTTGAATGCATTAGTGTGCATAAAATACAGCCCTCCCAAAAAGAAACAGGGCCAGAGGAACAATGCTCTCACAAAAGTAAATCCAGCAGGATAAATTTATTGACTGGAAGATGTGTGGGGTTATATTAAGCAAAGAGTAGTGAAATGATATCAAAATTTCAACCATCTTAGCAAGCCCTCCCCTAGCACGGAAAGTTCATAGACTTTATTTTTTGTGCTCTAGGATGTTTTTGGTAATATGGGTCTTGCTCACAGGAAAAACACATTTTCAGGAAGTGGATAACATAATTCAAACTTACAATATGTTGTCTAACAAGGTCTTCATAGCTTGTGAGAATCTCATCTAAAGATGACAATAAAAATGTAGTTAGCACCTTCATATCTTATAAAAATCCAACAAAAAGGAGGGGAAATGACATAGATGAAAGAAAATTACATAGCAAAGGTTTACAGCTTGCAGACAAATTTAAGCCGTTGTTTGTTCATTTAATGAGAGATTGCTGTAACGAATATCTGACAAAGTTCATAGGTTTTCTTTTGAATCTCTCCCTCTTTTTGTTTGTGTAAAATAAGGTCATAGTAAAACCAGTTAGGTCAGTTCTTGGAAAAGTTGTATCCATTTATGCTAATATAATAGTATTTAAGGTTACTAAAATTTCCTTTTTATTTCACCGTGTTTCTTTACATCTCTATATCTCTACATCTTTTGTTATGTCAATCGAGAATAACTATGCCAAATAAATTTTTATATACCTTCAAATGGGTCTCCTTGCCTAATCGTTTCTATTGGTGCTTCATCATTTGGCTGTTGCTGATAAGCCTGTGGATCTGGCATCTCAAAACCCCCATCGTAGTCTGATCCTTTAGAAAATAGAAAGTATATAACTATTAGGTCTATTCGATCAAATGAAACTGTAAAGTAAGAAAGATGCAGCACAGTGGCCTGCAGACTGCTGAATACTTGCATCAAATTGAGTACAACCAAGCTCTCGACAACATACATCTCTTAATAACAGACACTACACTACAAGGGACAAATCCTTATAACAGATAACAGACAACTGTCAGTACTGGAAACTCTCAGTACCAAAAATTGGACACACCACAATGACGGAAACCTTACAATAATGAACAGATACCGATAATGGATAATTCCCAGTAGCATGCACCTTTATACAACAGATGGATAAAAGACACTTCATACGTAGTGATTGCTTTCTGTTTTGTGTGAATGTGAATTTATGGCTACATTTTTCTATTCATACTGACATAGTTCTAATGTTAACTGATTGTAAATCCTCAATCTCGATAATTGCTTATATAGTGGAGCCTCAATTTAATGGATGTCTTTAGGCCAGTGTAATTGTCTGTTGTATAGTGTTTCTTATAAGAAGGTTTTGACAATCTAGGACCAAAATAATTGTACAGAGGTGTCTGTTGTATAATGTTGTCTGTATGGAGAGTATGTAGAGGCTTCAAAAAACGTTTGGGCAATGGAGTTTGCATTTCTTTGTAACGAGGAGAGGCTTGAAGATAGTTCAGTGCTAGAATCATAAAATACAGTTCAAGAATCTAGAGCTTGATTCCCTGTCATGATCTAAGTTGATAGTTGTGAGGTGATGTTGTTATATCCAGATGAGGAACGAATCAATGCTCCATATGCATAGATTGTCCATGTCCTAACGACTATCTGCAGATTTTGGCAAAGCCAAATACCTCTAGCATATAAACTAAATTACCCTTACTTGAATTTATCAGTTGCAACTTACCACCATCATAATCATCATCTTGAGCGGCTTCAACAATTGTTTCAATATCCGCCATTTGTTCTTCAGTAAACCTAGAAGCCTGAAAGTAGATTAATCACAGTTATTGAATTTTCAAATTCTTTAAAGTTAATCCTGTTTTAAATTTTATTAAGAAATAAATTAAGATAAAAATCCTCTAGTTTCCATTTTTGTGGCCAAAAAATATTTATAGGGCTATTATTATCTTTTTTTATTCATCCTTGGAAGCTTTAAGAGATGAATTTTCACAGATACAGACTAAAGAGCAGTAGCAGAAAAAATTAGTCAAGCTGCAACTGCTGTTGTGATAAAAACAAATCACTAAAGAGCTACGGACACACAAATTTATGCTAAGAAACATAGATACCTAAAGATGTGACAACACCCCTTAAATTAGACCTCCCCTTCTGGAAAAAAATATGTAAACAAGCCCCCATTCCCGTAAAAGACCTAGCCTAACATGAAAATTTAAACAATACATTATTTTAGTCAATGATAAGTCATATATTCAATGGAATATAGCACCTTCAAGTACATGCGTAAGTTACTTTCAAAAAGTAAAAAAAAATTGAAATCCTTGGTTCTTTTAATACCCTTAAAATCCTTGTCTACCCTTGAAAAATTTAAATAGGTCTACCTTTGTATAAGACCCCCTCAAATTACTTTTATATAAAATCATAATAAATTAATATGCCCCAAAAGGGCTAATGCGAGAATTAATGGTACTAAGCCTAGGTCATCTATACACCATAGAGAACGAAAGTGTGACGTCGTAAAAAATTTTTAGTCTCCAAATTTGACCACATTATCTGAACGAACGGCATAAGATACCTCCCAATATGCAAAATCAGTTAGATACGCTCAAAATTGGGCGAAATACGGCCAATGAAATATTTCAAGTTTGATTACTGTTATTCTGGCCTGATTCACAAAGTTATGAACCAAAATGAAATTACAGAGGTTTGATGATTACAGGATAGAAAGATAGACATTACAAGAAAAAAATTACAGAAATAATAGAGCTAGTTATGGGATCAAAATTGAAAAATTCTAAAAAATAGCTTGTGTGACGTAATCACTTCGGTACTCTTTATGATAAACACACATAACTTACTAATAATTTCCGCTCCTTCTTTCTTGCTTCTTTTCGCTTTTCATTTTCAATGTGGTATAAATACCCAAATTCTGTGAATGAGACAATAATATAGACTAAAACAATCTTTGATCCAACATTAATGGCATTTATTATCCAGCTTTTAGGTTACACAAGACATGCCTTTCCTAAAGAGTATGAAAATACACCCCCCCTCCCCACCGCTCTCGAATAGGCCCCCATTCTCAGACAAGCCCCTCTTGATCAATTCCCCCTCATTAGCATCAAAGTATCACGTTGCTTTCACACAATCAAACATTCCTCATTATACTGGGTTCTTCTTCTAGAAACAAATCACTCGAACTGCCGGCCTCGTTGCCAACTGTAGTCTGACAACAAATGAGTTTGGGAGATGAGACCGCAAATATCATCTGGGGGTGTAGTTTTGTACCCCCCCCCCTCCCAATGACTTTTGATTGTAGAATCTCTTACAGAAATCCAAACGTCTTTTTCTCACACAATCAACAGCACTGGAACTAAAAAAGTGCAAATTTCTATCCAAGGTGAATCTTTGGCACTAAATCCCAACATGGAATCAGTGGGCAACGGGAAGAAATGTTTTTGGTTTTCAATTCGAGGCGTGTTGGAGCGATCGAGTCCTGAGAATAGGGTGGTGCCCAGTCTTTCTCCCGTCGACCACTGCGTTGACATTTCGTTTCATTCCAACTCGCTTAATCTCACAATTCAACTCGAAATATTTTCCTTATACCCCAGCCCCACGTTGGGCGCCAATTTGTTGTAAAGTCTAGGTCGGAGCATAGAGAAATTCCATTTGTGAGATTATGTACGTGATTTTCGTAACAAAATTGTGCTTACTACACACTCAGCCACAATAGCCAACTAACTAAAACTTTGAGGTCATGTGCCGAAGCGATTTATCACGAAAGACATGTCAACGCAGTGGTCGACGGGAGAAAGACTGGGCACCACCCTATTCCCAGGACTCGATCGCTCCAACACAAGGCGGCTTAGTTGAAATGGTTTTATGGCAATGTATTTTTGGCAAAGAAAATTAAGCAGCATAATATTTATTTGGTAAATAAGCATAAAGGCAACTTGCACTTGGCTGTTCTTTAAGGAAATTAACAGATAGAAAAGTGACTTAAGCCACCTGTCAATCATTTTCTCGCAATTCAATAGACATGTAAGCAATATTACGCAAAAACTAGCCAATTTCCCGTCGACAGACCTCAGTAAATGCCGATTGCCTTGAGATAATGACAGGGATATGAAAAATTACCTTGAAACCATTTCTCTTTGCTTTTTGATTTACCAGGACATTTGCGATAAGTTAGATCTACAATGTAAAATAAGAAGCACATAGGCACATTAAAAAACACAGATACATCAAAACATAGATGATTTTCAATTTATGTTTATATCTTAGGGGCCCTTTACATGAGACCCGAAATGAGCTCGTGCCGGCATGAGTTTCGTTTCGGGTCTCATGTAAAGGGCCCCTTAGCCTTGATGATTTTAGGATTCATTCTTTAGTTCAAGAGCTATACATACAATCTTTTCCACAGAATTCAGCGATCGGGCAAACAGGTATTTCTAAACTGGATCCAGCTTGTTCATTCTTTCTTTTCCTCTTTTTTTCTTTCCCAGGAAGCTTCAAATTAAGCGGAATTTTGAATGTCCTTCCTGTAACGAAATTTTGAGATGTATGATATTTCAGCCTAACTTATTCCACATCTCTGAAAAGCTTAGACCTACCTTAAACCAACAGAACAAAAACAGGAAGAGATTTATTTTCTTTCTGCTTGTTCAATGGCGAGATCTGTCTATTACTTAATAATTAAACCATATCAAGATTCGGTTCCTCAAACACATAAAACATGATTTCAAATGCAGTAATGCAAATACGGAGAATATTTTGCAGCACTGAAATATTAACTTTAATTTTGTTAAATAACTTACAAGACCACGATAGGCAGTACCCTAAAGGGGCTAGATTATCTACAAAACAAGACCAGGGAAATAATGCTGTATGAAACAAAAATTTAGGTCAGGTGGTATGGAGTTTTTGCATCAATTCTCCCCAAGGTCGATTTTCAATTCTCTGCTATTAGTAAAATGCATACGCTCCAAGATTGAATGGGGAGGGAGAAGGTAAATATTGGACTATTCATGTATGCTACCCTTCACATGTCAAGGGGTTTCTCTTAATAACCCCGTCCAAGAAAGGGTGCCCGTCTTGATTTACATACATGTAAAAACTGAAGCTTAACAAGCCCAAGGTTACTAAAGTTCTAGAGAGTGATGCCCTGGCAGAAACTATACAGTAGGGTTTTTACAAGCCATACACTCCTGTCTTAGTGCCTAGGTAAATGCTTCCAAGCGACTTGTCTGGAGCTGATGTTTAGCAAAATATATACACAGACGAAGTTAAATCACCCAATATAGTCACCTTTCTTGAAAGGCTTTTCTTTGTATTTCATTTCCGTATATGGATCAAGCTCCTCCCATGGATTTTCCCAAATTGCCTAGAACAAAGGTGATCAAAATGTCAGAAGTCAGTGAGTTTTATCTAGAATTTATAATTGACAGAGAGGGCGAAAGCATGACCAGCAATAAAGAAATAAACCATCCGGAAGCTACAATTCTGGACAAACATGTTGAGACAAAATGCAGCTTTTGCGTTTTTTTAATTTACGTTGCCCCTGTAAATTCGAATCCCCCTCACCCCTGACTCGATATTTGATTAGTGGTTCTATAATTTGTGCTTCAAAAACATGCACTCAGCATTGAATCAGTGAAAGGGGGAAGTTATTTTGAAGGAAAGAGAAAACATGAACCTTTCTTGAAAAGTCTCAACTATTTTTAGTAACTGTAGTCATGTTTAACAAAGGAGGTGTTGATTTTTTAGAGAAAATACCCTTTATGTATATACAATAGAATTTCAAGATTCTAAAAAGTCAGATCATTTTGCAAACATAGATCGCCTTATTGGCCTAATATTTACTCGATTGTAATTTGCATTCAGCTGTGGAACATTGGACGAATGAAACCACTAGACAGAAAACCCGTTTAATTGGTTCTTTGTTTTGATCAATCAGCTTGAACAGCATTCAAATAACAACCTTTACATGTTAAGACCTCTTTATATGTACCTCCTTTCTGGCATTCTCTATCTCTTTTTGCCTCCTTTCTCGAAGTTCAGGTACCTGAAACAATATTCTGTATGTGTACAAATGCAGACTGCGTTGCTTATCATCTATATTCAAATCTGTAAAATTGTATGTTTTTTTGAATTTGTAAAGGTCTTTAGTAGCTTCTCCATATGATGCCAATGGTTAGGGTGGTTAGGGTGAACAAATATTTCTTTAAATAAATCCAAGTGCTTATATCTTATAAAATGTTTATGCAATACAGTTAGCTTTCTCGATATGATAGTTAACAGCAGCAACAGAGGAGGGATGGGGGCTGGGTAGGGGTCAATCACAGCCTTCAAAAGAGCTCAGATATTCAAAAGGCCAAATCAGATATATTTTAAGGAAAGTTGTTGTGGCAGTTACATTTAGGAACCATGATAGAGTATTGCCTTTCGAACTCTGTGAGAAAAGTATACTACCGGACAAACATCTCTATAAAACAGTATTTTCAATTTTTTTTTAGCTTTTTCAAGTATTTTGCTCTTTATTTTCTTCCTTCCTTTTTGTATATTTTCTTTCTTTTAACTTATTTCTTATTTCATTCATTTTTTAACTTTTGTTTTCTTTTTCTCCTACTTTTTCGTTTTCTACGGCTCTTGTGATGGCCTGTACAGTACTGCGTTTTGTTGACCTCCGGACTGATTGTGGACATTGGAGAACATTTTCAGTAGTTGAATATGACATTTTATATTCTCAAAATTAGGCTAGGTCATTATGGAGGATTTGTTTCATGTGTCCATAAGAAAAATCATTCTGCTGATTAGAATTCAATTATGATTGGTACATTCACGTTGTCTTGAGATCTTGAAAGGGGTGATGATGGCATGTACTGATTTTCACCAAAATCATCATCATCATGTCCACCAAATCCCTGATTATCACCGTAACTCGCATTGCAATCTTCAATTTCCATAGCAGCTTGAGCATCAGCTATGATACAAAATATGATAATTATGCAAAATATGCTAATCATGCAAAATATGCTAATCATGCAAAATATGCTAATTACCATATCTGATGATCGTTTTAAGCGTGAGACTCAAAGTTGCAAATTAGAATTGCCTTTTTCTAGACACAAAAGCTTGTACAGTTGTGCCTAGGCCTAGACAGCGTTAAACACTTTATGACAGATGGGTAAAACAGTAATTTTCATAAAACATGAACCAACACGGGTCTTTAGACGTGATAGAAAAACAAGAAGTTGGATGTATATAAGGAACTGATACTCCATCAACATTTCTGAAAAACAATCCGGGTTTTGCAACTCGCTCCTGAAACTGACATTTAATTGTATATTCACATACTAACGCCGTTCAGTTGTCTGTTGATCGAATAAAGCGTAAAACTCGGAGTAGCAACTCACAACCGTCCTGTTCTATACACCAAATAGTGTGCACACGGCAACGAGCACTTTTTGACAGGCCGGTAAACAGTAATGTTTATTATTTATAAATGTACATACCATGCTGACAAGAAAGAAGATATAAGGCGTTAGTTGTGTAAAGAATGGTGAATGACATTATGTTTTCAAAATTAAAGGAAATGGACAGATATTTAGATGGTGTAAGAATCTATTAGTCAATAATCAACCAATCCAAAACCGTGTGAGTTGTACCATGCTTATTGATTGGTCAATGTTTGATTGACAGTGGCCTACGCCATTTTAGCATCTGTCTATTGCCTTTAATAATACCATGAATTCATTAGTCTCAACATTAGCATAATGGATAGAGTAGAGACAATAGCTGATACTATAAACAGCCAGTTTTCTTAACCAAAGTACCCAATACTTACCAGTTGCCAATGCATGGCATAGATTCTCGTCAGTAGATTGTATGTCCATCATTCCATTTTGTTTTGCTAACAATTGAAAAGAGTGTGGGTAGTTTTAATATTTTTAGCCATATACTTTAGATAAAAATGGCATACAGCAGATTATATTGAATGATAAAACATAAAATATTATCGTTAATGAAGATCTAATTTAAATGTTTACACAATTTTAACAGTTTCAATTAAATTTCAACTACAGTTCTTTCGGCAACTTACCATTAAAAACTATACCAGCACTAGTCTAGGCACACAAATAACGAGAGGTGCAGGGAGGTTGGTGTCAATCTTTGAACGTCTTTGAATTAGTCGGAAATATGAAAGTAATCGGCAAATCGAAGGAAATGACCAGCCCGTCTAAGGTAAAGGTTCTGCAAGTAACGGCTTAGTACAATTCTAGTAGAAAGTTACGATTGACTTATTGTCAGTCGGAGATTTCGTACTCTTCACCCTCCCAAAAATATCCATCAATTTACATTTCTACCTATAAGAACATGAGCTTCAAAATTGATCAAAAGTTAAGAACAAATTAAGAACAAACTGAGGCCGAGGTTCTGTAAAGTGCAACTTTGAGCCACGCTTTATCTCAAAAACCAGGTATTTTAGCCATGTGAGGGTATTTTTTCGGTGAATATTCAAACTTGTCGTCAAATGAAGGTTGTCTCATTCACTTTGTTGGCAAATGAGGCCTGAAACCGCCCTAGAGCGAAAAAGCTAGCAATTCCCAGCCTCAGGATTTTCGAAAAAATTAAGAATAGTCAGCCTGAACTTAAACTTACTGGTTCTTATAAAAAAGATTGTAGATGGACACACAATAAGATAGCTACTAGCTATACTGGAAAAAACTCGAAAGATTTTTCGTGTCCAATTGAAAAGTTAATTCCTATACTTGAGTATGGCCCTTTCCTTACTTTCGCTTTTACTCTTACCGTATTTCCTCTAAAAAACACCGCGGCGTTTATTACAAAATCCAACTTTTAGATGCGGCGTTAAATAGAGGGTGGCGTTTATCAGAGGGCAGCGTTTAATGAAAAATGAATGTTTTATCAAATGAGTGTTTGTCAAACGAAAAATGACAAGAAAAGTGCGATGAAAAGATGACACAGACTCTAAACAATGTCTTCTTTTCCCCAAAAACACATAATAAAGATTGTGTGAAAAATGTTTGTAACTTCACAAAAGATGTATTCACGTTTTAGAAATATTAAGGAATGTCACTGTCTCCGTCAGACTCTTCGTCCCAATGTCCCAATGAACTTTCACAACTTTCAAATTGTAGGCTGTTTTCTAATAAACACCGCTTTTCAAGATGAGGCATTCAAAAGAGAACGGTGTTTATAATAAAAGATAGGCTGAAAGTGCGGCGTTCAATAGAGGGCGGCGTTAATCAGAGAGCGGCGTTCATTAGAGGAAATACGGTATATAAACAAGAATGGAGGAGCAATAAATTGAGATCTACCTTTATTCATTGCTGGTGTAGACATTGGTTTTCTTGACATAGAGTTCTCTAGCATTGAAATACTGTTAACATCCATTAGCAGTGCACCAGAAGAATGCCATTTGCAGGTGTTTAACTAGGAAAAAACAGAATTTTCATTGATCACAATGATTAAATTTGGTTTGATTCTCTATAGCTTCATCAAGACGAATAACCATCGTCAAAATAATGAAAAAAGCATCCAAAACTCTGTTGTCAAAACACGTGCATTTGAAGAAATTCTATGAGTAGATCTCATTTTTGTAAATTAGTTCAAGTAAGGGCTTTCATAGACATTTCTGTTTTAAAATTTAGATACTGTCATTAGAAAAACCTTACAGAGACACGATCAAAGTTGAATCCAGCTCTGAATCTAGCACACGATCTAATTCACGTAAGCAGGACTCAGTAAGGTTACATCAATCAGTTATGTCACAAAATGCGTAGAACTAGTCTCTTTGGTATAAATACTACTAACTTTCTATGCATAAATTTGAATTTTATGTCAGATACTTAAGTAAATCGGATCTTTTTTAAAACCCTTTGAAAATGAGATTCACTTGACTTGATCGTTTATAACAAGTTTCAAACAAACGTTCATGTTTCTAACATGTTTCATACATATTGTCATCTAATTGGCCCTCTAAAAAAACTCATGTAACTGGCCAAGCCGTTTTATAAATTTGCTTAACTTTCAATAAATGTTAAGGGTGGTTTATCAGGTTCTTAACTTAACCTATCCAAAAATGTTGCAGAAAAAACTACAATTTCACCCAACATGCTCAATTATCTCTAATAGTCTCACAGTATTAAAATGCATCCAATCTTTTCCCTTGTCAGAAAATATCCGGCATACAATTACTGCCAAAAGTCCTGGAACACTAACATTAGTTTTCAAAGGCAAATTCAACAAACCCCCTCTCCCCCTAAGAACAATGTTGACTTCTTATAGAAAAACGAAGGGTTTGTGGAGTACGCTTTTTCTTGTGGCTTGTATGATATTTTTTCTATACTTTCAACATTGTTTTGAGGGGAAAGGGGGACGGAGGTAGTAGTATTCTGGAAAACGAAGGAAAAGAAAGCACAGCGTAGGGGGTTGGGTGTTCCAAGTAATTTTGGTAGTGATTGTAAATAATAGACAAACTTCACACAAGGCAGACTATTTTGTCAGGTCTGTAAAGATCTGACTTATGAGAGTATGATTGTACCATCTATGTGTCAACGAAGGGTAGAAAGCTTGGTTTATGTATGTAATATAAAAAGCAGTTAAATATAATATTTAGCTACTGAGCAAAAAATACAACCTGGTGCTAAAGATATAATACACAATCCTTTTTGGCTACAAAGTATAATTTTGATAACTTGCAGAATTTATAAATAGTGTGCATTTATCTTCTTTTCTGGATAGTACATTTTAAGCTACTGCTATATTAAAATTTGTCAAAAGTTGGCAAAAGGCATGATTCCTTTACTTGAAAGAGTGGGCATTTATCTTCTTTTCTGTGAAGTACATTTTTAGCTACTGCTATATTAAAATTTGTCAAAAGTTGGCAAAGGGCATGATCCCTTAACTTAAAAATTTTCTTTTAATAAATGTCAGATTGTTCATGATACACATTATATAATAAGAATTTGAAGCTACCTTGAAATCATTGCGACTGCCAATCACCTCTCCTTTATGGCTGTAATGCAAAGCGATATGAATCAAAGTTAAAAAAGATGAGCTTTACTGCGTGTTAATTTGGAAACATTATTTTAAAGTACTTGATTGGCCATTAATGCAAACACAAACAGCAAAATTTGGTCATGATTGATCATAAAACAATTGCCATACTTGATGGGAAGACAAACAAGTGAAAGCCTGATGATAAGTAGGAAAGCCTCCGTCCTTGAAGTCAAATGAATTTGTTATAACATCAAGTTCCATACACATGCTCTTTGAGTCCAAGATGGAGGGTTTGCTCACTCAAAGAAAGATATCTCTCTATTGTCTCCCCAAACAATAAGGACAATTAGAGACCATAAAAATTGTCATGAATGGCCACTTTCAGTTATTTTGGCAGTAGTAGGCACTGACACGCCCTGGTGTAAAATATGAGTTAAATTTTTCTTATGTAATATAACAGTTTATTGCAAGAACAATTCTTAAATTCATAAGAACTTTGCCTGATATTTGTTGGTATTCTGTACCTGTCTATTGTGTTTTCAAATAAATAATTCAAAAGGTTGAACATGATTGAACCTTGCACTGGGGATCTACTAATTATGAAACTAAGACATGCCAAAACCACTTGCAAGCTTTTGTTCGAATGACAAAGCATATCACCAATAAGGTTTCCACAAATTAAATAGCTGCTTTATAAAAAAACACTTCAAGATAAAAACATAGCGTAGAAAATAGAAAGGGTAAAGCTTAAACTTCCAGAAAAGAACTGATAACACATGCATTTTCAATTATGCAAAAACTTTTGGAAATAGAAACAAAGAAGGCAAAAGATTCCAGGTCTTTTATTTTGCTCTCAAATACAAAATCATCAAATGCAAGATGAAAGCACTTTAGAAGATAATAAGTTCTTTGGCTAATAAGGTCTTACTTCAATAAAACATCTTCACCCCGTCTATTCATTTCATTTTTTGGCATCAATGCAAATGGGATTCTTGGTATCGTTTTCACCTGTATTGATAAACAAATTGTTGTGTGTTAAAGCTAAATGTCAATAAAGATCAGGAAAAATTATTTTGAAAAAGATTTTTGAGATGAAAATAAATAAGCTCGCAGCTAAGAAATGAAAATGAAAAATTTTATGTTGACTACTAAGCCGCTCTTGTTCAATTATGTTGAATCGAGTTTGCTTTAGATCTGTCCAGGACCCCTTAACATGACAAGATTATGTTGACTCATGATAAGGGTTTGTGTAATAGATAGCAATCAAATGCTTCAATCTTTTTTTATGAAATGGAGGATCTAATTAAATACATAATCGCCCCCATAATTTACACCATCACACATTAAAATTCACGATACTTCCAAGGTCATAACAACTTAATATATTTACAACTGCATTGCAAAAAAGTTGCCTGATATGCAACCATGAGTAGCAATTTAGAACCTTCTTGTTCTATACAACAAATGTCATAATATTCCAAATGAATGAAAGATATGTCTATGTGGGACTACTTGTATTGTAAGGAGGTCTTTAATGCCTGGAGATGGAGACTACTTGTAAATGGCTTTAATTATGAGAGAATTTAAGAAGAACAATATTTGTACAGTTTAGAAGAGTTGATATTTAGAGGTTTCTAAAACCTTCAAGGATTGCTTATATTTGCGCCTTTAAGAAGTGAAGGTCATCTCCTGACTGTATTAGTTAATTAGACCAACTTTAGAACCAAAAGTTGGGATTAGAGACAACTTGATGCCTATATTTTAATGGCAGCTCAATATAATTATGCTGTGCAGTAAGAAAACAATGTAAAAGTTACCTCATTATCACTTCTATCCAATTCTTCCTTAAGTTCAATATTGTCACATTCCTTTATATCGTCCAAATCCAGTAACTGCAGAATAAATTCACATTAAAATGACTTGAAGAAACAGTTTTGCTCTTATGATAATAAATGTCAGATTCTGGGTTAATCCTGCTATAAAGATAAATCGCTAAATGTTTAGAAGTGATAGTGATCCAACATCTACAAGAAGAAGCCCATAGGATACCTCTATCCTGCCATTCCACACCTGTTTTCTAGTGGCATTACAAGTGCGAGTGCGATCAAACACCTTTTCTCAGCAAGGCCTCGCATGCCAGGAATCATACATCATGCACCCGTCCCTTTTAAAAAGGCCAAAATTCTTTAAAACCTCTTTTGTACCCTCCTTTAGTATTCATCTAGTCAATGGGCATCAAAAATCTAGTCAAGCAACACTTGCCAGCAAATCAGATCTGATATTTAACAAATGTCTAAACTAGTGACTAAATATTTTCAACATAACTAACTAATACCGAGTTTCATCACTTTTGATATGATTAAGCCCAGGATGCTTGGACAAAATATTAGCCTCGGTTAATTATGTGTGTTTATTGCTGTTAATTCTTAGGGTGTTGCAGTGCTCCTTATTTGCTAAAGCTAACTAACACTGAATAAATAAACTGAATGAATAAGCTTGAAAAAAATTAAATAGCCACCTCATCGTGTTCTCGATGCTGATCAAATGTTGTGTCTTTGTCATTTCCATGTTCATCAACGGAGGGTGCTTGGGATTGCTTACTGAGAATTAGGTGAAACAAGAAAAGAACACAAGTTATTCAAATCTTAAACAATTACCCTTCTAGCATTGATCGAAACTAAACAACATATTGATAAAACAAAAAATTTAAATGCTATTTTAAACTAGACATTTTTGGTGCAATTTTTTGATAGACTCTATAAACTGTGAAAACAGATTTGACATCTCCAAAAACAATTATTTATGAATTAATTTTGTTACTTACTGTCTGCTTGACACAATTTCCAAAGTAGCAACTGCCAGGGCATAAAGGTATTCAACCTAGAATGATGATTAAAATATGTATAACAAGTACAGGAAAACAAGGAATTTAGCCCTTTCCTCACAAAATTCCCTATGCTGGAAGTGCCTCTAGCACTAAATACTGGAATTATTATCTAGCCGCTACCTGGTTATTATCTATATTTATTCCTTTCATTTGTACTTCCATTTTTGGTAAATAGTTCTTTATCAGTTATAAATGAAGAATAATTATAAAAAAACATCATCAAAGGTAAAACAATCAAGGATGCAGAAAAAATTATTAAAAGAAAAGATAGAGAAGCTAGTATTTAAATTTTGAGGCTGAGATGAGAAACTAGTTGGTTTACTGCTTACAGCTACATAGCTGCTCTATTTTCTTGCAAATTATTTTTGGTTTCTTTTAGTAGCATATTTGCACTTACTGTAAAAATATAAATTGACTTACTTTCTTACTATAAACACAAGCAGATCCTTGGATGAACATTGCAGCTTCAATAAAGTTCAAGGTTGTCTTGCCACCATCAAAAGATATTTCAACTTTCTCAAGCTAGAAATGAACAACTTGGCAATTATTCAAATGACATCAGAAATTGCAATCATGTTTACTAACCCAAAGAAGAAAGTAACCAATTGCTGAAAAGGGTACTCATAATTTGACAAAAAAGCACTCATAAAAAATTTCACATGCATTAATCTCCCGGCACCAGTCTGCAGAGTATGGCAAGGTCAGGATAGCACATGTCAAAATTTTGTGATTTCACACCAAATTTACTATAGCACTATTAAGAAAACTTATATTTGCATGTCAAATGAATAGTAAAGGACGGTTTGCACGTGGAAAACATGGCTTGATTGAGTATTGCATGTGTGAGATCTCATCAAAAACTGCCATACTTTCCAGACTGGTCCATGCAATGAGTATATAGGGTGTTTTATCATGGTGGCGGTACAGAATAAAAAATGAGGGTCACAAAGTAAAACTACATAGCAAATGCAAAGCCATGATGGGTGCCAAGCCCCTGGGAACTGGAGCAATAAGGTCTAATTTTAAAGGCAAAAAACCATGAAGTTTTCCATGTCAATTATTCTAACCACTATAAATAAAAAAATAATAATTTCACCTTGCTCAAAAAAGTCATCTTGATTTTTTATTTAAAATGTTTTTTCATGTCTTGTAAGGGTTTACATTTGAAATGTAAATCCCACTAAACAAGACTGATATACTTTGATAGATGAAATGCCTCAATAGGAGACGCTTCGGATTCATTCTAGAGACTAATGTATATGATAATGAGAAATCGAACATGAGTGGTCGTGACGCTGGAACGCTGATCTGATTCTTATCACATCGCATCAAAACTTAAAATTATCTCGTTTAGAGCATCACGAGGAAAACAAGGAAAATATTCGCTTTATATTATCATATTTATCGTCTTTCGAATAACAGGTTTTACCTACGATCGAAACACAACAGAATTTCAGACGCTACCAAGATGTGCTTTTATATGGTTGTGTTTATGAAAGCGAACATACCATCGAAATTCAAAAGCAATACAAACCTGATCGAGGTACTTTTCCAATTCATCACCGAGCGGAATTTCCCAATTTTCGGTGAGATCGCGTACTTGTTTTTGAAGCCAAGCAGGCCTCTCGATTTCTTCCGCCACCATTTTGATTTATTTATGTGTTTGGCGCGCAAACTAATCTTTCCTCGAAGGCGGAAATGAGGCTGGCGATTTGGGCCATAGAAATGCGTGGACCCAGCAGCAACGCCGCGAAGGGGGGGACACGTCCCCCCAATTCTCGTCGGGAACAATTTAGTATTTCGTATAAATTCGACGAGAAAATGTTGGGGCAGGTGTAATGTACTTTTTGCGATGTAATCCTATGATTTTCAAATTGCCTTTACATAACAAAAAGTTAGTCATTGGCATTCCTTCGGGTAAAATTCGCAGTAAAAGAGCGTTTTCTGTTGATAAAAAAGGCGTGGCCTCCGGAACACTGAGACTGATTTAAGGTTGCCCAAGAAAAGGACGGAAAAAGGACAAAAATGCTTTTCTTTCCGGGGAGCTAAATTATGGAACAGCCTTCCTGCTGAGTCCAAGACGGCATCCTCCCTGGGTGGTTTCAAAAATTCAATACAGGGTTGACTAGTTCCTTTTATACTGTATAATACCATGTAATTGTAAATAGGTTTTCAATATTATGGCATTTTATTTTCTAGTATCTTAATTATATATTGTAATTAGTTTTTATTGGAAGACCCCTTGAAAAACAACTTCTATCGAAGGGCAACCCTCCCTAAACAAATCAAATATGTATTTACAATTCTATTTTACTTATTAATTCATTTTTCTTTTTCTTGATTCATTTCTCGTCTTAGTTCTATATACTTTCTGTCCATTCTGGCACCTTTTAAACATTTCTTCCTTTTCTTGTTTCACTAGCCACTCCCCTCTGATCCTTTCTCTCATTCTTTCCATTTTTTCTTTGCAGTCTACAGCATGCTTAGCTCTCTTCTTATCCCCATGTATCCAACCTCTATTTCTCCTTAAATCATTTTCAATTTCTATCTATGTTAATTATTTCAAAAGGAAATAAGTACCTAATCCTCAAAAGGAATAATTTCCACACCATCCTCAAACAAACTATTTTCGAGCAGATGGTATGGCTTTTAGATTTTTTAGTCATCCCAGGGTTCGGTTTCTCATAGCTATGACTTCATGTCTGATTCTAGACAGCTGGCCTCTATTTTTTAAAAATATATTTGATCTAGTTTTAAGTTTGCTATGGCTACAAACCAAAGCTTAGTTTCTTATAAAAGGATTCCTTTTTTCTTGTACTTTACTTTCAATTTTTATTAACATTCCAAAGATATTGAGCTTATGTTTATGACAGTTTTATAATACACCATTACCGTCAAAAAGGATTGTTTAGCCCTTCTGTGCAGTGACTGCTTTCTTTTACTTCCCTGCTCCAAAAATCTTGTTTTATTTCCCGAAACCTTTAAATAAGAAAAGAATATATTAGATAATTCTCGCGTATCTTTGTTGATTTTAAAGTTTTACGGCGTAAGCTGAAAATCTTACATATTTTCTCCACTTGTTTCAAACAATATGAAATATTCCGAACACGCCTCGAATTCGCAAAATTCGCAATATTATCTGACAGAAAATTAACATTTGGAACAGAAGGACGCTCGTGGCGCTCGTATTGTAATTTTGCAAAGATTGAAGTTTTGATTGGCGGTTCCTTCAGTGCAGGGACGGATTTACCGGGGGTATAGGATTGCAACAGCCCTCCAGTATTTTTGTGCCCTTTGATGAATTTTGTTTTGTTTCGGAAAAATGCACTTTTTGGTGGTCACAAATGCACAGCAAATTAGATTCTTTACCTTTGCATCTTCTTTTCCTTGAAGCCAGAAGCTTAAATTTTTCATACGGGTGTTTCCATCATTTTTAAGTCACCTCAAGGTTTTAGCACCAAAATCGAATCATAACCTGACAGCCCCCCCCCCCCCATTCCTTGCCGCTGAAATCCGTAGCTGCTTCGATGAATCTTTGTTAACTGTACTGTTTTTCTATCTGCAGTGTTCATGACATCTTCCTTTTGTCATTTGAGTCATCAGCTTTTATCATTTATATTAAGTTTTCATTCTGCATCTATAAACAACGAATGACAAATGATACAGTTCTCTTTAAGTTAACTTACCGTTTTATACACAAACTTGAGCTTTGACATGCAAAACTTAGGGTAGGGCACCAGAATTGCTTCACGGGCATTGTGGAGACCTGCAGGTATATGGTGATATTGAAGTTCACCCTCAATTTTTATGCTTTCAATTTTTACGGAAATGCTGAGCGGTTAATGGGTCTTAAGATCCAGCCTTTGAGAGCGGTGGCCTTTGAGATCTGATGCCTTCGAAAAAAATTTAAAAGATTTTCGAAAATATATGAACAGCCTGCCTGAAGTTCAATTTATTGGCTTATAGAATAAAAAGGGGCTTAACTGGCTGTTCACTTTTTAATTTTTTGCATTTTTTGCAAAATTTGGGGGCTAAAGACCCCCAGCCCCACTGCTCCGCGTTGCCTGTTCAGGTTGTGCGAATGTTGTTTCATTCCCGCCAGTTACTGCGAAGGAGAGAAATTCAAATTTTCCGCGCAGTTCGAGTCGTAAATAATTAAAACAGACATTGGTAACCTTTTACATCACATGCAAGTGTTATAGTGGAAAATACCCGAAAATAAACAATTAATTTGTGTCCCGCAAATTAGCAAGTCATGAAGATGGCAAGTCATCGGCTACTAAGGATAGAGGAAGAAGTTTTATTATAGCATGAAATATTTATCTTCTGAAATGGCTATCGTCAAGTTTAGGCCTATCATCAAATTGTGCTGGTTTTATAATCCTACAAGATGATTAAGGAGGTGGATCATTCTCGGGTGATACAGGTCTTTCTATGGTCTGTTGCAGCTTTGTTTCTGTGTGCATTTACTTCTTTGTACACGCAGATCCCAGGTATCTAAATCAGAAATATTCAAAAATTGTGAGCCTCTCCTTGGGGGTGCTTCATCTTAGCCCAGCTACTGAGAGAGTACCTCCTTAAGAAGTTCTCCTTCTTACAATTTGATATATAATGCTATTATTTTTTAATTTGCTCTGTTCTAGGTTTGTTTTATTTTGCATTGTAGGTAGTATTGTATTAATGTAACTGATATATTGTATATATGTAGTGGAACTTTTAAAATATGATACTGAAACTGAAACCTCTTAAGCCAGGGTAGTGCTCTCACAAGACAATATTATATTGATAGCAATATTGCTATTTTCTCTACACAATCTCATACAATTTCTTAAAAACTATACCTCTACATAAATTATATTGCATCATCTAACAGAGTTATGTTTGTTTATTGATCATAATAAAGGCTTAGTTTTTTGGTTATACCCAATTTTTATTTACTTTTTTCTTTGGTTGCTCAAAGGGTTGTATGGGAAAGATGGTCTGTATCCTGCATCATACATTCTTGAGGACAGTAAGTGTAAATTTCAATGTTCATTCAAATTTCATTGAATCTTGATTTATATACAATTGTCTCATAACTGGCTTTAAAATGAAAGAATCTGATTTCAGAGCGATTGTATTGTATAAATTCTATCCATTTGGAATATTGGGCAATTGTAGAGAATAACTAGGAGTTATGGATAAGTTAATTTGATGTCTGTCATTTAAAGAGCTTTCTCTGGTGCGATTTTCTAATTTGCTCGTGAAGTGCAACTCAGATATTTTTCTGAGTCCTTGATTAAAATATATTAGGTGTAAGAAAGTTTTTCAATTTAAAATAGGGTTTAATAGTGGGGAAGTTTCATACCATTTTTAATGTGTTTAAATTAATAAGAAGAAATCAATGTTAGTTAGGAATTTGGCCTTTATTGCTGTCTTAGGCCATTATTTGAAAACTTGCACTGAAATTTGCAACGATTCTTTTATATTTCTTGGAAATTTCCATTTCGATTCCTTAAGAAAAATTCAAATATTTTCAGATGAAGGATAAAATCAATCAGATATAATCAACAGGGTCTGAAATTGTGAACAAAATAACCTGGGGTGCCATGCATTGGGTCCAACATTCCTTCTATTTAATTGGTTAATATTGAGTGTTTATCTAAATTAAAATGGACATCCTGCCATTTTATTAGGAGCTTACCCAACTTTTTCCATATTTTTACTGAAACATCAAACTAAATGAGACTAAGTACTGGTAAGTCTAAGTAATCTGGATCAGAGGAGCTGAAATTCTAAAATAACAACATAAATCATTTCTTAGCAAAGGAAAGAGGGCTTTTCTTTGGATTAAAGAAAATGATTTATAAGAACAGAGGCCCCAGGCTGAATACAAATTGAAAGTTTCTTATCCACATCAGTTAATTGATAACAGAAAATAGATTTACCTGATCAGAGTGCATACTATGTGGTTGCAGGAATTATTAAAATTCTCTCTGAAGAAGGCTTGTTCTGCCCTCTTCTCAGCCCTTTTTGTGAATATAGTCTCAAACTTTTTAATGGATCTATTTAGAGTCATTGTGTCATGATAATGACAGAAGATGCAGTAACTGGTCAAAACAAAGCCAATGTTTTGAAAATTCTGAGTGGATGCTAGAAAACTGTGCTAAAAGTTGCAATGCCTGCAAATGTAAGACTCCTTGATTCTTGTTGTCTGTATCTTGCATATTTTGCTAATCAGAAAGCTCTTCAAATCCTTAAAATTTGTTTTACTGCCTGCTTCATGCTATGCAAAACTGTTTTCATTTTAATTCTTATGACAGAGCTGAAAGTTATATTGTATCGAGAAAGTAATACACTAGGCAATGCCTCTTTGAGGGATGAAACTTTCAACAAATATCCAGTTGCTATGCCAGTGTTTGAAACATTCACATATTTCTTTGTTTGTGCACAAAATGCCAATTTACATTTGTTAACTTTTATGCATATAATTTTGTGAATAATTAAAATTTTTTAATGGGAATCATGTATTCAAAGCTTTAAGCCTAGCAGGATTGTATATAATAATGCATTTTTGTCTATTTTCTAGCCTTTCATCACATAATTACTTCTCATTTTTAAAATTTTAGCTAGTTTCCAGACATATATGGCATTCCCCACACTGTTATGGCATACACCATATCTTGGATTGTCTACAGAAACTGGAATGGAATTTCTCTGCCTGTTAGGAATTTTGTTATCATTTTACATGCTATTGTCAAGACCAAATAGAGATTGCTTGAATTACATTTTCTTATGGATTCTTTATTTTTCGCTTGTCCAGGTAAATTTTCCATTACATTTAAGCCACTCCATATTTCCTTGGTTTGCTTTATGAAAATGTTCATTTAAACTTTAATTAAATGGTTTATTAAATGGTCTAGAAATTTTTTTGAGATATAAAGTTATGCTCTTATGGTCTATAAGCAAATGCCGATAAGGAATAAAAATGCTGATTTGTAGGTAACTCTAAAAAGTCTTTTTCAACTTAAAAAATTTAGTTTTCATTTTTTTAATAACAATTCAATTTCTCAGGTTGGACAAATCTTCCTTTATTACCAGTGGTGAGTTTGCTTTTCATTGTTAATGTACCAAACCAACAATCTTGATTATGCTAAAAAATTTTACAAAGGGGGTCTGTGCTGGAAAATTCTGTCTTCTTCGAGTTCAAGTATAAGTTTTATGAGTCTGTATGTTTTATGACAATATTTTTTCAAAAACCTGAACTACAATTGGAGTTATTCCTTCCCTCAAAGAAACACCTTTTTTAATTACAAATCTTTTAACAATATCTCCTTTGTAACGAGTTTTGAATAAGTCTGCCTCTAGAATAAGTTCCCTGTTTTGCTGAATAATTTTAAAAACAGATTTAGATTTTTGTAATGTTTCTAGTTCGACAGCCCTTTTATTATTTATTTTCATAGAAATAGTTTCATATGAATTGGTGGAAGATATTTTTATCATAAAATTTTTTTCATTTGTTGTACAGCTGTATGAAAAAAGATGTAAAAGATTGTCATCTAAGACTTTCCCCTTTAGTGTGCCATAACTTTTGGAGGCTAAATGACTCAAACCTTTCTGAAAAATATTTGTGTCTAGAGACTTAAATACCTCAGTTTTTAGCTTTCAAGAAGAACTCTTTGAAGAATATCAATCAATTTACTTTGATTTCTTCCTCAGGGGTCTATTTGTTACATTGGTTTTTTGTATTGTTAATAATTATTTTTGAATTTCTGAAAATTATATTGAGCTTTTTGACAACATAATATCTCTTTCTTGTATCTTATGCCACCCCTTAGAAAAGTGTTGTCTGTGCTAGTGTTGATGTGAGTGTATTGTTATGTGCCTCAACTAAAGTTTGATTCTGAAGATGCATTTTATATTTTCTTTTGTCCTTCGAATCAGTGAATTCTGTTTGCATTTACTATGTTTTGAAATGAAGAGAGGATCAGACATGCAGGTCCTGCTGTGGAGGTTTGAAAATGAATTATTTCTTTACCCACAGGGACAACCTTTTGCTAGAAATGGCATTTTTTGCTGCTTTGGTTTCTCCTTGGACTTTTTACAATGGTCCATGGAATTTATTAAAATGTACGAGAATTGAAGTTCACGTCCAAAGAGAACATGATCTCATAACATTTTGGCTTGTAAGATGGCTCCTATTTCGACTCATGTTTGCATCTGGCATCGTTAAGTTACTTTGGATGGACGAAACATGGTGGAAATTAACTGCTTTGAACTGGCACTATGAATCACAGGTATTATCTGCTTTAGAACATGTATTTGCCTCAACAAATCCTGATGCAAACAGGGGGCTAATACAGGGTCTTCGCTAGCTGCTTTGCTAAATGGGAGGGGTTGCTCAGGTCCCATTTGCCACAAAGTAGGTAGCCGTTCTTTGTTGGCTAACAAGTCTGGGAAATTGGCCGACAAAGCACCTGTGCATGGCAAAAAGCCCCTCCTTTTTACATTGAATTTTTTTTCCCAGTGGCCATGCCACCCCACTCCTTTACCTCACTGTAACAACCAATTCAATGCTAAACACCCAAACGAAAAGCTTTAATAAGCGTTGCACCTTCCAGTCAACAAATCAACCAACAACTCGCACTCTTGCATTTACCACTTAAAATTTGTTTCTACCTCTTCAGATTTTGTTTGCAGAACCTATCAATTGATTTTTCTTTCAGTGTATTCCGACACCTCTTGCATGGTACATGCAAAAGCTTCCGGATTCTTTTCATCGACTGTGTGTAGTTTTCACGTACGTATTATTACAGCTGCGTTGCTTTACAAGTGCATTGAAAATTGGAGAAGACGGTGTCATTGGCAAGGATATTTTTGAACGCTCTTAACTTCTAGTAACCTAACAGCGCTCCATTTTGGAAGTGTACCCAGCTAGTTTTTGAGCTAAATATTTGGACACTTGTAAAAGAGACATGAATTTTTTCTCTCTATGCAAACAGATTTCTAAATACAGAGAAAGAGAAATTGGCACTGTGAGTTAGCAATTTTGAACGGAGATAAGGCACCTAATATGAAAAGAAGTGAAGTTTTAGTTAGGGGAAGGTGCCATACAGATCATGATATTTACCCAATCTTTGTGGAATTATGGGTCACATTTTTGCAGACATGTGTGGAATGATGGGTCCAAATTAGGCTTACTTACGTTTGTTAAGTTTTGTGGATCTTTAGCAAATCAAAAGCAAATCACACGATATTTCCACCGAGATATTTTCACTGTGTATTAGAACAAGCTTCTTAAATTATTTTTGCGTTCTTTTCCATTTAGACTTTCGTTAAAAAATGATGATCATATATTATCATAAAATTTGCTGTCTAATCTTACTGCATATTGTTCAAAAATAAGGTACTATTTGTTATTTTTTGATTCTTTCTGTATCTGTCCTGCTTTTAATTTTGCATACTTTTGTTTTTTTGCGCAGATATCTGATTGAAATCGTGATTCCATTCCTATTTTTTGCACCAGTAAGGTCGATACGACTATTCGCATTCTGTTCGGAGGTGAGAGCCCTCATTTGATAGCACCAAAAATGTCATTTTTGTCAAGGACGTTGCAATAGTAGACTTTGTAACAGAACAGAAGGGCACAGTACAATAGAGCACAGTACAATAGAGCACAGTAGAGTATAGTAAAGTTCAATAGAGTAAAATGGAGTGCAGTAGACTAAAGTAGAGTAACGTAGAGTACAGCATAGTACAGTACAGTACGGTACGTTATGGATTCAGAGCAAATTTGAAGGAAGGGCAGTTGGTAGTGATGGCGCTGAAAATTTTCAGAAATTGGTGACGATAGTACGCTGTATATAAGAATTTCAGACCCTAACTACTGACAGAAGGCTCTCTATTCACTTTCTAAGGAAATTTTCACAATAATTGTGCCAACCTGTTTCTAAAAAGGGGCGCCAGACTTGCTCGGTGATGGAGGGGCAACTGCCCTACTTGCCCCCTTAATTCGCAACTGACTTTAAATGCTGCACAATATTGAAAAATACCTCGTAAATACTGTACAATACTAAACACTACAACAAAGAAGATAAACTCTACTTCCTTTTTCCTCAAAACTCTTTAGAGCCTTTTATGAAGATTTACTTTGGTAATTTTTTTGGAATTTTTACTTTGGACTCCAGTGGTAATTTTTTCTTTAGGCTCGCGGCACTGATTGGTCAACTATACCGGTCTTGTGCTGTATATATTTATATTTTTCATCGTGTTCTTTCGGACCCTGATTCTGACGTTTTATGCTCTGAGTAGAGTCAGACGAAAAAGCTTTTAGTATGTTGTAAAATGTTTGCTTGTTTCAAAGCCATTTTCAAATTTTTACTTTATTTTCAGGTACTGCTGCAATTCATGATTCTTCTCACTGGCAACTATAATTTCTTCAATTTATCTACAATGACCCTTTGTCTCTCTTTACTGGATGATAAGTTTCTGACTTCTAGTACAGATTGGAACAAAATTTATCAATGTATGTATTTCCTTTTATATTGTTATTGTAGGTTGTTAATTTTATTGTAGGCATTGCCGTTATTTTCTTGCAAATCAATTTTTTGTAGCTGTCTTCATTACTTTGATGATAATTCAATTATTAGTTAGTCTTCCAACTTTTATGCCCTGGTGAAACCAATAAAATATCGACATTTAAACCATGTGTTTGATTTCCAACAGACATTTTTTAAAGCATCTTTCTTGCCTTCATTTCTTGACAACAGTATTGTATTCGTTAGACCACCTGTTCAAACATTTGCCAAGGTTTAATTTCGGTAAAAGGAAGGCAGTCACCGTTGGAAGCTGTGTGGCAGCGCTTGACCGTCACAGATGTTTTGCCATTCAATTTGACTTTTGGCAATTGTTTGATTCTTTTGGGCAGGTCATAAAACATCGTCCAGCAATTTTTTCGATTTTTTACGGACGTTTAATTCGTTTGGCCAGGCCTTTAGACCGAAAGTATCTTTTTCTCATAATGAATCCTGTTACTAAAATTTTATGGACTAAAAATTTTCGGAGGATTCTACCTATGCTAAGATTTTATCATTTGAGCACCATACCGGTTTACTGCAAAACATTCTTCTGGAAACTCAACACGTTATTCAATCAATCTATTGTTGTTTTTAAAAGTTAGCACTTTTAAGTAAATTGAGATAGATCAAAGCTCGAAGTCTCTTGCCTTCAAAGTTTTCTGGGGCGGAAACTGCGGGGCTGGTTGGGAGACGAAAGCTCCAGCTTTTGCTAAATTGTCAGTTAGAACACGGCAAAGTTGCTTGCTTTTGGAAGTCCCCCCCCCCCCCATCTGAAAAATGAATTTCGGCCTCTGAAAGTAATGAATCAGAATTGTTCACTTTAGCTGTAAGAGCCGCGTTTGAAAGAAAGAAGAACGCTGAAAAAGAAAAAGCAGCTGAAGCTCTTGGACAAGTCGCAACCGATGATGATAAAACGTCTAATGCCAATGCTCTTAAAAGTAAGATATCTAGCTTAAATTCCACCCTTGCTTAAAAAAGTTTCATACACTAGGTCATATATATTTATATATTTGTCCCATATTTTCCTCTAAGTCGTTCCATACCAAGAGTCCAGAAAATTTGCCGACGACCACGAAGAAGGTCAGCCGTATAAAATAGTTTAAAGGCTATCGACAGTGTTAGCCAATCAAAAAGCGCGCGAGTGGTATCACGCTCACTGATTGGCCAATCGATGATTGACAGGTGACCTAAGCCATTTTACTATCTGCTGAATGCCTTTAAGGAACTATACATAAAACTCTTTATTATCATTACTTTAACGAGGAAGGTTTTGAAACTTGGTTCATTGGCCTAAAAAAAGACGAACACTTTTTGACGCTGTCCATTATCTGTTTATCAGTATATTGCTTCGTTTTTGGAAACATACCGTATGTTCCATAATAAGTCCCAAAGAAAGTTTATTTTGCAAGGAAATAACTTAGGGTAGTAAAGTCAGTTCCTTTCCTTGCTGCCTTAAGTCTATCCAGTGTTGCAACTGGGTATGAATTTATGACTGGTAAGAAGGACAGGAGACGAGCAGCAAATCATCCACATAAAGTAAACTTAACTGTGCTCGAGCCTGCAACCTTTCACATTGTTTTGAAAAACAAAAATGTCCATTTCTTTGTAATTTCTACTACAATTTAAGTCATCATACTACTATAAAATGTGAAAAGTACCAAATGTCCGGATTTTCGTTTTTGATACCTCAAAATTTGAAAAAAGCACGAATGAGCAGGAGAATAGCATGCTACTCTTCAGAGTATAAACATGAAAATTTGTATCCAATTTATATTCTAATGTACCCTGTGCAATATCTCACGTGAAGAAGTACTATACTGAGATATTTTTACCGATCAAAAGGGATACCATGTTTTAGAAAAGGGGCTTATTTGATGTCATTAGTATGTTTTATCGTATGCATAAATGACACTTTGGGAATTTCTGCTTGTTGTTTATGTTTCCTTTTTGTGGCAAATTTGTTTTCATCAGAGGTTTTATATTTGCATCCAAGAACATATCATCGTTTGCATACACTGATTTCAATTAGCATTTTACAGTGCATGTATCCAGTACTTGGTTGCTATGTCGAAGACGGCTATTTACTTGGCTAAAGACCGAAGTTAATCCGAAAACGATCTTAAAACTCCAAGATATGCTGGAAAGTAGACCGTTTGGAATTCTGAGAAGTGTAATCGTAGCAATTTTATTTCTTGGAACGGTTATTTGCCTGTTTGTGGTTGCAGTTGTTTATTTTGGTTTACGGTTCGAAAAGCATGAGTTCCTGTACACAGAGATAAGTATGTAAGCTTACTCAGTTTATTTTTGTATTCTTCAGTTGCACGATAAATGGCAACCCTTAGGCCCTTGTAAAGCCAATTAACAAAGTCCCCCGTTGCCGATTTGGAAATTTAACAATACCCTATTGTATAATTCACCCAATGGGAATTCATGTCACCACCGAAATTTATCTTCACGTGATGCTCGTACAGAAACTGTTCTCTTTCGTGATTAACATACGTTTATACTTGATATAAATGACAATGTAATAAGACAAGGTAATGATAAGTTATTCAAAATATTGTTGGCAGACCATGTAACATATCATTCTAGCCTCTATGTTCAGTTATGCTTTAATCTTTAATCCAGTTACATTTCAAATTTACTGCGTAAACATGGGCTCCGACGCAGATTGGAAAGTGGAGGGGCCAAGAGAAAAAATTAACAATCATAGCAAAGGATTTTGAAAAAAGATCTATTGTTTTGTAAAAAAGTGTCGGGGCTATGGCCCTCGCACCCCCTCCTTTGTCGGAGGCCTTGAAAAATTGATATAGATGTGTGGGGAAGGTTCGTCAAGGAAGTTGAAATTCTGACAAAATACGCAGAATCTGGGGAACTTTCCGAAATATTTACATATATTTTTAAATCATTCAATTTTCCATTTGTTTGAATTTTTTGTAATGTGATTTAGGATAAGTGGGGTTTGTTTGACGTGCAACTCTAAGGGTAAATAGGCAGTATAAATTAGGAGTGGGGGGGGGGTCAATCGACACATTGAACTCTAATAGATATTGATACATTAACGATGCTGTCTGACAGTGCTGTTATTATTTAATTCTTTTATTGTTCATTATTATTTAATTATCTATTGAAAATTTTCCCAAAAGCCGTCATCTTAAATTCTGCATTATTCATATGAAAACCTTAATTTATAGTATCTTTTCTAATTTTATAATGCTAAAATTATTTTCTGTTTAAGCCTCACGTACTTTTTAGGCAAGTTTTATTTACGAAAAACCGACGATTGAGGCAAAGAAATTGTTTTGTTCTGATACTCTAGTTATCTTAGAAACATTTTAACTTTCCATATAAAATTTATCGTTAAACACTGTCTTTAAAAATCCCATAACACAGAATGATAAATTCAGTTAACCTTAGTAAGTTTCTCCTGCAACCGAATTGCAGTGAGATTTTTTTTGGGTTAGTGAAGTGGCTAATGATCCGGTGCCTTGAACTATGTGAGGGTGGGGGGGGCTATACCCCGACCCCTAGCCACTGTGCTTCTGTAGAGCCTGAATCGTCACAGTATCTGAAAGCTTTTTCTCTTCTAGAATTCACACCAGCGTGGTTTACCAAGACGCTGACGTCACTTCTCTCTGTTGCAATCATTGTTCCTTTCGTATGTTTGATTATGCAGATCATTTCTTCAGCATTACGGTTTGTTGAGCAATATTTTTTTTAACCGTCCGCCTTGCTTTTGTTTTGAGCAGTGGGGAACCCATTTTTCCATTTTTGTATAGTTACGTAAATTTGAGGTCAGACCCCCCCCCCTACTTGAAAATACAGTTGAATTCCGTTAAATTGTTCCCCAGCAGAGGACTTTCGTTAGGCCGAGCTGATTTTCCATTCCCATTGGATTTTCCTATTTTATTTAAGCAAAAGTCGTGCCCAAGTCGTACTGTCTTGAAGGCCCTATGTATAGAGATTCGACTGTACTCATTCTTTAGAGTTCTTGAGTGATGACGTCGTTGATTTATATTCTGAAACTTGTGAATCGCATTTCCTGATAGGGCATTATGAAATACCTCTAAATTTACGAAATCGAAAATTGCATTATGAAATACCTTTCGGTTGGTCCAACTTCAAAAAAGTTAAAAAAACTATGACGTCATTACTTCAATAACAATATAGTAAAAATAGATTTTGCTTGTGTGTAACTTATTTGAAATTTTCATTTCAGTTTTTCTGCCTCCCAAAAACCCAATTAGGGGATTTCCCGTTGCCTTTTTAATCGCGTTATCCAAAGCTAGATATAGGTTTCAGTTTGTAAATGTCATGTTATGTTCGTCAATAAACTTCAAATTTACTTGATCAGCTTCATAAGAGAAAACATTTGTTTTAAGATCAATTAGGTTTGCATTATTATGACAAGTATCACTAATAGCAAATTTTAACAATTTTGGCGGGGATGGCACTAACTAGACATAGTGCAGGGGTAAAATTACTAAAAAATTATCGCCTTAGCAAGGGCCACAGAATATGCCTTTGAGGGCCACATCTGGCCCGTGGGCCGTATGTTGGACACCCTTGTCTACATTGTTTGCATATCTTTTTTCAAGGAGGATCTTATTCCAAATCTGACTGCTGCTATATGAAACCATTTCCGTTCCATACTTTGCTGAATTTGATTTGTTACTAGAAAATGTTTCAGTTGTCAGATCATATAAAGATTGATTAGATCTGAAGATTTTTTTCATGAAATCCCGGTTTTGGTGTACTTTATCTATTTCTTTCCAACAGCTAAATTTTTTGTAGCAGGATTTTTTGCTAAACAATCTTGTAATGTAGGCTCAAATCTTTTATGCTCTTCCTGACCCACCGAGACCTTCAAGAGCTTTCCTTGGACCTTTGGCAAAAATAAAGATGGTGCCCGTGATGACGTCATTAAAACAGTGATTATTGTTGTTATTGTCGTTATTAGAGACTTTGCTATAACATTGTGGGGCTCCTTTCAACTTGGCACCTGGGTATCTTTCATCTGCTGTGCCACTCTGTGTTGGCCTGTGCCACTTTTAGTGCCCTTTTGTTACCTATTATTTTTTGGCAACAAATGGGCAGTGTCCAAGCAAAAAGACATAATCTGCCATGGTCTTTTTTTCCAGCTTCTGATCACTGCCATGGTCACTTGTTGTCTATTTTCCAGCTTTACAATAAATCTTTGTTATGTTATGATAAAAGTACTGCTTCGTGTAACTTTTCTTTCTTGGACCAGGTGATTTCAGTCTCTCGTCCCTTTTTCTTTACTCCTCTGCACACTCCTGCACTTTTCATTCTCGGTAACCTCTTCTAGAGACTCTGGAACTAGGGTAGGAGCAACTCCACACCACCACTTTTCGAGTGTGGAAGATTCATCACTCAATAACTTTGTTCTTTTTGAAGGTGCCTTCTTAAAGACTACAGTATCAAATTGAAAGTAATCTCACTACTACAAACAATCGTATTTGGGAGTTTCGCTGTCTGGATTTTTGGCATAACATTGGTTGGTAAAGTCCTATATAGGTTGATATGTATCAAATGTTACTGTCCACAATGTCCATAGACCTAGCAGATGCTACGCCTTTATAGGAGGGAGGGTGGGGCTTAGTATGGATCTTGCCTAAATATTATTGCTTCATAGTGATAGAACCACCCGAAGTGAGCCTGAATGCGATTATTTTGCCTGATTGGGGGCCTGCAACCATCCCAGCCCCTTTATCACATACGCAGATGACAATGTTAGCCCACAAAACATAAAATCTTTAAAACCACTAGAATGCTTTTAATCTAGTTGTTCTACACCCAGAAACATTTTATAGCCTTTACAAAAAATCAAGGACAAGGAGATTTTACGATTTGGTAGGAAATCAATTTTTGTAGGAAGCCTCCTAAATTTCGAATAAGCATGTTGAAAGATGAGATTTTCATTTTTGGATATTGAATTTTGAAGTCTCGTAACTGGATCTTGAATTCTGGATGGTAATTAAAATTTGTAAAACTAGGATCTTGATTTTAGTCCTTGATCTAAATTTGAATTAACGAGACCAATAATGATTTTATAGGTGCCACTGACTGAGCTCGACCTTAGATCAAGGAACAGAATACCAAAGATTTTCATAAGACAGCACAAATTTTTGGAAAAATACAAGACATTCAATTCATACGGGTTGTTTCGAAGGTAGGTGTGTCCTCTTGCTTTGCTATTACTTGCAGTTTAGTCTCATCAGTTGCAAAAGCCACACTGAAAGGGACGGGCTTACCGTGGATGGGCTTACCGGGGTGAGACGCCCTCTCCCAATATTTTTGTGTCATTTGGTGAATTTTGCTATGATTCGGTGAAATTTTTTTAGCTAGTCAGTATTAATTAAATGACGCCAAGTTTTTACTTTATTTATCTTCTTTACATAATAGAATACATAAGAGATGGCATATCCATCATTTTTTTAGCACCTGAATGGTGTTGCGCCAGAATCCAATCAAACTCTAATACCCCACCCCTTACCATGGTCTCTAACATCCGTTCCTGCTGAAACTTACAATGCTTACATTAAAACTGGTGGTTTCATTGAATTCATCAAGTTAATATTATATCCACTATTTATTATTATATCTGATAAATACACTTTTTAGGGATTCACGAAGTTTGTGACGATTTTTTTTTGTAAATTAGTATGACTGGAATAGGAGGTCGTCCTGAAGTTGTAATCATGGGAGGAGATTCTCTGGATCAAAACACTACTTGGAAGGTATCACCCGTTATGAATTCCTTTTTGCTGTAATTGAGAAGATTATTCTCTGTATTTTATGCGTGTTTATAACTTTTAAGGGCGATAATAGACAGTTAGTCTTACGCCTTGCAACTCAAGAAAAAATTGCCTATGGCTATAGTTCTAGGGGCAAGGTAAAGTTGTTGCGCTGAGTACCCTTAAACCACGCCCTTTATGTGAAATAGAAATGCCTCCTTCATAGTTATTTCAGGCACTCATCTATCTTAACTTGCTTTTCTCTAGCAGCAAATGTTAAAATAACTATATCCAACTTTGTCTAGGCCTAACAAAATAGCTGCATAATGCTGTTTTAATATCAAGAGAAAATAAGCACTTGGCTTTAATACTTTTTTTGTTTACAAGCTCTAAACGTTTCTGGAAAAGTCAGTTTGGAAAACCCTCCTTCATTTTTGAATGATACTGTTACTACGAGGTTGATATAATAAGATTCAAATGTTATCAAAAAATAGGTTTCCATGGAGAAATATATGATTTTTTCTTGAAGAAAGTCAGCTCCTTAAGGCTGGATCCTTATTTTTGTCATTAGCTTGAATTCGCGGTTAATTTATCATTGCATTTACAATGGATTTGAATGTCGACTAATAATTGCCCAGTGCCAACAACTAATTTTATAAATTTCCCAATTTTTCTGAAAGACTTAGTTTGTTTTTATTTCGTCCTTTTTCATCCATCAAGCCTGGTTCCCTATAAAATCGTAAGTGTGTAACCGATCCCTTCGTCCATCTTCCATAACGATCAAATAAAAAGTGTTCCAATTGACAACAAAACAACAGCAAGCAAAAACTCACCAAATCATTTTCCTTTGATTGGTTAATTACATCCAAGTGATTTTTTTCTAACAATAGTGAATCGGCGACGTCGGCGACCCGTGTTCCCATTAAAATTTTTATTGATCGGAAGGGTCGTAAGAGTCGGGAAAGTTGCACTCAGATAAACTCTCCCGACCATTGTGATTCACAGTCGGCGCAGTCGTAACGATCGGAAGAAAGTGTTCCCATAAAATCGGGAGACCAACACAGACTGACGCAGACTGTCGCAGACCGTCGCCGACACTTTTACGATTTCATGGGAACCAGATTTAGATAACATAGAATATTGTTTACTAACTAACTTTTCTGAGCCAACAGTGGCTAGCGTGCCTCACCAAAACAACTTTCGCTTTTCTTGAAATAATGATTGTAAACTAATATTGGGAAATTTGTAAACAATATTTTTGTGGCACAAAACTTGAAAATGGCTTTGAAAAAAAACAAATATTTTGAAACACGCTAAAGCCTTTTGTCTGACACTTTTCAAAGCATTAAACGTCATAAAACAGATCGAAAGCTCTAAGCTAGCAAATACATATACCCAGTTGTGGATAAACATAATCTAATAACCTAATCAGAAACGCGAGCACTGACTGTTCAGGTTGCCCAGTCAGTGCCGCTTGCCTATCGAAAATGTTACCAGTGGAGTCCTAAGGTGAAAATGAGCTCCTTCTGTCTACGCAATTGTTCATGTTTATGTAGATAGACAATTCTAAAGGGTTATAAAGTGTTCTAAAAGGAATTTTTTATAATGTTGCAGTAAAAAAGGTTGCTTTAGCAAGAATATAATTTTTCTACATATGGTCCCAAAGACTTCTGCTAGATGTCTCAGTTTCTAACCATTTACTCAAATAATCATATACTCATTTTTTGTAGGAATACAATTTTATATATAAGCCTGGAAACCTTTTTTTTGCTCCACCTTATAATGGTAAGTGCTCACTCCTTTGCTTTTATGTCCAGAAATGTGGATGCTCGGGTTGAGAAATTCCGTTCAGATTAAGTCTCGTTAATTTCCGTCCTCATATAACTTGCGTAGCGAAGGTAACTAGGGCCCTTAGGAAATAGCAAGACCAGGCCCCTACTTACAGAAAGTCTCATCTAAGGGTGTAAGGCATGTCAAACACAATTGTGAAATGATAATGTTTCCAATTAGCTTGGAGGAAGCTGAGTTTTTAAGCTTTTCGAAATAAAATGAACTTGAGCGAAGTCTTGCAAACATAGATATAAAATCAACTTTGGGGCCCATTTGGTCGGGGGTCCTTAGTTCTCTAATTAAGGTGCCCTAAACTGCGTTACGTCACTGCCTTGTGTCCGACACCAATACGCTAATCCCTCAATCATATTGATATATAACGAATCTTCCAGGTTAAGTTTGCTTTATGATTATCTAATACACCTTTTTGATAATTTTATTTGTTGCTACCTAGCATCCGAAGGTAGTTTCAGGACACTGAGAAGCTATGCTTATCGAGCAGTGTCCTGGTCCTTCGTCTTGATGTTACCACACCTCGTGATCCCTACGCCTGGAATTACAGAGAGCTGGCGACTCTCCCCTCTCTGGGTGAAAGTTTGGTCATGTCAGGGACTCGAACCACAGACCCTTGGGTCTATAGTCAGCGCCTCTAGCAACTGAGCCATCTTCGCACCTAATTCATATCCGTGGGGTTAATTTTCATAAAGAGACAGGGCTTGATTTTACATAAAAATGCAAAATTTTGTGGTTTTTCATTCTTAACAATCTTCCATAGTCTGTTAACTCGAGATTAGCCATTTTTGCATGATAATTAATCTATGTCCTAGTTTAGACTTGGGATTAGATAATCGTAGATGACAAAAATTTGATCGAAATATTCGTCCCGTTTTTTGGCAGTGCCTCATCAACCTCGTTTGGACTGGCAGATGTGGTTCGCCTCTCTTGGAGATTACATGTCGAATCCTTGGTTTGTTCAACTGACTTATAAGCTCTTGAATGGTGAAAAGGCTGTCCTCGATTTGATGTCAACAAATCCCTTCATGGAGAAACCTCCGAAATACATCAGAAGTGTGCTGTACCGATATCATTACACAATGAATCAGTCTGGCTTTATTGATGCAGTGTTCCATGGGTAACTAAAATCTTGTATGAATTTTTATTATTATTATTATCCTTAATCATGATTATGAAACTAATATTAGTAATAATGATAAAGATTGTCATTAGAAATTGTCAGCATCGATCCGGCCATTGCTCCATTGGTATTATCAGACTTCATTATAATAATCATCACCATCTTTATCACTACCATTATTATTCTAATTTTCATCACAATCATAATTGTCATCAAGACACAATGTGATGCTTGCTCGAGCACTGCTACAATGAACACAAACTCCACAATCATGCAATCTGTGCCCAAAAACAAAAGCCTAAGGGGCACCGAAAAGGCGTACCCTGTCACATTATCAAACGTGATTAAATTTCATTTAATCAAGCTTTATTGCGAAGTATTCAAATGGCTTTAAAGTGATATTGTTTATAAACATTTAATACAAAAATTTTGATTGAAGATGAAGATGTGTTCTACGTGATTCTAAAGTATCCCAATTTAAAAATTTTAGCATATTTGTAATCCTAGATCCTCGCCGTTAATTTTTTTTTGCTAAACGCACAACATTTCCTTCTTATGTTAATTGAAGCACCTCCAATTAACTGTATAGAAAGAGCGTTAAAATTCTATTTTGTATATTTTTGAATGTGATTTCTATCGAACTAGTTGTAACTAGACATTCGTAGAGATGGCGAGAACTGTGGGGGGGGGGGGGCGTTTCCTCCCAGTTCCCTCCGTGGTGCCGCTACTGTGTAGAGATCTTCAGTTTAAAAATGTTTTGATTTTTTAGCAGCCATGAAAGAGCCTGGTGGAAGCGTGAATATGTATCCGAGTATATGCCTATTGTTTCAAAGAATGACACTGCATTAAAGCGAACGTTGAGAAGATATGGACTGATAAGGGTAAGATATCATCAAGATAAAATAACAAAAACTAAGATAGTCTAATTAAAACCCCTCGATTTAACTCCTTTTTCGCCTCCCGATTCTCGGTAGAACTACAATGCCTGCCAAAAGTCTTGGAACACTGACATCAATTTCCAAGGTCAAAACCAATCATCCCCCTCTCCCCCACGGAACAATGTTGGTTTACTATCAAACGGGTTAGGATTTGAGGAAGCACTTTCTTTTGCGCTTCTTTTATGATATTTCTCTACATCATCAACATTGTTTGAGGGGGAAGGGGGCGGAAGTAGCAATTTTTTTTCATGAAAGGAATGAAAGATATCAAATGCAGTGTAAATTGGTGGGTGTTCCAAGTACTTTTGGCAGGCATTGTAGCTCTGTTGTCCGAAACAAGACGACAAGAGCATGCCTTGACGATGCGAATGAGCCGTTGCTCTTACATCATGATACCAAGATAAAATAATAGAACTTAAGATGTCTAACTAAAACCCCACTTTTCCTAGCCGACTTTCGTGTTTGTATGCCCTTGACGGAGGCTGCACGTGTATCTAGAACAATCCAATGTTACTCATTGGAGCCCACATTTAAATCCCATAAAATTGAAAATTCAATACAAGATCTCTATTTGATGTCCAGGCTTAAAGACTCAAAGAAAGATCAAGTATACTAAATCCATATTTTGAGTTCAAGCCAAATGAAATCATTACGAAACTTTTACCAAAAATTACTAGATATTTCACGACTGGTAAACTAAAAACACCCAAATTTGAACTCTCCCATTATTTAGTTTTCCCCTAATTTAACTTATACCCTTAGGTAATGTCTCCAGCTAAAGCAAGTAACTCTGCGGGGGTTTTCAGTAACATTTGATTTTTTATGTCATCGCCCCAGCCATTACGGTCGTTCTGTTTATCTACACTGTTGCGAGGCTAGCTTTTCATGTGAGCAGTTTTGCATCGCAAGAATACTGACCAATCGCAACCCGTTATTTTGATAGTACTTGGCAAGCTTAGCATATGCAGCCCTTTTATATGGACGCATTACCTCTAATTTTTCTGCAGATCTCGGCCTCTGCAATTTTCGCCACCTGTAGCTTTTCACGGGACTTTTCGTCTTGTGGTTTGTCTAGCAGGACTATGGCTTCGCAATAAATTATATTTGATGTATTCGGGTTGTAGCTTTCGCTAGTTTGTAAGCATTTTGCGCCTTTTTGCCCTCCTATATCAGGACACTTTTTAAGCGGTTCAATCTCCTCCATCGTAGAACAATAGAGTGGACCAGAAAACAGGCTTTTTTCATAACTTCATCGTATCAATGCGACGTGCTGCTCACGTGACTCGGACTGAATATCTCATATACTTCAAGTTTGCATTTCTTTTACTTATATTGAGTTTCCAGCATTGGTGGAAAAGGCATGGGGCCCCAAGATGGTAAGTATTATCACATTCTTTGGTCTTGATTGATCCCATTTTAATTTTCTTCGTATCTAGATAATGTTAAACTTCAGTCTCTTCGCTGTTTCCTGATAGGCATATTGTTAAAAATACCCTACGCAAACTTAGGAGTTGAAAGGCAGGCTCTCTGTTATTGCTACGTAAATCAATATGAGAAGTATCTCAATTCTTCATAGCAAGAAAGCAATGAACAAGATCGAACATGGTTTGAAAACAATTCTTGGAGGTTTAGGAGCACACAGATGCGAAACAGATAGTAAGTAACAGGGGATGCGCTACAATTTGAACAGGTTGGTAATTAGCATTAGTTATTATTTCAATTGTAGTCAATCAAAACGTTTAGTGAAACAACTTTCAGACGAGCAATTCTCGAACAACAGACTTCAGCTAAAACATTTTCTAGCACTGCGATATTTCAAGTGAATCTCGACTTCACCAAAAATTTAGCATAAAGATCACACCTACTTGAATTACATATATTGTTTACAGCAAAGTATAACAAGGACTTTGGCATATATCCTCCTAGATAGTTCCTTCAGAGATATCGTATTAAAGTTCAAGCTAACGCTGATACTTCAATTTAACGTTTCTGAAGTTACTTTCTAACTTACTTTGTTAATCTTTATTTTAACAGGTAAAACAAATTTGTTAAAGAAATTGTACGCTTTCAGGCTAAACAGACACCAAGTCTTCAAAAGAAAAATGAACTTAAAAATTTTGCTACGTTTTTAACTAATTTACATATTTGACCTTTATTTGTGTAAGGTAAATTCAAAATTCTATATTATAGATTTTTCAATTTTCTCCTCTATTTTTTAATTGCCTAAATGCAGTTTTGTTATTATCTTCTTATTTAGATTTAAGTTTTCATACAACCAAAATAAGTATATGTAGAAAAAAAGAAAGTGCAAAGAAATAACTAAAACAAATATTTGTTGTCATCAAAACATTCTCTCCCAATGAAAATAAAATAACTGCAAATTGATATTGCAATGTGTCAATAAAATAACATAACAATAGGTTGTTAAACTACATACCAATAATTCTTGAATATTTTAAATTCTATAAGTTAGCATTGTAGAACAAGGACAATTCTACATTGAGTTAAATATCTTTTTCCAGAACTGTTAATAAAAATGTGTTAATAATAGCATAATTACAAGTTCAGTAAATCACACCCTACCTAACTGCATTAAAACCTTCATATATACTCCAAAATAGATTGTTGTGGGAAAGAAGAGATGTGTTAAGTAGAAAGAACCCAAAACTCAGTAATATCAATGCCTAGCTGAGTTAAAGTGTCATTGAATTCTTTTAAACAAACCTTGATAAATTTTTGGGCAATAACTTTAGAGAAATAATTGGCATAAATTTTGGGATATTAGATGTGGGAATTTATGGGATATTATATTATATATATATGGGAAAAATATTTCAGGTTTATTGTTGAAGAGTCTAATGATATCTTTAATTTGAAATGGATGAATTATAGATATGTATGAGTTATTCTATTATGGTTGTTATATATTATCATTAATAATTCAGTTATGTTTTGGAAAAAAATTTTTTCAACTATTTGTTCAAGATACTTCTTCGAACTTTCAAATTTCCTTGCAAACTGATGCTTCTGTTTTGCCTCATCTCTTGCTTCATTTCAGAGCTTTTGTGGGCATCAGTGAAATAACCACTCTTGTCACCATCCAGAGCACTTGGTATGTCAAAGCCATTGTCTTTGCACCATTCGTTAAAGCATTTTTCAACCAGCTTTCTTTTGTTGGGATCTCGGCTATATGCTCTGATGTACTTTTCTCTAAATGTCTGTGGTAGAATTTCTGAAATATGCTCTTTCCTTAGCTTCACTGGGGCAAGAGACTTTGTGAAGAAAATAACGGAATCTATTGGGTCATCATTTTTCATTCCAAATGTAATATTTACAATGTTTATGACAACATCTTCAGAGCTTAATGACTCATCCTTAGCCGCAATTTCTTGACTGATGCCATCTTCTCCCTTATCTAAAATCTGTTGAGATGATGTCATGATGTCATCATCCTGAGATCCCACAAGTGCATTAACCTGCCCACAAAACTTGTAAAGTTGCCTTTTTTGCAACTGCTTGATCAACCTCTGTGCTGTTTTGATTCTGACATCATCATCTTTACTTCTTAGAATTTCATAGATGATTGAATCAGTAAGGCTTGTATATGAGGCCATGTTTCCAATGCTTTCAAAGATCTCAAATTTGTCATCCACCAGGGACAATGCCTCTACCAACATGCACTCAACTATTTTAGTTGTCTTGTGCTGATAAACCCTGTGATGGAGGGACCATCTCATGTGGAACAACTCATACAGATTGAATCTCTCTTTGTCTCGAGCACAGATTTGTAGTTGTCCATCCACAGGGAGGATTGTAGTGTTTTGAAAGTAACGAAGACAGTCAAAGTTGCTCTTCATGCCTACATAATGGCAGTCTCTCATGAGATAATCAAATTTGTCACAGTCAATTCCGTTTCTTTTGTTTGAGACTATTTCATAGAGAAACCATTTCTCAATTTCTTTGTTCAGTGCATCAGACCAGCATTTCTGCAAAATATTATCCTTTTTTGGGTCCTTGCCAAGAATAAGATCCTTGACCAGAGCCATTTCTTCTTTTCCTATACCATATTTTTCAAAAATATTCTGTACAGAAACGTGCTCTTGTACAAGGTAGTCAAACATGTCAATGGACCCTCTTTCATGACACCACTGGCTGCTTGGGCAAACACGTTGCTTGTATTGCGTGTCAAATACATGAGAAAATGGGCCATGGCCTAAATCGTGGCATAGTCCAGCTATCTTCACACATAAAACATCCATGTCAGTTATCAAATGAGGGTGCTGTTCCTTTAAAGTCTTGAGCATAAGGCCGCATAAGTAGGAAGTGCCAATGCTATGCTCAAATCGGTTGTGACAGGCTCCAGGGTAAACCCAATATGAAGCACCTAACTGTTTAATATCTCGAAGCCTCTGAAATTGCGGTGTGTCGATGATGGACACAAGGACTGGGTGTAGTTTAATCGAGCCATGTATTGGGTCGTTAAAGATGCTAAATTCCATCGGCTCTTCGGTGTTCGGATGCTTTCTGCGCTCTAGACGAGGTCTTTGTGACTCTGGTAGGCCTTCTAGAGCCTCTAGAGTGCCTCCAGTGGCCTTTCTCTTCGAGTTCTCCATTACTTGCTCGTGCACAACGTTGCTCTGTAAAATACTCTCTTGAGTAAAATCCTGAAAGCTTTGCTGAAATATTCAACCAAGCCAAGTTGTTTTCACTCTACATAATTCCGCCTTCGTTTTAAACGTGAAACACAGGGGTAAAAAGGCAAGACTTCTTTCCCAAAGGAGGCATATTGTTAATGGCGGAAATCCCAAATCCAAAGTTTCCAAAGCACAATGTTTGGGGGGCAATTTTCAGTAATCATTGGGGGATAACGCAATCAGTAGACAAAGGGTCTACCAAACATATCACAAATAGTGCATATTTGCGGAAAACAAAACAGATCTCATCACGTTTTTAAAAAGAAAATATGTTTTCACACGTGTTCGGAGTCGCCAAAAGAGCTGCAGGGCAGAAGGGTGTCACATGCCCCAAAACGGCAAACAGTAGCCAAATAAAGAAGCTTGCCAATTTTGCCAAAACAAGGGGGTAGCGCCGCCGAGGCCTGTGAGCCCATAACAAGGTATTCCCATTAAGGTCTGACAGGGGGGTCTATAGGAACGCTGATTGACGATGTTCCTGTATTTACATTTGATGTTGCAAAGTTCTTTCATTGATTTGTTGTCGTTTTTATTTCTGATTTAGCGTGCAGAAAACACGGAGCCAGCAAGAGACAATGTTGCGTGACCGTTTTGATGAATTTACTGACTGACTGCAATTTAGGGCGTATACACATAAAACAAGGGGACGCTACAAATGTGTTGTTTATTACGTTACGTCTACGTGGATACGAAGGCAATGGAAAGTGTTTATGACAGTGACACAATATGGAGTATATGATTACGTTTAGACAATGGTCACTACAGGTCCAGTCGATTTGAGGGTCTTACCAAATGGCTACGAAATAGCTAATCTTTGATAATAACATAACGGCTTAGTTTAGCTTGTGATTTTTTATAGACAATGAACAAGGGCGAAAAAATTTGTCAAAGAAGGACCAGGCGCGGACCAAGAAATGGATGCTACTACCAATCAGATAATTTCCGTCCTTATTCTATCATTTGGGGGTTATTGTCAAAAAACACTGCCATTTGAGGGTCGTTTTTCAACATTTTAGATTTGGCCCTCATTGACTCTGACTGGACCATAACTGTTAGGCCATAATTGGAGTAACCCCCCCCCCCCGGGGGGGAACAGCATCCATGTCTTCTTAACACAAATAAATGATACAGTAGAATCCCGTTATAACGTACTAGGTTTTTACGTACTTTCGGATAAAACGTACTGCTGTGCTTGGTCCCAACAAAAGGTTTGCTTGGTTTTACTCAATTTTTACATACCCTCGTTACATCGTAGTTCGGATATAACGTACTTATACACTGGTCCCTTCAAGTACGCATAATTGTCTTTGAAAACGCAGTTTGAAAGATAATTTATTTGATATGATATTTTCAAGTTTGGCTGAAATCAAACTTTATGAACACTCATAAAGTGAAAATGTTGTAAAAGATGCTGTTCTGTGAACAGGGAGGAATGAAGCGAGATATAGAACAGGGTGGAGGCAACCGCCACTGTTGTCCTTTAATAAGAGGGACAAGCGGATCTTAAGTGTACTTTCAATAAAAATGCCCCTAGACATCGGCCTTTTGTAATTGTGTACCTGTAAAATACTTCCAATAAAAAAACTTTTTTTGCTTGAGGGATTTTGTTATGGTAAATCCAGAGATACCTACAATGTGCTTGGCTGTCTAAAAATGTTGAAATTCCTTCCGGAGCAACCGAAAGTTGAAAATCAAACTCAGAAAATGCAACTGAAGCTCTTTTTTATTGAAACATTGTAGTCTGGGTAGCCCATTCTAAATTTCGAAATTTCCAAGCTGTGTTTTGTTGTTCCACTTGCATAAAATTGAGACCCTACTTCCATCTCTTTTTTGAATTGCTCTCTTAATAGCTAGGTGATTTAGAAAGTGAAGACTATTTTTCTTTTATAGAAAAGACAGGCCTTACAAATGCTTGCTTTTCGGAAACAAATGTTTATAGCCAACACCAGAAAAACTAGAGGCATATTTCTTGACTTTAAACAAACAGGCTGAGTCTAAAGACCCTCTCTCGGGGTCCCCGATGATTTCAGCCCTTGAGGCGATGTGCTCTAAAAATGACGTTCATGCATGACACGCCCTTTCATCAAGCATGACACGCCCTTTCATCGGGCATCTAAGCTTCATACCCCACTAATTAAAATAGTGAAGTTTTGCCCCTGGACCCAATGCTCTAAGGAATATTGGGTCTGCGTTCAGGTTACATGGAAACAAAACACAATGAACTGCTTGATCTTGAAAAATCAAAGTGGGCCTGGTCTGGTTTTAGCCCTGCGTTGAAGAATGTTAGCAAAGAAAGATACCTCGGGAGGTATTGCTTGTCAATATTATTCCAGGATCGATATAAAAGCCATTTTTATCCATGTTCATTTTCTCTGTTTATGCCAGTAAGCCTCCCCCGTCTTCTAAAGCGGCAGTGTATTCAAAGGCTCTTAGCAGGGCGGGGCAGCCTTATTCCAAATTCGGAAAAAATCCTTTCGCTGGACCTCTTTTATTGTTTCTCTCACTCCCAACCTCCTTCGCTGATCTGAGAGAGGTGTCTTCGAAGGGTCGGGCTAGTAGGAGAAGGATTAAAGATCAGGCTGCCAGCTGTCCAAAAGAAAAGTGCTTGACTCTGCAAAATATCTATAAAAAACATCATGTCCGACGAAGGTATGCTATTTCTTCACATATGTATGTAATGAAACCAATACCGTGCTTGGAAGCATGATATTTCTGCAAATATTGTCTGAAGGCAGAAAAGGGTTGGCATCTGTGTTCTGCTTTCTCTTCATCCATATCATTGTTCCATACACACCTTTTGTAGTCAACCGATCTATTTCTTCCTTTATTGGAAAGGGGTTTTGATGCGTTAGATGAAATTTGTGGTGACTAAACGTATTGTGGTTTTACTATTGAATTAGAGAAGGAGCGTGGAATTCCATCACGTTCTGACACCCATCTCTGTTAGTCTCTTGCAGCTGTCTGTGATACCACGTCTGTTTCTAAAATCAGCCCTTTCGTTAGAACTTTATTCTCATAAAAAAGTAGAACTAAGCGTCATTTCCCTTTTTATACTCACCTGTCGGCTGTTACTGCCAACAGGGTGCAGAACATAACGAGAAAGTCACATATGGGGTTCGTTTTTAGCAAATCCAATTTTATAGCTTAGATAATACCACACATGATCCTTTGGTTGAGCTGCATCGTGGCTTTCTTTTCAAAAACTTTGATATAAACTGTAAGAAGTTAAAAATAGTATGACATAAGAATGTCTGGCAAATCACGACTCGGACATAAGAAGAATAACATTTTTATGCATTCCCTTCTAAAATATGCAACATTCCAACACATATAAATTGGTAAGCTGGGTGTTCATTTTATGAAGTGAGTCTTAAATTTGCAGGGTTTACCTGTCATTTGTAAAATTTATGCGACAGATGTAAACAAATGATATTTTATTGAAATCCCATTGTGACAAACATTTGGTGATTGGAAAGCTGTTTTTTCTGCTAAGTCCTTCTTGAAAGAAACTGTCTCGAGAAAGGACATGTTTAATTGTATTTTTAATACCTATCGATTTTCCTTATTAGACTTTGCATAAACTGATAAATCAACTAAATCTATTTCCCGAAAGATGCCCAAAACCTGAAATCCCTTTCGATGTATGAGGCTTTAGAATTCCTTTTATATGTAAAGACAATCCGATTTTGAATGCATGAATGTCCGTGAACAACAGATTTACCTAGAAGCTATACAGGGACTTTTATCGATATGCACGGCAGAGAAGAATGTTTTGTTCTCAATCTGTTTCTTAATATTAAATGTTCCCAGGACAATTTGGTGTCAGATGCAGTTGTCATAAATTGAGCGTCAATCATTTGCCGTTCGTATGGTTTTGAAAACACCGCACCGTTGAAAAATGTGAGAAAACTTTAGAGTTTGTCTTGCACCTCTTGAACAATAGCGAAATCCGGTACAAAAACGCCTTCTAAGCTTTTGTGTAGTTACTATGGAAACTCTTCCCAGGACCTAGACCGCGAAATCTAATGAACCTACCCTCAGTTTGCAAGTAATTGCATCACAAACTGGAACGGATGCTATACCTCTGCGATCATAGGCATAAAAGATATAGGGGCTAGTGGCTGCAACCCCCCCCCCCCCCCGACCCAATCAGGCAGAATTTAGTTCAGGCCCAGTCGGGCAATTTCATCTCAATGAAGCAACACTATTCGGGCAAGACCCATGCCAAGCCCCTTTTATATAAAGTCATAAAACACAATTTCGTGATACCGTTTATTTGAATCAGAAAAATGTGTCTCTTCAGCCCCCACTATTTTTCAGGTGAGCTCTTGCTCGAGGGGGTTCCCAGATGTTCACTTCTACCAAAGATGTGCGGGATTCCCTCCTAAACATATGAAAAATCCTTTGTTTCTAATGAAAAATTCCCCATATTTGCCATTGTTATTGTTAATTGTGCCGATAAAAAGTCTTCAAAATTATTCCCTTCATATTTCTTCAAGCAATGATGCATCTTCAATAATTCTCTCTTGTAGTAGTGCAGTGTCTGCAGTGGAGGTTGGCAAGGGGGTGTGCCCCTGAGCCCCTCTTTTTAACACTAGCCTTTCTTATAACAATATCTTGTTATATACTATCATCCCATTTCATTACCAATACATGTATATTGAGAAGAATGATGCAGCTGGCCTATCGATTCCCAGATTTTTGGTCTTCTCAAACAAGTGATAGATTTTTTTAAATTAGAATATATTGTAAAAAATTTGCCCTGTTGCATAAAGTCAGTGCACAAACAGCATCCTAAATGCCCTGGTGTTTTTATCTTTCACTTTGCTTCGGTTCTGTTAGTAGAACATTGAAAACAAAGCATTATTCAAACAATTGCCTCTAGCATCAAGAAACTAGCGAAATTAAGCAACACCTATAGATCATCTATAAAAGCACATAATTCACTGATTATTACATGATTTTATGTCTTAGTTATATTTCATGGCCAAACAGATGTTGCTAAAATTTCTTTTCCTACGGAGACCGTTCTTGCAACCGTTCTTGCCTTTGGCTTCACCGACTCACCCCCCTGGATGCAGTCATCCTTGAACCACCCTTCGGCTAATCCCTCGAAGTCGGATTTTGCTTAGAGAGAGCTGTTCATGTATTGCTAATAAATTTTTGTGGCTCTTTCTATTTTGCACTCTGATCACTAATCTTCTTAGAAAATGGATGTTTACAATAGACTTTCGTTTGATAGTTTTGTCAACTAAAGAACTTTATTGTCTAGTTCCCTATGCCTCCACGTCAGGGGGTGGGATCGATCTATTATATTAGGGGGTATGAATCTGTCTTTTACTACTGAAAATTTTAAGGTAATGCGTTCCTACATTTTGAAGAATTAAAGAAGCTTCAGAGTGGCTGGAAGCCAAATGAAAGTTTTAAATTCCTTATCAAAAAATATACTGTTTCAAATATATTTACGAACCAGAATCAGAGCAGCTTATTGTGGTAAGATCGGGCAAAAGAGATATACCGAAAACCGCAGGTTAGTATTTTTCGGAAAGAAGAACGGTCCAAAATCAGAAAGAAATTTCAAGGGCAAAGGCAAATTTTTAGTCAACGAGAATTAAGAAGAACGCTGACTAACTGGATTGGACACTTATTACGAAATTCATATCCAATTTTATTATAGTTTAGCCTTTGTTGTGATTTACCTCAAAAGCTCCCTTCCTAATTCAAATTATTTATTTTCCCATCTCAGAGACACTGCAGCATAGGGCGGCGAAGCGCCATAAAAAGGGCAAAGCAAAAGCAAAGTAAAAAAGATTGGCAAGTTTGCTTGGGCAAGGGGCATCCGACCCCCAGCCAGCCCCCAACGAGCCCCTATGCTCCGTTGTCGCTGACCTATTCCAATCCACAATGTCTTATGCAGAGAATAAGCATATGTGGTGAATAAATTTGTAGCGATGTTTCAGTCGAACAGATTAAAGTATCAACGTAGAAGAGAAACTCCCTGAATCTAATTACTTTCGTTATACAATCAACTATACATAAGTGTTTATGAAATGAATCGAAAGTAGTCTGGAAACTAATTTCGTCTGAAATATCTTCAAGAAACATTGAATTTGAACTGAAAACAATACTTTCTTTGTGAACTGTTTATAACAATATCAGCATAAGCATGTACAGGAAAGCATTTTAATCTCCACCTATACTCCACTGACTATTTCGTGCCACCAACACAAATGTAACAACTAGGGATTTTTCATAAACACAGTAAATTTGGCAAAAAATTGCATTGTATAATTGGCAGGATATCTAACTGACGAACAATTTGAGCTAACTCGTAATCGTAAAATGGCGATTCTGGAATTTTTATAACAAGCTATGTGGTATTAGTTTCTAACAATGAATATAGTAAGGCACCCTAGAAAGAATGACGTATTGGGAGGAGGGCGGACTTAAAATTTCTCAGTTTGACGAAAATCAAGGGTAGAGTGATTATGTGCACGGTTTTAGATAAATTATTGTAAAAATTTAGGCTAAGCAGTCTCAACTATCTTCGTTTCCACGGTCTCTAAATGCTAGCAAAATTCGCGAAATGTTTTAGCCTCTTATACTTTCACAGTATCTCTTCCTTTGGTAAGGCCATGTTAGAAAAATATTTTTGGGGGAAGTATACCCTAGTTCCTGCCACCATCTTCCCCACCAAGCTCCTATGTCAAAGAAGAAATATAATGGATTCCAAAGACTCTAGCCTGGTCTCGGACTGGTTTTGGCGACAGCCTCCCTTTGATGTTTGGAAAAAGACCCTAGACTGGTCTCGGACTGGTTTTGGCGACAGCCTCCTTTCTCATTAAAGAGGCAACTGCTAATATTTTTATAAGTTTAGTGCAAGCTACATCCACTGTTTGTATCTAGGCGTGCGTAATGTTTGAAACTAAGTTCAAAATAGGTTGAACTGATGTTTTTTCTCTTTAACTCAACTCATTGGCCTACTTTCGTTGATTAAAACAAAAACATTTCCATTCCCGCACTCCCCCCGGCCCCCGCCCCTGTAATTAGGCACTCAAGAGTATGTAAGGATCTGTTTTCTGACCCAAACGGGTATTACCTATTGACAAAGCACAGATAATGAGCAAATTGTAACATGTGAACCCCACTCCTCCCTCATCAGACATTACTGTAACGGCTTTGTATTTGACAATAAGTTGCCTGAAAATTGATGTATCATTGTGTGTATTTGTCTCCTTGAACATGGAATTTTGCTTAAGAACCAGAGCAACTTGATAGAAATTACTTTAATGGGGCTCAGTCAGAAGCTAAAAACTTCTATGATTCCAAACTAAGTTTTTCTTTCTCTGTGTCTGCTCTTTATGTTTCAATTTCGCGTAGTATGACGTCATCTCCATAGAACCTAGAATTCGATTTCTCTTGAACAATTTGAGTTCAAGAGAAATGTGTTTGAGTTAAGTTTTTGGGTTCTACATCTCAGTTGATTACTACAAGCTTCTCGTTTCCTTCCATATGGTCGATCGTTTTTTCTAACAGCTATTATAAAAACTTTCACCCGACTCTTACTTTTATAAATCGTCTATAGAAAACCCCCGGTTACAATTGACAACTTAAATGAAGCGGCCCATAATTTGCACCCATCCGCTCGTTTCGTTTGTGCCCACTTAGGTTTAATGGTATAACGAAGAGAATCATAACGACAAAAGGGATTTATTGTTCTTTTGTTGAGGAGTACAAAGAGCAACAAATAAATATTTACTAATGAAAATTTTGTCAGGTTGCAATTGCTTGCTCAGACAGAAGGGAGAGACCCGTTGATCCTCTGGTTGCTCGCTTCTTATCGAAAGGAATAATTTGTCACTCGGGTTATAGGCTGTTTTTGTTTGCCGCCTGGAACAGTCCTCTCTAGACAACAGATTTAGAGCAGTCTTCGTGTCTCTTCATTCAAAAACGGTTGCCCTTGCTCCAGCTATTAAAGAATAATGGATGTCGACGAGGAATATACTTCTCGAAGGCCGAGAAGGGAGCGCAGAATCCGTAACAGTAGCCCGTCATCCACGAGCCCGTCAGGTTCTACCGATTCGAGTGAGTACCTAAACATCTTGCACCGTTCCAATTCAAACACGCGCGAAATACTGGAGTTTTTCCGCAATATTTTTCGTTATTACGCGCGGTTTTTACTAAAAAGACGGCTGTTTTAAAGAAATAATCTATTTATAAAATTGCACCCCAAAGTTGATTTTTTGCCTATAAAAACAGTGAAAGGGTTTGATTTTTTATTTCACGATTTTAATCACAGATGAATAGGTCTTTCGTATTGAAGATAAAGCATACGCGATTCTTTTCTTCTGAACATAAAACTCTCTTTGTAGCTTTGAATTTATTTCTTATTACTGAACAAATATTGTTTATTGAGCGATACACAAGAGGAGTCCTATTTATTCGCCCGTCACGAAGACTTAGCGTCTTTCTCATATAAAACACTGAAAAGATAGATGCTGTGTGTGATTTCAACGAAAGGATTGCATAAATCATCATTTTTCACGGTATTTACGACAATTCTTCTTCGGGGAGAATCCACCACTCCCAAATTGTCACACCTCCGGTGCTGGCATGTCTGGTACATCCATGTGTTCTCTGTTTTGAGCATAATTCTTACTTTCCACTCGAATATATCTTGCACATAGGTTGTAAATAAGCTATTAATGTGCATGTTTAGAAAATTTTGCAGATTTGTGAGATTTAAGTTCGTTGAAATTGAATTCAAGCGTTATTTGATACACGGAGCTGCACTGGGCTGGGTTGTGGATTAAGAGTCAACTGATTGTGAAAACAGATGTGCCGCCTCTCTATCCAAATTGGATTTAAACTTTCAAAACAGTGAGCAGAGAATAACGTTTATTTGACAAAGTAAAAGCGATCTTTGACATAAGTTTAACCTGTTTTAGGTACTTCAGGACCCGAGCAATAGTAGCTTCCCAGTTTATTTTCTAACGAGCAACATGAAGCAGTATCCACTCATGACAAAATTCTATTAGAAACGCGTCTAAGTGATAGGCAATTAAAATACAACCTCGTATTTTTATTCCTTATGTCCTTACTATTCGTTTCTTATTTCAATGAATGTTTTACTATTTTGTGTTGCACTTTTGATAAGATTTCTTTCCGCTGAAATGAAAAAGGAGAGCCGGAGAGAGCAGTTCGAAGCAGTCACCAATTATTTGTTGATTTTCGACGAATTATATTTTTATAGCTGCTAAGAGCTGAACCAGATACACAGAAAAGTGTTTTTCCCTTTTCCGGACAGTGCCATTAAGGTCATACGTCTGTCCAGGGAAACGATGATAAACCGGGTGCGGTGGGTGTGGCATTTTAGTTGCATTGTTTTCATTGGCCTCCTTCATAAGCGTTGATCGCTTGACCGCCATGTTTTTGGCCTCTGCTCGTATGTTTAGCGTTAATGCTCGTTTTATCAAGATATGCTTTTTCTGGTGGTGATTTCTTATTTTGAAGAACTAGTGGCTGTTATTGTATTTGTAAATCATTGCGAACGCAATAGTTTTCTGACCTGCCTGAACAAAAGTATTTCGCTAATATTCTTGGATAGTGTCCGCATCATCGAGTATATTGCATATTTTCATTGTACTCCGATGAAGTTCTGTTTGCCGGGGCGAAATATTAGTATTTGTTTAATTTAATTTATTTTGAAAATTTCTCTTATTACATTGGATTCTCGTTGCCGCTTTGCTTTGTTCCTGAATTTTATCTTCGTATTTATATCATACTCATTGCAAGATTCACAGAATCCGGCGAACAGCCTATCCTGCGGTTCTTCCTTCTCACACACTAGTTAGTTAGATTTTGTTTTACTAAAGAACTTTTGCATGCTCTGCGGACTTTCATTGGCATCTAAAGATCATGTTTAGGTTTACAGCCCATTAGGTTTACAGCCCATGGGCTTTCATGATTTTTTTATGAAAACACTCTGACTCTGTTGTCTCAATCGACAAACGACATCAACGGGGCTATGACAAATGTGATACATGATATTATTTGGAGAAATTTCTCTGGCTTAAGTTTCATTTGCCAAAGGCTTGGGAAACTTTGTCTGATCTTTTCATTGGAATGGCGTGCGTTTTTTCAAAAGCTCATATATCAGTACTGCTGTATCTTACTATTCTGCAAATCTTCAATTACCCTTAATGCTCTGTCAAGCCCCCCTGGGGGCTTATCTATTTTCCCATTTTTCCAGTCCTAGAGGGGTGCTTATTAGAGAGGGGGGCTTATGAATAATTCAAAGTAAAAAATGTTATAAAAATGCCTCTCTGCATTTTTTTGTTATAAAAATGTCATAAAAATGTTCTCAAAAAACTTTGCTAGCAGCTTCGAAAGCTAATTGAAATTAATCAAATGTAATGTCTTCAAAAAAGAGGGGCTCAAATTAAGGGGCGCTAATGAGAGCTTTTATGCTCTTTCTCTAGTAAGTAGGGGAGTGCCCTCATTGCCACTGGTCTCTAGGTTTTTGGTTTCATGTTTTTGCTGCCTGAAACTTTCTGGTATGAAAACAAGTGGACAAGTTTTATCGAAGGAAATAAAACAAATTTGATTTTGGTAAATTATGATGAAAATATCACTAGAGTATCATATGAACCCTTTAGTTAAAATACCCTGCGCCACTTATAATTTAATTTTGTAGGTCTGTTTACAATTTGATGTTTTATTTTCTAGATACCTACAGCTCTCGCCGAAGCCGAAGAGTGCATAATGATGATGATGAGGTGAGGTGACTAAATGATTGTGAATTAGTCGTAACCAAATCGAGCTGGGTTTAAATCTCCTGCAAGTGACCAAATTAAAGATGAAGAGAGTCACAGTAGTGTCTTCATAACGACAAGAGTGCTTTAAGAGCTTAGTAATTTGTGGGAGAAGTTAAGTTTTACAAAATGCAAATCAGTTCTGGATGCTTATTGAATTTGGTATTTCTAAAATCAATTTACCCGCACTGTCTGCAAATGAAATCTTTCCTGAGTTCCATGTTAGCGTACCTTTTTTGCAAAAAAAGGATTAAATTATATTCCCATTCACAAATTTCACAATTAATGGGTATTAACTAGACTTTTTATGGATATTTAAGCAAATACTTCGTTTTTTGCTTTAGTCTCATTTTTCCTGAACTCTTGGCTCTATATCTCCAGTTTTGAATGAAACTGATGCGGTGACGCGGTGCCCCAGGACTTAAGTTCTTAAAGCATTGTCTTCTATGTTATTCTTTGGTTTTAGTGACTTGCAAAATCAAAATCAAATTTTGAATGACAAAATATCGAGGCTAAATTTGAGAATCAAAGCAGCAATACGTAATCAAACTTCCAATCAATTTTATGATCCACCGAGTCGCCTTTCTATAGCTCACGCGTTAATTTGCACGCCATGTACTGGTTCTCCGCGCGGATTTTATCTCGGTCATTACGACCGGCAAGTAGAGTTCTTTTGAACTTCTGTATGCTCTCGCATATCCAGGCTACCTTGCGAAATTCCTGTCCATTGCTAGAACAAAAGAGATTCAAACATTATAGACGGAAAAGGTTCTGCGAATGCAAACATTCGTTTGTTTTGTTGTTGATTATTCTTTTCTTGAATCAGTCTATTTGCTCGCGGTCTATTGGATAGAACGGAATCGGAAAATCTTTAAAACCAAACAAGATTTGAAGCTTTGGAATACAAAGATTCATAAGCCTTCCCTGATGGTAAATTACGTTCGGGGGGTCAACAAAATCGACTAGATTCTAAGTTGATCATTTTGATGGGGGTCGTGCTTGGAAAGTTGAGGAGATTTTCGAGACTTTTTGCAATGGATATAAGTGAGCATTCGTTTAGTGAAAAGTATTCTGTAGATGGTGAACATAATCGTTTTCGACGATTGCTTATGCATTTGCAAGAAGGATAAACAAGGATGCAGCAGGGGTATTGCCGAGGAGTGCCTGGGGTGGACTCGTGTGGACAGGGGTGGACTCGTGTAGACTCGTGTGGACTCGTGTAGACTCGTGTAGACTCGTGTGGACTCGTGTGGACTCGCGTGGACTCGTGTGGACTCGTGTAAATTAGGTTGGACTGGGGTGGACTGAAGTAGACTGGGGTGGACTCGTGTGGACTATTTTGGACTGAAGTGTACTGGGGTGGACTGGGGTGGACTGGGGTGGACTGGGGTGGACTGGGGTGGACTGGGGTGGACTGGGGTGGACTGGGGTGGACTGGGGTGGACTGGGGTGGACCAGTTTCCTATTTTGACATAACCCTATAATCATAACTGGAAAATTGGAAGAGCTTGGGTCTCTTTGTCAAAAACATGCTTATTGTCAGATTTAATTTATCAAAGTGGCTTTTTTAAGAACCCCGTTTTAAGGCAAAGTTCTCAAAGGGATTTTCGTACGGTGGGTTCCTTACTCCCATCATCAATCATCAGCCTTCTCCCATATTAAGCCTTTATTTTGGTAGCAAGCACTGATACTAGACTGTAGAAAAATGCCATGAAAAGTCTCAACATATTTATGTTTTGACATCAATAATTCAATTCGATCTATAAAGGCAATGTAAAGAGGTCTTTGCATAAGTGAACCTCGATTGTTTTTTCCAGGAAGAGGACACTGGACGATCCCGTCGTTCTCGAAGAGCAGCTCGTGATGATGATGAGGAAGAAGAAAGTCGAAGCACTAGAAGAAGCAGGCGACAACAACAAGGTAACATAGCTTTCTAACCTTTTCCAGCAGGTAGATAAGCATTGGAGTTTTGTAAGTTTGGGCGCTTATCGAATCTTTGATCTTACATAGAGCTCTAGACCATATTTTGTGTTTTGCTTAGGGGCGTCACCATTCTAGCATTCCTTCCTGACTGACTGACTATCTTGCAACGAACTCTTTTTTGCAACAAAAAACTAGAAATAACGGACAATTACAAGCAACACGCTCTAACACGCAAGCACAGTTGTATGTGATATCATGCCACGCTTTTTAATCGTTGCAGCTGACTGCGCTTAGCACATGCGCGAATGACTAACGATGAAATTTTGTCCTTGGTCGCGTGCAATCAATGATTTTGTTGATGACCAGCATTTTGAGAGTAAAAGCATTATGCCTGATGGCACTAAAAGACTTTTGTAACAAAAATCTCGGTTACCGACCATGGAAAGAACAATATGTGAGGAACATCTTCGTTGAGCCATCTGGAAGTTAATAAAACGAATAATTTTGTCTCTCTTGCTGTTGCTAAAACAATGTGGTTGCTAAAACGATCGCTTCTGTTAGTTTAGAACAACTGTGAAGAGTTTTGAGAAAAAATAGGGCTACCGTCTTTTTGGAAAGTTTGCTTATTTTCCATTCAATTTCGCAAAGTCTTTCGAACTTATTTTAGGAAAACTGCAGACTTTGCCTCGTTTCAATGCAGCCTAGGAAGAAACTAATGGTTCAAAGACAAAAATTGACACCTTTTCTTGTCAGTGCTTTCTGAAAGTAGCCTTTTAGCAGGGCGTGGTCATGAATCCTGCCTTGCTTTTGGCCTTAAGATTCAGTACTTTCGTGTTTTGTTTCAATAGAAATAATTAATTAAAAAGCTTTGAAACACCAAAATAGATCATCTAGTGGAACTTAGGATAAGTGCTTGATGAGCCACCTTTTTCGACCCTCGGGTGACATATTATCCATGCCGACTGTTGTTGCATGATTTCATGAAAAGCAATAAGAGCCTTTTATCTGGCTGCATGAAATAATTTTCTGCATGATTTATCAGGATATCTCTACTTTATTTAGGCCATATCCTGGCAGCTGTCGCCTAAGACCTATTTTTTAAAAGTACGTAATAGCCTTATCTGCTCTATTTGTTTCCGTCGTCAGTTCAGTCTAAGTAACCTGAAAGCTTGTGATTTATCGCTGTTATACTTCAAAGATTTTGAAATTAAATTTAATGCGGCAAGATGGAAATGTTATTTTGACCTTCTGTGGAAAAATGGATTAGCCATTAGTCTAGTCTATCTTTCTTTTGATTTTCTTAAACAGACGATGAGGAAGAAGATACAAGCAGCCGAAGAAGCCGGCGAAGGGCCCCTGCTGATGACGACGAGGAAGAAGAGGCTCCAAGGTCGACATCGAGGTCAGCAGTGTCTGTCACAACTAGCAAGAAGTCAGTTGTCATGGGTGGCACAGTGAAAGGAATGAATGAAGCCAGGCGAAGTAAGTATCGCTGTTTTTCATGATAGTATGCATCGATAATTTGATGTCCTCTACTGATATCATTACCGCGCAATTGCTATCATAGTTTGAATCATCGCGATCATCTCAATAATCGTCATGAACTATGATCAATCATCATATCATAATCCGTAGCAATCCTAATCATCATCCATCGCATCAAAATCCTGATGAACCGTCAACAACACACCATTATCATACCCAATCATAAACAATTAAAATCAGTCATAATCACTACTGCTCAATCATCATAAATCATCATCATCTGCCATCACCAATCATCATCATCTGCCATCACCAATCATCATCATCTGCCATCACCAATCATCATCATCTGCCATCACCAATCATCATCATCTGCCATCATCAACCACCATCATTGTTCGTCATGATGACTCTTTGCACTGATCATTACCGCACCATCGATACAAATCACTAGCAAAAGGAACTCTGTTGCTTGAGAGTGTCAAGTAAATGCATCTGTGGATATTTGCAGTATCGCCCAAAAAGCTCTAAGCTAAAGGCAGTATCGCCCGAAGTCAAACACGCACTAATTCGCAAGGACAGTTGTGCGTGATTTCATTACTGTCTTTTTGCTCTTAAGTAACGCAAGCTCGCGTTATCCTCATTTCTCCGACAATCATACCCCCCTCTATTTTGCAAGTAGCTTACAAAAACGCTTTCTATCACCAAAAGATCGCATTGATTCTTAAAGAACTCTTCAACCACAAAGCCTGACCGTCAGCGCAATTTGAAAAAATCAGCTTGATTTTATTGGGAGAACAACCAAAGACTTCTTTACCTAAGTGTGCGGTTGATTTCGTGCGTTTTTAAATTTCTTTTAAAACAAAATTTCTGTTAAACCATGAAAATTAATATTTAAAATTTCCAAATTATCTTCATCTTCTATGGCCCGCAACTTATAAATTAAACATAATATTTACTTCACCTGCTTTTGTTCGCCAAGCGATTTTTAAAACCTTATTAGAAAATTGACTACATTCTTTTTATATAAAAACAAGGAAATTTGGGTTAACGGTGGCTGTCCTCAATTTTTCCAAAACCTTTAGAATGGGTATTTCTTAAGATATTACGGTGTTAGTTAATAAAATTTAGACACGAAACAAAATTTGACTGTAGAATACCGTTGGATGGGTATAGTGCAAGTAATAATTTTTGAAAGTCATTAGCAAATGCTCTTAACTTGTTTTTAATGTTTGACCAATTGTTAGGGCTCCTGGTCTTTTAAAGGTTTGAAACTTATAAAAACTGTATAAAACTTGCAAATATAACTACTTTTTGTTGCAATTGATGTTATAGGAGACTCTTGATCATTTGAAAACTAAGCAAGGACATCTTGCTTGTTATAACACTATCAATTAATACTTTAATGTTTGGCACATGTCGTGACATTAATTTTAGTGACAGAAATTACAATAGTTGAAGCAATATATTTTAGGATGTTCATCAAAATCACTATTCATTGTCAATTTTTAACCCTAATTTCTACTTTGATGAACTCTGATGTCCGTGGATAAAAACCTTCTCCACATATCTGCAAGATAAGCGTAAATTTTTTGTTTCTTAAAATCGCGTAAATTTGCACTGAATCTTGATAACACATTTGAAATCAATTTAAAACTTCGACAATATTATGTTATGAGGCAACTAAAATACAATATTCTTTAAAAGGAATACTTTAAGGTTAGTGGTGTAGTGCTATCAAAGTAACAAGGAGGGCTTTTGCACAAAATGTTGCCTAAAACAATAGCAAAAGTAGAAATTAGCCAATTTCAACTTTAACAAGGGGGCTCAGCCCTCCCTGAGCCCCCTAGCACTACACCCCTGTTTAAGGTTAATTAATTTTGTAGTGGCCTTTGTTTCTCAGTTTTTGGAACCTCCCCTTCCATTACCTAAGAGGATAATCGATGCTTGGTTAGCATTTACAATATGCATAACAACCCGTTAGACGATTAAGTCATGGACAACTTTAGTTGGTTTTTGAGAGCTACAAGTTACAGTGTTGCCAAAAATGGCAAACGTTTGACCTAATATTTGCAATTAACAATTCTTGTTGCGTAAAGAACTTTGCGCAGATCGTCGTTTGCTTGGTAAGGTAGCCTGAGAATTTTACCAAGAAATTTTTCATTAAAATCTTCTTAGCCATTGGATTATCCGTTCAGATCTCATTAATGATTTTATGGATTTCACATTGAATATATTTAAACATGACCTTGTCATGGATTTACTGACGTGGAAATGTACGAAGCAAATTAAAATGAGGTCAGCCATTCCAAGTCCAGCCATCTTGGGTACCTTTTTAGCAGCCCATACAATGTTCCATGGCATCTATATGAACAATTTCAAGCTATACGAAAAGATAGCACACGAATTTACTTTTCGACTAAAACACTTAGGAGTTCAAAACCAGGGGCGGAAACTTGGTAAAATATTGGGGGGGGGGCAAGCCTATTGTTTTTATAATGACGTCACATTTCCCCATTGTTTTAGAATAAAAGGCCATTGTCCTCCAAAGTATTTTTGGGGAGACCGCCCCCCTCGCTCGTCAGGTGTCCGCCACTTCTCAAAACACTCAAAATGTTTTCTCTCGTGGCTTTGTTCTACGTTGGTGATAATAACTGTGCGTATGGCGTTTCTACTGGTCTGTATTAAACTCTGGTTTGCATTCTGCAAGGATTTCATACAAAGGCTACCTACAGACTCTACCCCCTGTCTCATTTGCACTCTTTTCTCCACATCACATTAGAACTTATTAATATTTTAAACTCGATGGATGAAACAGTCGTCATGTAGAGCATGTTTGAGCAATTCTTAATCGATCTAGACGTCTGGACAGAGATTTGAGCGTAAGAGGACATTCAGTCTTGCTTGCTTGAGGACTTGCTTGTTTTCAGTGCAAGAAGAACTAGTCAATATCTAGCTGTAGCTGACAGTGTTACGTAACTGGATAAACAGACCAGAAGTTTGAGAACCAAACATTCAAATTTGGTTTTGGAGAGGCAGTAATAACTGACAGCGTTACTCTACAAAAAGGTACCTTTTAAGATTGAAAACAGACATGGTTAAGAACTGAAGATATGGATTTGATGCTGTTTAGACCGACTTTCAGTGGCATTTCAGATAGAGAATGCATAAGTTTTTACAGTACTGTTGCAATCAAAATAAGCTATTGACGTCACTATCATCTGCTGCTGTAAGTTGGCAATGTTATACTAAAAGAACAAAAACAATTGAATTTTTTACGGAATTCTAGACGAAACATTCATTTCAATTAATCGTTCGTTGTAGAGATAGGTAATTTTGGTGGCTTCTTATCTAAAAACATAGAGGACATTATTTCCAACGACAGGCAAAGGAAATCAGAAGTTACAACTCCTTTTCATCATGGAAGATTTTGATGCGCTGATGATTCGGGTTAACAACCTCTATTACGGTAGAGGGAGAATAGTTATGTCACCCGAGTGTTCCCTCGCAACGTCCCGCAACATGGGCAGTAGCTCAAGCGATGACGCGAGCTGTAGTTCAACCTCAAGCGCGGGAGCTGCGGAGAATCCTGTCTTCCCGAGCAATCAGACCCAATCACAAGTCCTTGTGGTTGATAGCATCGTGAATATCGGGGAGAAAACGACGAACCGCAGAGGTCAGGCTTCTGGTCATGGAGTTGAGCAGAAAAAGAGTGATTTTGTTACGTGTGGTAATGGAGGAAGACTTAAGAGAGCTTTGTCTGATTTCATTCCTGATCGAGTTGTTAGACGAGCGAGTCCTGATAATTTCAAGGGCTTGATGTTTGATGAAAATGGTAATGTTCGCAACAGTATGGTTGCAGTTAACAGGAAAGACTTTTCGAAAGAAGAAGAGGAGGATACAAGATTGCTGCCAAAGGACTGCGAGGCAACAATTATACATTCGGTCAATGGGAGTCTGATACAGAACCCATGGGTTTCAGGTGAAATTAATGCGAAAGAGAAAGACAGAGAAATATTGAATATCCAGAGACAGGCTGTTGAAAAAGAACCAGCCTTAATTTTTAGAGATATGCTCGATACATGGAAAACATCTCGAGATTTCTGGAGGTCGGGAGACAAGGTTGAGCGACCTGTCAAAGAAAGCAGTTTGCGTATGGTTGACATGGAATCTCTTGTTTTAGATGGTATTGCGAAGACTTATGTAGATAAAACCGCTGGACATACACCAAGAGATGTGCCGAACGAACCTGGAAAGAAATTAAAGAAATGTGTATCGAAAGATGCGTGTAGTGAAAGGCAGGTCGTAGAAAAAGAGAAAGAATGTTATACTGATCCGGCGTTAGGTGACGTTACAGTAGGAAAAACGATCGAAACCCAACCAACCAAGGTCCAGTCAAGAGCAAAAAAGTCGTGTCTTGTCAGAAGCAAAGCCGGGGGGATGAGTAAGTCACAAGGAAGCCTGTCCACGCTGATAGAGGAGGAGGACCTCCGTTTTGCCAAAGGAAATTTGATTACTACTAATAAATTGGTTAATCTGAAACAGAGATTGACCGCTAGCTCAAGTAACCCAGACTTCATACCGTTTCATCCCTGCAGTCAATCAGATGCCTTTCTTGCCCGTCTCAAACCAGCCAAATCTGTGCATAATTTAATTGGGAGATTCGAGAAAATTCAAGACCTTGAAACGTTCGATGGATCATTCGATCTGGCTTATGGTAACAGGCCTAAGACATGGAAAAGTGCAGAAATGCTAACAGAAAAGTCTACAGGAAATATTAAACCGTTGGTAAAGGAAATATTTATTGACAATATAGATAAGAGCTTTAGTAGGCAAGGAAAAAAGTCTTTCCAAGAAACATTTGGAAGTGATATATACCATAAAACGGATGAAGTCTGTGCAAGACCAGTTTTTGAAAACGAAAGAAGTCGCCCATGGGTTACGGGGGGCAAAAGCTACCCATTGCCCTTATTTGGCTTCAATGATAGTGACAAAGGACCCATTTTTGTTCAAAAACAGCAAAGGTTGCAGGAGGGAACAGAGAGAAGACACAATGCACAGTTATTATCCCAAAGTAATTCGCAAGAAAACTCGCGTAGGCCAGATAAGAAGATGCGTCCTAGGAGCCTGTCCAGTGAACCCCTGTCTGCCGCAGTTTTTAGTAACAAGATTCCTTCTGCAAGAAAGGGTGATTTGATTTCAAACCCCCAGATAGGGTCTGCGTTATCTGCTGATATACTGTTTCTGGAGTACGACGACGGGTCGTCACTTTCTTTAGACTCTAATTATGATAATATTTCATATAAAGAAAATTTGGAAAGAAAGTGCTTGTCTATGTGCGATCTATCCAGTGGCCACTGGGGTACTAGTGGCCATTCATTTTATAGAGAGCGGTTTGAAAAGGCTCTCTCTCATAGCAAAGTTGACCTCACAACCTTTGATAGTAGTCTAGTGTGTTGGAGGTCATTGCAAGACCTGCGGAGGAGGTTTGAAGTCAACTCAGAAAGTGTAAACGAGCATTCTGAAAATAATAAGAAAAGTGGTATGTTCTGTTTGAGAAGATGTTACAGTTGTTAGTTGACGATTTAAATCACCATGGTCATTACTAATCGTCTGCATAATAGTCATCATATTCTCAACCATCGACTTCTTATTATCAGTCATCATCGCCAATCATTATCATCACACATTCATTAAAATCAGCATAACTGCTGTCATCGTTGTCAGTTTTTTCATCAACATCAGTATGATCATCATCAATAATTATCATGAATCATCCTCAGTCAACAATCATATAAAAGGAACACAATCATTCAATCATTTTAAATCAAGTATCAATCACTGTGCTTACAGATGTTATCAGTAATAAATGATCATCATTATATTTTATTAGAAATTTACGTTATTTTCTTTTTCGTCACCGACGATTGCTTTTTTAGCTTTTGTACAAATTTTCTTTGCTTCCTCCTTCATAGCAAAAATTTCAGTAGCATTTTTTATCAATTACTTGTAAATTAAACTTTATGAAAGTTCCTTGAAAGATTCTGGTCATGAAGGCAACCAAAGTTTTCATCACTTTGAGTCTTAACTCTTAAGAGATTTCAATGGAATTGTAAAAGGATTCAACATCTCTGCAATCAATCTCTTTACCATTCCTTGAAACAAAAATGTAGGCTCGTTTGATCTTACGTCATAAAACTTTGTTTTATGTTTGCAGAGAGAGTCCAACAAGCTATTATTGATGGCATGACAAAATACGCTGAACAGAAGTTTGGTCGCAAGAAAGCTGCACCAAAAGGAGGCAAGACCCGCTCTACAATGGATGATTATGACATCTACTTGCGCTCACTTAAAACAAAGATCAAGACAAGCCAGGATAGGCTCAATGTGGTTCTCAAGCAAAAGAGAGTGCGTCTTCCTTATTGCTTCAGTACTTGTTTTTTTCTTTATTGAGCAACAGGGTTTGGAATATCATATTCAAGGCATTGGCCAGAACCTTTCAGAATAAAGTGTATTTTTTACGCTACCCTATTCGATATCATCGTGGTACCAATTTGAAGAAAATGATTCTAAGAGCATTTTAGAGGGTTGCGTCTCCTTGCAAATTTTCTTGGGAAGTTGCCCCTAGACCCTCTCTCTCTCAAATAATTTTCCTTTCTCTGTGGCCTTGTAGACTTATTGCTGTCTATTTTTTTATCGTTTGGTCCGTTATCAAATTGCTCAATCAATTGGCAGAACTCGCTACCAGTTCTCGGCAGCTTTAATTTCACATTTCGTCTAAAATTCGACGAGAAAAGGTTGAAGTGCGGAGCTATTTTGAAGCGGTGCGTGTTTTCATTGGGATTTAATTCTATGATTTTGAAGCTGCCTCTGCGTAACCTTTAATTAGTTATGGGCGTTTCCTGTTGGTAAGCTGGGGTTCCCTGTAAGTGAATAGGTGTTTCTAACAGTAAAATTGCATCCCCCAGCCTATTGGCTCCCCTAAGAAAATTTTCTATGACCATGCCTTGTAGTTTTTCAGAAAACTAGAGGAACTCTCTCTTCAGATACAATTGTTGAAACAATTTTAAGGTTTTTTAAGGACACGGCTATCGTTTTTCTCTGTGATAAACTACCAGGCATTGATTTCCATACAAGTGGTTGAAAGAATACCTTCCGTGTTTTAAAAAGACCCTTTAACAATCTGATAGTAACATGGTGTAAGATTATCACCAGCTCTATCGGTGCCCAGGCCCCGGACCTTTGCACCTCCTTACCCCTTCCCTTGACTCTCCTAGGCACGAAATAGTGGAAGCGTTGCATACGATCATTCTATCATTTTTATGAAATTGGCTTCTTTTTCAGGAAATTGACGAGAAAGTCAAAAAGGCAGAGGCTGACGTTGAGAAGCAAGAGCAGAATTTTCGGGACGCAGAAGACGAGAAGAAGGTTGCAGAAAGAGAGGGAAGGTAAGATATGTTAAATGTAATCATGAAAGGCTGCATGTACCAAGTCCAGAAAATGTTTCCGCTCCTCTGACCGATGGGACAAAGGTTTGAAAACCTTGAGTGTCCGAAAAAAGGAGAGGCCACGATAGCAGGCTGCTCGACGGACTCCGGAGGAAATCTTGCGGCGAAAAATGCGCTGATGAAGCCCCGTATGCTGGGGCGAAATATTAGCCATCACTGAGTTGTGTGTTTGTTGTTGTTTATTCTCGTTGCGTTGCGGTGTTCCTTATACACTACTACTTTTGAAAACTTTACTAGAAAAAGAATGACAACGAGGCTTTTGCTTGGGTATTGTAAATTAAATAATTTCATTTTTTATTTGCCACGCTTTGGTCAGCTGTGTGATTAGCACTACTGAGAATGAGGTAATGGGACAGTTTTCTTTGGGCAGGATTGCCTCGTGTTTGCTTGAACTGAGAACAAAATTTGCGTTTATGACCAAGAAGATATTAATTTTATTATCCGGGCTTTTTCTTTTTTTATTCGATATGAAAGGTTACAAGCAAAATTACCTCAAACTATACAGAATGGAAACTACTATACTACATGACAAAAACGGCCATGAGGAGCAATATATTTTGACTATCTCTTAGCACTAGACATATACGTGAATCACAATATTAAAAATCGATAATAAATAAACCACAACAGAAATAAATTGAAATAAATGCAAAATGAAGGCTTATTCTGTTTTCAATCCCATGAAGGACACCATATTTTACAAGCTGAACTTTGAGGGTCATGTGATAATTTTGTAACCTTAAATGAAAGAAGGCCTAAACGTAGCCGGCATGAGTGTGACCGTCACTTTTTATGGACGTGATGTAATATAAATTCCGGAGGCGGTGTGCAATTTATTACTACATCTTAAAAGAGCATCGGTATCTATTGTAGCTGTAGAAATATAGTTGGTCTGATGTGTTGTTCTTTAACATGATATATCCGTTTTACTTTCATCATAAACAAATTACCATCCAAAACCCTGTTACGATCTTTGCCATGACAAAACTGTTTCTCTATCAAACCATTTGTTGGAAAAGATTTTGCCCAGACTCATAAACAAATTTCATTCTTAAATTGCTACAACAACCATGCATGCAAAGTAGAGAAGTACAACTGACTCATATTGTTTCTCGTTACAGAGACCCAAAGTTACCATCTGGATTCATCATACCACAAACGGTAAGGAAAATTATTCCATTTTTAAGAATATGGCAAAGCTAAGATAAAAAGCTGTTTATTTCCTTTTTGATCATGAATATCTTATTTAAAGCAAGAGAAAAAGTAGAAGTGTTTATCCAATTTTTGATTTTATATATCTTACTAACAGCAAAAGAAAAACTAGAAACGTAGAGATGAAATAAAGTTTAAAACAGTAGATCGTAAAATTCTTTGGCATTATAGAATACAATTCATTTCGAAGGAAATTAGTTATTAACCTTGCTAAATGTTCCTGCTCAAGCTAAGCAAAACTACATCTAAATTTTGCTACATTCTCCCTGAATATATGTCAGTTTTAATTTGAATTTGGATAATATGTTAAATTTACATTCTAATATTTTTTTATTCTCTATTTCCATAGGCAAAGAAAGCAGTAAGTTTTTTCGAATTGTTATTCGTCTATCAAGAGATACCTTTTGCGATTAGTTCAGATCTCAAACCCAGATCTCAAAACTCATGATATTGTCTCTAGTTTCGTGTATGTTTTTAGTTTGATACAGATTTACTGTATAGAGGAGTAGTTTAAAGTCCATCGAGGCCATAATTAAAGCTTATTTTCCTTAATTATGCAAGGCTCTCTTGATACAGCCTCTTTTCCATCATAAGAGACCCGGCCTCCTTTCAAATGAGAAAAATCCTACCAAATTTAACTGTAAATACTCCGTCAGTCACTCGTTGTCATATGCTTCAGCATAGTACTTTCAAAGAATATAAATCCCTAGTAAAAGTATTTTTAAGTGGCACTGATTGGGTAACTGATTGGTCATGTGCTCGCGTTTTTGATTGGCCTACTTCGATCCCAACTTTGTATATACATTTGCTAGCTCTGAGTTTCCGATATTTTTTCTGATATTTTAAACTTTGAAGAGTGTTAGATGAGAGACTTCAGCATGTCTCAAATTATTTCATTTAACGCTAAGCCTGAAAGGTATTATTTTTATGAATTTCTATAAAAGGTAGCTCTGGAGAAACTCATAAACCAGCTTTCATAATAGATTGGCTTATTCGTTCTTTCATTTAAAATGTTTTGATTTTTATGGCATAATTTCGTCACTTTATGTAAACTCCATGTTGAATTAGAATTCATTACTTTTTGAGGGCCTGGGGCGATTTGCCTCCGTTGCTCTCCCTCTCTCCGCGGGCCTGCCGTCGGAACAGGAAAATGAGGAGGAAAAACCTCCATCCAGTATGTTTTTATTAGATGGCCCACTATGCTATCTTCCTACAAAATGCTAACTCGCATCCTTTTTGCAATGCTGATTTGCTTTAACGTTCTTTTTAGGTGGCTGGTGCCGGCTTTGCCAACCTCGTTATGAAAGCTTCAGCTCAATTGTGGGAAGACAAATTCATGGCTATGAGAGCAAAGAAGGGTGGAAGCGAGGTTTGTCGCCAGTTTCCTAATAACAAAAATTGAAGGGAATCAATTATACGTGCTGTACATTTGTTATATGAGACACCTGTTACGATTTCTGTTAGATGGGTTACATTTTAACTTCAGTGTTTTTGTCAATTATGTCAACTTAGAAGATATCGTCCATTTATTTTTGTCGCTTAAACTGATTGTCTGTGTATCCTTTTTTAGCCATAAAATGAGCTAGAATTTAGTAGATTCTTTATTCTACTCTAGGATCAGCCTGAATGGTTGGCAAAAAGCAAGAGAAGCGATAAAATTTTGGTCAACGTTGGGAAGAAGGGTCACAAGAAAGAGGAAGAGCAAAAGCCCGCTTGGAGCACCAATCTCAAAAAAGCAGAACCCAGGAGAAAGGTTGAGGCCAAGCATGACGACGGTGGGAAGCAACCTGCTTTTGCTACTGTATCGTTGCGTAAGACCACTAAGAAGGAGGAGGATGAGGAGGCCGCCACAAAGAAGGTTGACTGGAAGGAAATGGAAAAGAAAACTTCCAGCGCAGGAGGATCTCGTCGTCGCCGCGGAGGAGATGATTCTGACTAACTTTAAAGACCTACAGTGTTTTCATGAACCGTTCAGACACTTGTTGAGTGCAATGATTTAAAACGTTTTTCAGATTAACCAACGTCGATATCTCCAAGGATTTTAGGTCTCATATTCTTTTTTTTGTTTTTAGTATTTATCGGAGCTGAGGTTGCTTTCATGCCGGAGTAGAAGCTTAATTTGAAACATCCCTGTTTGCCTCCAACAGGCGACTTCAATAGGGTTTTAGGATTCTCTGGTGCCAGCACGTTAGAAACAATAGCTCCGATATTTTTCTAGCCAGCGAAATCTTTTGCAGAACTTAATAACGTCTTTCTGTCGACTAGAATTCATCGTCCCTTGATAGCATTCATTTTTCCTTAGAATTCATTCTAGGTGGGAATCCTATTGAACTGCACATGTCTTTCGAGCGAAATGGCCTGACCGAGCACATGTCTTTAGAGCGCAAGGCGTGATCAGATCTTCAAGGCAAGGATTTTAACCTACCATTCGCGATGCTTTTTTGCATCGTATAAGACATGGCTTCTAGCCCATTTTTTCATCTAAATTTAGCTAGACCAAATAGAGAAAATGCTGTTTCACTTACATTTCAACTTGCTTAGTCGCATAAATCTACATCAAGGATAATTTCATTTAGTAAACAGTTTATTTTTCATCGTTTAAAGTATAATTGTCAAACTACGCCCATTTTGTTAGCTAAAACCATAATCATAAAGGTTTCTTTATCTACAACTGTCATCAGTGCTTTATCAATAGCTGCCTAAATATATTTCCTTCTTTATATTTCTGCTTAGCAAACATTGTAAAATGATTTTTTATTCTGTCGCTTTTTTCTGTAATTAGATCATTTCTTAATTGTACATCAATTTCTATTTTAGCATTTTAGAAGCACTCGTAGTTAAGCTACTGTCATTAGATTTTGTGTTAATACTTTGAAGTCCTAAATTTGGTGAAAGCTTTTCCTCCTGCTCTTCAAGCATTTCAAATAGAAATCTTTTTTCTTTTTGTAAAGACTGTCGATATGGATTCTGTTATTAATATGTAGTCAAAACATGTTTCGCATTCATTAAATTGCTTAAGTTTTTGGTCACACGATGCAAGCGTCATTTTGTGTTTTCTGGGAGATATAAAGGATGTTCTTTAACCGCCTCAAGACTCTAAGCAAAGTCTTTGCTCTAAGAAACAATTTTAAAAACGAAGGTGTATTTCCATGGTATAGACATTGAACCTCTCTGTGGTCGCTATCTAAATTGGTTACAAGACACGGTTTATGTTTAGAAAATAGCATTTACCTTTTGCTTTATTTTGAGCCTTTAATGCCGGCGAAACTCAAGAATCTGATTAATATCGTGTCATACACGTCAAGGAGTTTTTTGACTGCATTTTAACGAATCACAGGTCGCCTAGGGTAAAGGAACATTCTCCTAAGAATTCTGACATCCAGCAAAACATTGTGCTTATTCGGATTCTACAGTTCCGCCCGCAATGACGAAATGTTGAGTCCCAACTTGAAGCGAAGCTCTCAAGAGGACTGAAAACCACGCTTTTCGCGAACGCTTTGTTTATGAATAATATCAAAATTTCAGTGGGCATGTTTATGGTGTGCAGGACAGAACCTTCGAAGCCAGGCCGTTTGTGCGAGAGGCTTTCTATTTATTCCAAGCAAGCTTTGTATTCAAGCTGGTAAGTTACTTTCTATGAACCGGTTAAATATTTGCAAGTCTGTGACCGTTCCATAAAATCTTTTCTTCAATGCTTTCAAAATGACTTGAATATTGGGATGGCTACCATAATGCTTCAACATCACAAATAGTCACGGCTTCCCACACGAGAAGCACGGTTAATAACCCTTAGTCTAGGCTTTTCTTAGGATGAGCATGTTTCAGTTACATTAGCTTGTAGTAACTACATTTTTTTGGCAATTTTGATGGAACAGGGTTAGAGTGCCAAAAGGTTTTCCGCACACCCCCCGTCATTTTTCTAGTCGAGTGCCCTCAGCCCCGAAGTGAAGTACTTGAAGCAATGATTATAAATGTGAACCTCGGCTTTGGAAAAGTTCTAAAAAAATAGAAGCTCAAAAAGCAGAAAATTGGGCAAGACACGGAATGTCAATTGAACAAAGGAGGATGAATACCTTCTTTTCTTCTTTTCATTGTCGCAATAGCTGGGCCCATCCGGAAGGGGGAACGATGTAAGAACGTACTCAATTCAACAGTCGTATGTTGAAGACCCTTTTGATGCAATGTCTTATAACCTGCATATAATTTCAGTCTTATCAAAAGTTTTGCTGCCTCTGCCTAAAGTCATACAAACGTTAATGTGCCAAGCTATTCAAGTTACTAAACATTCGGCACTTTTTTACAAGAAAACAACACCGAGGCTCGTTAGCCAAAGAATAGAAAAACGGAGAAAAATGACCAACCTCAAGTAAAAGACTGCAAGATAAAAAGCATCTCTTTTAAATTTACATAAATATAATCCAAATCGTTGTTATTTTGTTATTTACTGTTTCTAAATGCAAAACTGTTGTTATTTACTGGTCTTGAAAACAATTTATGATTTGTAATTGAAGAAGAATCACTTTGAAAAATTGAAACATTCGAGCATAAAAAACAGCAGTGCAAAATTTCGAACATCAAATTGTCCAAGAAATAGGAACACCGAGCTTCGGTAGAAATTACCTGGCTTTTATAAAAAGTAGACTTTTGATCGGGAAAACTAAATGGGTTGTCTACATAAAACTCGCACTTAAACTTCACACTAATGCTAAAACAGGTTAGGTAGACCTGAGGAATCTTATCTTCTGTACGCTCAACTGGAGCTTGTTTAAATCTGGCGAACCTGGTGGGCACATCTTTCTGTTGCTCTGGTGGATGCTGTTTAATGTTTAGAGGATCTTTTTTATGGATGCTGTATGAAAGCGATATGCCTTTCACTGTTTTTCTTCACACAGAAAGAATCTTATTTTAGTAAATACCACAAACAAAGAACGGTTTTTAACTATTTATTTCAATAAATAAAATTACAAATAATTCATAGCAATTTACATTAATAACTACACTTGAAAATGTCATTTTGTAGTTTTTGTACGTGATGGCGGCCTTGGTGGTTTAGCACTGAGTGGTCTCGGCGAAGCCCTGAGTAAAACGAAAATCAAAATAAATATAATAAAGGCAATACATTGCCATCTCATAGCGAGAAGACTAGAACTTTCAATCAAGAGATAATAATCAACTGATCATATGAAAGAACTAGCCTGGACAAAGTGATATGTTTAAGGGGCACTAATGGTCAGGTTACATTGAAGTTCTACCATGGGGCTGGGATCTCAGCTCTGAGACCCAAGGTGAAAAGTAATGAATTCCTGATCGGGCTGTGTAAGAGACTGGCTTTGAAACTCCATTGGATTGCATTGGACAGTGGAATTTGTACTATACAATTTATTTTCATCATCGCTGTTTAGAACGTTTGAGCGTTTGTTTGTCATTTTCTAAAACGACTTGGCACTCAAAACTGAAACTGAAGTATCAATTTATGGTGGGAAAAATGAAGCTTCTGTTGTCTCTTACCTAAATAAAAAAAAGATCAAAGAAACTTGCTTCGAGAAACTTATACGTTAAGATTTCAAATCACAATTGGCGAGAGTGAACGAACTTAGGCATCATAGGAATATCTCTTTACAGAATGCTGCTCTTTGGCAGTATCGAGAAATGCTGAGAAATTACTAACAAGCCCAGGAAAAAAAGGATCATTGTTTGTGATCCTACTTTCGCTTTCAGCACGCTAGTTTTTCAATTCAAGGATTATTTTCCGAGCAATGAATTGCTTCGTGTAATTAAATGACCTTTGATTGATCTTTGTAACTGAAGCATAATTTTCAAAGACTACACTTCAGTCGCATTTACCTGCAATTCTTAGAGTTAGCGCCTTTGATAAAATCGACGGAAAGACAAATTTAACTGTAGGACATGTAGAAAATTTGTAGCACAGATTGGGCACCTTATATGAGTCTTCATTTAGCTACATGTTCTTGATTTTATAAAAATCTTAAAGAAAAAAATTTTAAACAAAAGAAATTATATACTGTCAAACACTTTTATTTTGATGTGAAAATATTTCGTGAGAATATTATGATGTAAAATTTAAGAGTTAATTAAGTATCATAGCCAGGCTGAAAAATTATCGACACTTTTTCTCTTGATCTATCTGAGTATTTAGCAGAAAAACAAGAGTGCCAGTCAATTCCTGATTGCTTTAATGATGATAAAGGATAGAATCAATAATAGGAACTTTCTTTCTCTATTCTTACCATATTTACACGCTGTATCGCTTAAAGGCACTGAGTCATGATAAATAGACTGGGTATACCCTAAGTGCCAAAATCCGCTGAGTCATGATTTTTATGACTGCGATGCTATTGGTTGACCTTGAACTGGTCACATGAACTCACCTCGTACTGATTAACATAACAGTTTCCATCAATGGCAAGTTGTCAACAACGGATGCCAATATCACATGAAACAGCAGCGATCACGCCGAAACCAAATGACCTCCTATAGAGAAAGCCTATTTACCATGACTCAATGCCTTTAAGAACGATTTAGAAACTTTTTCAGACTCAGAATAAAAGATTTTGCACAACACCGAAGCCCAGCAAAGGTTTGGGTATTCTTGCATAAAAAATGTTGCATGTTTGTTGAGTTATATTACATATTGTTCTTTCCCTGTAAGGTTTCAATTAAATCAGCTATACTTAAGCTATTTGTGATATTCATAGAAATTAAATAAATCCCGGTGAAAAGCAAAATTTTCCAAACCTTGAAGTTGAATCTTTCTCAATAAGATCCATGAACTGATTCTTATCCGGCAGGATACCTAAATGCATGTAAATTATGATTATCAAAAAATAAAAAGCAGAATACCTATGATTAAATATTTGGCAGCAAATACTTAATCTTCAGCACAGCATTAAAATTCTGTCTAACAGGTCTGCATAACATTTCATATTTTCAATCATGTATCAAAATTTTGAAAATATCTCCTGCCTTTCTGAAATGCACAATGGCCAAAGGAAGAAATGGATGAAACATCTCTTTCGTAAGAGAATTTTATGCCTATCTAGTTCTTGAGAAAGGGGATAAAATATTTCACAAGATACAAATGACATGAAGAAACATATCTATATATATATATTCTTCAGATGAAGTACAATAATTTCTTTTACTTTACAAACTAAGTTTTAGCTTTTGAGGTGTCAGCGCAATGTCTATTTGCACAAGCAATCGTGTAAAATAAAGGATTGGAAACTACAAAATAATCTCAAGGTTACTAAACAACACAGATCAGTCGCAAAAGCCAAAAATCGCAGCTGCTTGCGAAGAAAATCATCAGTGTACGTTAGGCTGAAACAGAGGCCTATATGACAGGTAAAGGTTGATAGCATCAAAGTGCTTACCAATGCAGGCATTAACGGCCGAATTCTTTGTCAAGGCCATGAGAAATCCATAGAACGAAACACGGTTTACTGAATGAAGCATTTCTTGAATGGCTGCTTCAGGAGGACAGCTGGAAAATAAGAAAAGTGTTTCAAAAACGAACCAGTTCGAAAGCAAATACGCGTTCAATTGGGCTTTCCTTCTTTAAATGAATTGCAGCTTAAATGGAGAAAATACCGCCACCTTTTCTTCGCATCTCCCCTCCCCTTGCCATGGGTACCAAACTCACTCTACATATGCAGTGAGTCTGGTACTCATGGTACCCTTCCCTTTATAAATTGCAGAAACGATATATAAATCAATCTGGTAATGGTGAAAGCTTATGCAATCATTTCAAATCCTCGCTACAATGAATTTTTTCTTTAAAAAACAAACATACTTAAGATTTTCGCCTGATGCTCATCCTAGCAAAATACGTCACGAATATAATCGAAAATTCTATGCTATGAAGCACACATACCAAGTTGTGGGTCGAACAAAGACAAATTCTTTAATCTAAAAGTACCACCATTAAAATTTTCTACATAAAATAGGAAAAAGTATGGCAAGGAATAGCGGGCAATCTGAAAGTTTGAAGCTCCAGCTAAATAGCTATTGCGGAACTCGATAAAAGTAGCATGAAAATCATATAAAAATATTTCGGTGTTTCTTATTTGTGACACATTTTTGCTAGCTTCATAATGCGACACAAAAATGAACATATTTAAATCGAAAAAGACAGCAAATATGCCTCGGTAAGGACGAAGCATAAATAGATTAGTAAGTACCTGAAAATCGAGTCCAACTGCTTCCTGTATATAGTGCCTGATATTCTGTTCATGTATTGTTTACTGTTGATACCATCGATATTATTGGCAGGTTTTCCGTCAGCATTTGAAAGCTGCCTCCCTGTATCCTTCAGAACCTCTTGGTATATCTCTGAACATTTATCCAAGAATGCTGAGAAAAAGATTAAACTACAGTCATGTGCAAAAGTTTAAGGCTTGAGAAGCAACGCAATTATTTAAAAAATACCAGATATATTTATAAAAAGGTACTACTTTACATATGATCATTATATATACACTTTAATAAAGATATCTATGACACTTTGCTTTCAAATTCCTGTAAAGTGCATTAGAATAAATTTTTAAACAAAAAATCTTATTCTGATGTTAAGCTAGAAAATGTGAAAAAGTGACACGTGGTCTTAAACTTATGCACATGACTGTAATATGACGTCCCTGCCTTCCGAAATTTTTGACTGTATTCAGTAGCCAATTCTTCTTTTCAATTTCTTTGGCAAGTTTCTCTGGATGCAGCCAGAAAACCTTTCTGACTACCGTGTTAAACTGTCGTTATATCTTAGCCATTGTTATGATTTAGGCATTATATATTACCCCATAAATATTTCTAAATAGATGCTATTCTAAAGGCTTGTGTGGTTTTTCGGTCCCCCTCGAAGGTTTTTAGAATTAAAACGAAGGCATAAAATTAAAATCAGGGTAAAATAAAATTAAGATCAGGGCCGTAGCTAGCTATTGTTGTCATTGGGGTTGCTCTGATTTCATTTGCCAACAAAGTTGGTGAATCATCCTTTAATTGCCGAAAGATCTGAAAATTTCCGACGAAGTACCTCACGATCGTTTTTTCACAATTTGTTGTAAAACATATCACGCCTCCCCTCACATCCTCCGTAGCGACGGCCCCGAGGAAAATGCTATAGTAAATGCTACAAATGACTAAAACAGCTACCAAAATATCTGGGGTCTATTTTACACACTCAGGGATTAGTCTTCCAACAGGGTCTCTTTTCTGCTGAAATTTCCGGGATAGGATTATACCTTTTGTCTCTTTTTTCGGGCACAGGGATGTACATTGTAGATACTTTTTCCAGGACAGGTCAGCTTTGTCATGAGAAAGAAAGTGTTGTCCATTTTATAGAATTATTCTCATAAAGCTCAAATTTGGAATTAAGAAAGAGGTTCTCTGTCGTATCCATTAAAAAATTTATCATCAGTAAAAATATGCTTAGGCAACCCATTTCAATGAAGAAATATAATCCAGGAAAGAGTAGTAAACATATTTCTGACAAGCAACCAACAGGTCAAAAAAGCTCTCGGTTATAACATAATATAAGAAACAGTTTACTAGTATAACTAACTGTCTTAAGACAAATACCATGGATAGGAGAGCTACGTAAATTGAAGCGCAGAAATTAAAGAGGGGGGCATAGAAGCGAAGGGGCGTTTAGCTTTCCTCTTACCCAAACGATTTTCCACTTCCCTGTTGCAATCTTCCCTTGCAAACTTGATTACGCATAACTCTCATACAGAGAGTGATAGCTCACCCTGTCGCTAAAACTCATTGAATAAAGCCTTACTTTCGAAGAAAAATTGTAGCTGAAATCCATAGAGAAAATCTGAAAATGACATCAAGCAATCCATCGCATCATCCATGAGGATAATTCTGCAATTAAAGTAAAAATTGTAAAGTAAAGCAGAACAACTTTAACATATTGAAAGAATGGTGGTAATGTAACGGAGCATTTCTCCTTTTTCTTGCAATTTTGTAATTGGCAGTATTATAAGTTGTGACAAAATATTATGTGAGTCAAACAAAGATTTGGGAATTTGACTGCTAATAAAATTTATAATAAACGACATCAAGCAATGGCGAACAGATACTTTTGATAAAGATCGATAAAGAAGATTGCAAAAATTAAAATTAATAAATGGCTCAATATATAAATCAAAACTTGAAACTGGAGAAGAAACAAGATCTTTCCAAACAGAACAATGAACCAAAAAGGAAATCTTATCTAATTTGGAGAGCTTGTTATGCTTGAAAGTAGCTTCTTGATCAGACTTTGTTGATCTACGAAAGCAGTGGTGGCTTTAGGTGGCTACAGACAGCCCGAGTATTCTAGCCACGTTTTCAGAGGGTAAAATCAAACCAATTTTCAAAATTTTGTGAAGGAAGCAATTATCGCCCCTACATGATTTGGAAGCCATCTTGTCAGAAAAATTCTGATACCACCTTTTTAGAGAAGAAAACATGATTTACCCAAATCATATGACATTTTAAATGAAATTATAAAACCTCAAATGACAGCACATTTCAACAACTCTACGTGTATTAATGAAAGTATGCTGTTGTTTTCTTTTCCCTAATAAAATTTAACCTCAAGTATTGATTTGTGAATGGACTGTTAAAGTCATTGTTAACAGATCATCTAAAGTTTGCCATTTTACAAAAGATATTCAAAATCTTCTCTCCTTCTCCTTATCAATGATATAATATTTTCAAGACTCACCGTGCAGTCTTCTGAAGGACATCAAAAGGAAAGTCAGGACACATCAAACAAACAAGAGAATGATACTCTTTTACATTTAGCAGTCCTGCATAAAAATATATCTGTGAGAATTTAGAAAAATGAGGAAATAATTATTGACAGGGCCGATAAAAGGGGCAAGGGGGGGGGGGAATTGTCTCCAAACAGGAGAAGCTGAGTCAGCATGACTTAGATGAGAGAAGCTGTGAAGAATGGTGAAGGGAATGTACTGTGGTGTTTGATACCATGAATGGCATAAATGGATATCATGGTGATGACATGATCATGAAGGGGCAAATATGTCCTATTTTATAACATTGGAGATTCATATATATTGGCAGGGGCACATCCATGGCGTAGATAGAGTGGGTCAGAGGGGGCTAAAAACCTCATGTAAAGCTCAAATCTTATTTAGTCTGAAGACATCTGATTTTGTGGAATTACAAGGTGGTTGTCTAATTTTTTTGGCAAGCGTTACATTTTGAGATTCCAAATGTTGATTTCTTCCTTTGTTGTGAATCAGATTGGCAAACTCTTTCAAATTGGGCATGGTGGATAAAAATGCTTTTTAGAAGATGGTCAGAATAAATTCAAGTACAACTCATCATATTTTTGACAGTTTTAAGGGGATGTAAATTGGAACAGGCTATTCATTCAAAGAGTATAAAAAATTTGAGTGTCATGTTTTTGTCTCACATACCTCCATTATTACCAATAGGTCGAAAACATTTCCAGAAGCTCCGGATGAAGGATGATCTGTTATGTGGTGTTGAAATGATAAAACTATAGTCTCTCAGTAGGGTATGCTCTCCTCTTTTGACACTGGTGAAGCTGTAATCAAGATTGAATATGAGCATCCTTAAATGGCTTCCTTGAATGCAAGGCAGCATCAAGAAATTTGAGGTCCTTGGCACAGAATATAATGGAGGGTCCTCTGTGGATTTCTGTGCTTTAATGTGACAATGGTTATGGATGTAGACAGGCCTGAACTAAAAAATATTTTTCAAAAAATGGACCTTGATCATGCGTGATAAATCCTTGTTAAAATATTTGAGCATGCTAGGGAATGTTAGGGCCCTCTAATGCTAGGGGCCATGGGCACAACAATTAGTGAGTCCTGTTGCTAGTGAGGCACTGCTTGTATTTTTTTTCTTCTTTCTTTATTTAAAGTTGGTACAATTTCTAGCTATGCATACAAGCTAATTAAAACCAACTAATTGATCGCTAAATATAATATAAATCAAATATAACCGATGTTGCTAACATATTCCTTGCAAAGATTACAAGTACAATTAAACGATGTAAATTCAGAGATTTTTTTCCTGAATATTGATAAAGTAGGGGAGTACTTTATCTCATTTGGAATTGAGTTCCACATTTGGCTACATCTGTATGAACTGGCTAGAGCGTTTACCTTTTTCCCAGCTTCTTTACAAAAAACTTTAATATGTTCTTCTAATCTAAGTTGATGGTCTAGTGTTACTCCCAAAAGTTTAACATTCTTACTTTCTATTATAGTAGAACCATTTATTTGAACTTTAGATTCCTCTAAATTGGATTTCATTGGCTTTAAATGTTATAAGCTTGCTTTTATCGCCATTGAGCATAAAATTTTTTTCATAAAACCGTTTATTAAGAATAGCCGCTTCTGATTCTAAGTCGTCAGTTAGTTCATTCATATCAGTACTTGACAGCCGAATTGTATTATCATCTGCATAGTTGCATAAGTTGCTTTTGTTCAAATGCAGAAAAATATCATTTATGTAAATATTGAAAGCAAAGGGCCTAAGATTGATCCTTGAGGAACTCCTTGCTTTGTTTCCATCCAATCACTAAAATCTGAGTTTATTTTTACTTGTTGTACTCTTTTATCTAGATAACTATAAATAAATTCCATTGCGTTGTCGCTGAAGCCATAAGATTTCAATTTGGCTAGTAGAAGTATATGGGGTAAACAATCAAATGCTTTTGATAAATCCATAAGCACTGCACCAGCCACATCTTTTTTATCCAGGCACTTTTTCAGACCTTCAATAAGTCGTAATAAAGCATGTTGTGTGCTATAACCTTTTCTGAATCCACAAAGCAAAGAGAACAGTTTAACAATGTTGTAATTGTAGATTTGATTGAACATTATTCTCTCAAATACCTTTGAAGCTGAGGGGAGCACACTTATTGGTCTATAATTCTCTTTACTAGTTGAATCTCCTTTTTTGAAAATAGGGCACACATTAGCCATTTTCATAAGAAAGAGAAATGTTTTATCAGAAATAGATTGACTGAATATTTCAGCTAGTGGTCCAGAGACAACGTCTTTTGCCATTCTAAGAACTTTTGGGGGGATGTTATCGGCTCCTATTGAACGGAGATTACTGTTTACAGGTCTGCTTAAAATGATTTCTAGACATAGCACAGAAACCTTTTTTATTCTTTAGAAATTAATATTTCCACATTCAAATTAAGTCATTTACTAGAAAAGCTTTAGCAGCCAGCTTTTACATCATTTGTACATTATAAGTACAAATTCATTTCATTTCATTCTTAGCCATTTTATTCATTACAACCTTTGCTATGAAACCTTTAAAAGAATTGCAACCTCTTAAATAAGCAAAAACAATTGAGGGGATTGTACACTTTGCATATCAAAGTGCCTGTTTTCATAATGCATAAATTGGCAACAGGGAAAAAAAGAAACTTTATCATACTAATCATGAAAGAATTTTGCAGGATTGACTTTGATGTTTTCTTCACTATATTCTAATAGCTGTGTGATTGCATCCTAGAAATCAAGAGAATTTTGGAAAGGCAAGAAGAACAAGTTTGAAGGATAGAAAAGTCAAACAAAGTTATTTTGCTGAAGGGGAGTGTCCAGGTTCCATTCCCAACAAAATGGGTAAGCCATCCTTTTTCGACAAGTTCAACATTTGCAGATATGAAGCACCCTTAAATTGCAAAAAATCATTTGCCAAAGACCTTTGGTTAAATATGTCATATTTTGTAGATTTGGCTCAATTTTGCAGACTAAATAAAAGACTATCATTAGGGCGAGGACTGGTGAGATGATAAAAATAACAAAAGCCTGAAAAAGTGGCTTTTGTGACACAAAATTACTGTTCTATAATGAACTTTTGACCATGAAAATTTGCTCACCTCAAAATACACTGCAATATGATGTTTTTCTGGTGGAAAATAATGGCAAACTCTTAGAGATAAATCTTAAAGAAAATACTAAAGGCAAAAAGTTAAACATAAAAAATTTGTCAGTAAATCTGCTTTGTTAAAATTTGTTATTTGTTTTGATATAAAAGAAGTTTATAATCTAACTAAAAACATTTGAAAATCCCTGAACATATCTACTTACAAAGAAATGTCTATAAATTGTTTGCAATTTCTCAAATTAGTCCTACAAACTTTTTTAAAATGGCCAAAATGTGTCTACAGTAATACACCCCTTTTTCATTAATGAATTGATGGACTTGAAGATATCAACAAAACAATGGTGCTTATGACACATGGCTTTGATAGCTCTGTCTTGAGTTTTTTTCATGTGTCCATCAGCTACTTAAGTAAAATTAACATTGTTTTCTTAACCTTTTTGTATCACTTTCTCTTCAAATTTACATTACTGATTGTATTAAACAACTTCAGAATAACGTAACTTTTAATTAACTACTTGATATGCTGAAAAATATTTTCGAGTTTGAGTTTATAAAGTTTGTGCAAGAAAGATAGATTAAAGCAAATGATAGATCATGAAACGTTTAAGGTAAAGTGAAAATAAAACGAGGCAATAATTGATTCTTATCTCTACCAAACGTTAAGCTAAAATCTTCAATACCTTTGACCACATTTTTGAAAAGATTTGTGGTTTTGATGACTTGTCAAATTGGTTGCTTTTTCGGGTTGCTTTGACATTATCACTTATCTAGTTAGTTTCCAGTTAAAGAACTTAATGTTATTTTTCCAATCATCATCTTTGAATTTATAGATAACAGATTTCATCAACATTCCAGTTTAAAACCTCAACAACTTTTATCAAACCGCAATGTTGATATTCAAAACCTTTCGAAAAATATCAAAGTGCATAACTCATACTCATGGTCATCATTTAAAATTATAAAGTACAGGTAGCATCATTTAGCAGACAAAAATAGAAAAAATTGTATACTAACATACCAAGATATTCCTCTGCTGTTAGACTAAATTCCGGGTTGTTATTGCTCCCCATTTCTTGGAAACAGTCCGAAACAAAGTGGAACAATACAACTACAACAACATAAACAAAAGCGTTTCTAGGCTGCGCGCCAAAAACCTTCAATATAATTGCAAAGCTTTAAAAATTACTTGTTTGAGTCAACTTTTATATTGATAAAGAGTAACCTGTTGCGAACTCAAATAGCAGTGAAGGAAACTGCAAAGGAAATTGTTACAACAACAACATCACTCATTTTTCAGAGCGATCAATATGGCGGCAACTTTCGAAATGTAACCTTTCCGTGTGTTTCTTCCATTAAGGTTCTTACTGGCATGGGCATTTTCAGGGGGGGGGGGTAATCCGAGGATTAACGATTTGCATTCACACTTTGGACCAAAGTTAGACAGGCCCCCCCTGTTTGGAGAAAGTGTGAAAAGTGCCCTTTTTTGAAAAAATATTGCGTGTACTATTTTGATAGCCAGATATTTTTCCTTTCGACGCCAAGTGAAACAACTTAATTCTCAATTTCTAACAACATCTACTGCGAAGGAGACTGTCTCTTTGGCGAAAAAATTTCCTCAGTGTCTCAGTGTGTCGCCAATTGTTTCTCAGCCGGTTACACACCGTATTCTCTCCAATGAACATCGGGGTCACACATTTTTTTTGGCCTTAGAAAGGGGTGCTCATTGAAGATAGATAGATATCCACCAATAAAAAACTGAGCTTTGAAATTCAAACGAACATTGTTTTTAAAAAAATATTGCATTTGCATCATACTTGTTAAAGCAAAAAAAATTACAAGATGTCAATTTCTTCCGAGTAGGAACCTTCGTCAATTTGCATAAACAATGACGTAGCACCTTGAATATCTGAATTTTCAATGAGCACTCATTCGAGATCTTTTGCCCAAAAAGGGAGCGCTCATTAGAGAGAATACGGTAGGTCGACCAGTGTTCTACTATGCAGTGTATATAATTTCGGAAAACTAAATTTATCTAAAGATAACAATTTAGCTGTTTATTTTTTGTCTTGCTAAATTTTGGAAGAGATAAAGACTGAAAACTCTCTTTAAAATAGATAGAGTCTGAAAATTTGCTTTGAAATAGATAGAGCCTAAAAATTCAATAATTCCTTTCAATTTTGTACACTATATTCTTGGTTTAACTTGTAAATTTTTGTTACGTTTATATGGATGGTTGCATTAATGTGGAATTTTTTTGGCATGTTGTAATTAATTGGAATATTTGTCGAATATAATGCACCTGCCATAAGTACGGGGGAAAGATGCGAGCCTGCCGCGATCTCCACTTACATTAAAAATCAAAACATAATTGTTGTAAGCTTCCATTAATTCAGGATTTCACGATAAAGAGGGCAAGAATTGAATTTTGACGATTTTTTGATAACACAACAAAACAACTTCTTATATATAATACTTAGAGAATACGGTTACACTTTTCTTTCCTAAACTATGACTCTCTCGTCTACCCTCATGAAACCTCCATGACGAGTCCTTAGCACGATGCTCACTGTTAAGATATTCACACGTGGTTACTCTCAAATCTAATTAAAGGCATGATATAATTTCGGCGCACGGGGGTACGCTTCATAATTCTAACACACTCCCCCGGTTGAATACTTGTAATTCAACAAGATATAATTAATTTCAACAAAACAGAACAATAGCATTATAATGAATTTCCAATAATTAATAACAATCGTCTCTTCTTCTAATTTCTCCGATTATAGCAGCGTTTCTTTTTGCCTTTCTACTAGATACACTAATCTCTGCTTGGTCTTTGTCTGGTACAGTTTCTAACCTAGTACTATCAGTTTTATTTTCTGAACTACATTCACTAAGTTGAACTTCTAGCGGGATAAGATGTTTTAACGACCTGGTTAAAATAGATGTACCCTTCTTATTTGGGACCTTGACCTTGGCAGCACGGACATTCTTATCATTACCGATTATGAGGTCTTCTACCTTACAGATTTTCCAAAAATTACGCTTCGACTGCTCATCATATAAGACAACAATATCACCTACAGAGACTTGTGGCTTTACGTCTAACTTCTTAGAACTAACGATTTCACGCAAACTCGACAAATATTCCTCCTTCCAACGCCTTGAAAAATCATTAAGTATTTTTCGGTGATATTTTGCTCTCCGAGTTAAAGATTCTTGTGTACTTACAATTTCGAACAAACTGTCATTAGGATCATCTAAAATACGTCGACCATAAATAAGGTGTGACGGAGTTAACGCATATGATATACCATCGGTATCGTCGTACACATATGTGATAGGCCTTGAGTTGATTACCGATTCAACCTCTACCAAATTAGTACTAATTTCGTCGAATGTAAGTGAGGCTCTGCCTATTATTTTCCTAAGACAACGCTTGACGGACCTCACCATCCTTTCCCATACACCTCCCCAGAACGCGGCTCTTTGGGCGATAAACTGCCAAACAACGCCCTTCCCTGCAAGCTGAGCTCGTACAACCTTAGAAAGAAGAATTTTCTTAACTTCCTTCGAGGCTGCTTGAAATGTCTTAGCATTGTCAGATAGTATCCTTCTAGGCAAGCCTCTCCTGGCACTAAAACGTCTGAATGCCTTAAAAAACGTATCAACATCTAGGCTCTCCACTAATTCAAGATGTACTGCTCTGGTGGACAAGCATGTAAACAAGCAAATGTACATTTTTGACTGTTGCTTAGACTTATTTTGCGACACGTATAACGGCCCAGCAAAATCTAAGCCTATGTTTGAAAACGGTGGACCATCATCGACTCTATACTTAGGGAGATCTAAACACGGAATAGTACTGTACGGAAGGCCTTCAAGCCTTCTACAGAGGATACATGTTTTAAGTAAACGCTTAACGACCTCTCTCCCCCGGAGTATCCAATACCTACTCCTTAAAGCACATAATGTTTCTCTCACCCCATTGTGAAAGACCTTCTCGTGATACTCCTTTACGATTAAGGTAGAATACCAGTGTCTAGTAGGTAATAAAATTGGTTGTACAGTGTCCAACGATAATGAGGCATGTTTTAAACGCGATTTAGCTCTTACTATACCATCTTTATCTATAAATAGATTGAATTGGGACACAAGAGTAGGAGGCCTAACCTGTTTTCTGGCTGGAGCATGCTTAAGATACGATATTTCATCAACAAATACCTCCTCTTGAACGGAACGAATAACTAATTTTTCTGCCTCAATTTTTTCTTCAACCGTAAGCTCATCCGTAGAATTTTCAAGTCCCTTGATTGATTTACGAATATTCGAAATGAATCTTAAGACATATGCAACTACTCTCAAAAGTCTAGCTTTATTACTGAATCGATTCATTTCTAGAACCTTTCCGACGTGTATATCATTATTCGACCCTTTGACTGCAAGCGTGTAGGTTACTTCTGGTGGGTTTTTTACGACTTCACGATACGCTTCGTATTCTTCACTGCAATTGTTTACCATATTATCTGGCCATTCACTAGCGGGTAATTTTAAAAATTCTGGTCCCTCCCACCAAAGACGATTCTGGGCAAGGTCCTTCCCGCCCAACCCCCGGGAGGGTAAATCAGCCGGATTTTGGACTCCTGGACAATGACGCCATTGACTCTTATCAGTTAAACGATTTATTTGTTGTACCCTATTTCTTACGAATTGTTTCCACGGTTTATCGTTACAAATCCAGCACAAAACCGTGTACGAATCCACCCATAATGTTGTAGTGAAGGAGTTCATACCCAACTCCTCTGAAAGGACTTCCTTCACGTTACTAATGTGTTGAGCTAATAAATGAGCACCCATTAATTCCAGCCTTGGAATTGTTTGACGTGACAAGGGTGCTACCTTTGCCTTAGATGTTACAAAACGAGTTACCAGAGTACCGTCTTCATACTCTATCCTGATATAAATTACACAACCGTAAGCCTGTTCGCTAGCATCAGAAAATCCATGTAATTCTATATTACTTATTTCTGTCTTGTTAAAATAACACCTGGGAATACGAACTGAGGATAGGCTTTCTAGCTCCCTTAGGAAGGAATAAAACTGAAAACGTGCACCCCCCTGCAAACCTTCATCCCAGTTTATTCCTTCTAAACAAAGTGTTTGAAAGGCTACCTTCATTCGCACGATGAATGGACTAAGTGCACCTAATGGATCAAACAATTTTGCACATAACTTCAAAAGTGAACGTTTTGTTACAGGCAAACTTTTTCCGTAAGAAATAACATCATTAAACTGGAAATACAATTCGTCAGAATCATTGTCCCAATTTATGCCTAAAATCTTATTAGTAGTATGAATACCTACCATTGTGTTGGCAAACGAAGAATCTTCCTCTTGTAATTGAGTTTCATTCTGTTCTATTTCTTTGCCCATTGTCGTCTTGGATTTGGAATTACTCTCACATTCTAACTCAACTGTTAGTTGTTTTCGCAATTCTGCTGAGTTAGAATTAAATTTCCGCAAATTAAAAGCCCCTTCAGCCAATATTGTTTTAGACGTGCGAGCAATATCCAAGGCGCTGTCCGATGTTTTGGTACTGCACGATAAATCGTCCACAAACAAACGGCCTAAAACTTCTACAGTTTTTGGAAAACGTGCAACGTACCCTTCCAAATGTTTCCTTATTGTAGCGCCAAGGATGCTTGGAGAAGGGCGTAACCCAAATGGAAGACGACAAAATCGAAACTGGATTACGGACGGTTTATCTGACTCAATGTCACTAAACCATAAAAAACGCAATTTATCACGATCACTTTCTCTAATTTCCACTTGTAAGAAGGCCTTTTCTATGTCTGCTGTAAGAGCATATGAATGACACCTAAATCGAAGTAATACATCCAACAAATAAGGAAGATAATTAGGCCCGTTCATGAGACGTTCATTTAGTGATAAATGATTTGATGATGATTTTGCACTACCATCGTAAACTATTCTAAGCTTAGTAGTCTCACGGTCTGCCCGAACTACTCCGTGATGTGGTAAAAATTCTACATCTTCCTTGTTTTCTAGCTCAGCTGGGACCCTTTCTATAATACCGTTGTTAAGCTGCTCTTGAAAGATTTCATTGTACTTGCGAAAAAGTTCTGGATCCCTTTTAAAACGTTCCTGTGAAGCAACCAAACGATTAAGGCATAACGTATATTTACTATCGAAAACAGGCTCAACGATGTCATGTCTCCAAGGCAGATTTACCTCATAACGCTCTCCGTTATTTTTAATGTTGCAAGACTCTTCGAATGACGGTTCATGTCTAACGACGGGTTTATCAATGCCGCACCCCCAAATTTCTTTAAACGATTCGATAATCTCCTCATTAGGAGAACTAAAATGATCATCACCTGCAATTACGAGATTTGTAATGCTATTTAAACTTCCGCTAGGGTTGGAGTCCCCTGGTGAAGTTATGGGTCCAGATAAAAGCCACCCAAATTCACTGCTAACGGCTACCGGACCCGAATCCCCCTTGATAACTTCACCCTTCACAACACTATGATAATAATCGGCTCCAATTAATATCGATACACAATCACTGACGTTATTGAATGACTTATTGTCCGCAAGATATAACCCTTGTAAATGTGGATAACAATCAACGTTAATGGGAGATGCACATGGAGAGCAAATGGTAGGATGGCTTAAGGCTGTTATTTCTACAGGTTTATCTTGTGTTTCTAACTTGAACTTAACTAGGTCACACTTATGCTTCTGATAACTATTAGTCCCAAACGTATTGAGACTTAATACCTCTGTAGAAATAGGCGTTAACCCTAGCTTATCCTTCAACTCATTGGTAATGTAACTGCGCTGACTACCTAAGTCTAACAATATTCTAACTGGTACCTGGTTTCTAGGCTCCACATAAGCGTTCGTTCGTGCCATTTGCAGCAAAACGTTCGATTTAACATTTCCTTGTGTTGTGGCAGTCACTGTTCTTGTGTCATGGTTCTCAGGTATATCACTGTTTCTTCGGTCCTTTCTTGCTCCTTTTCCTCCATCGCAAATCGACTGGTGATGGGATCCTCCGCAATTTCTGCAGCTTCGTTTTCTGTCACAATTTCTCGCCAAGTGTCTCGTGCTTAAGCAAATGAAGCAACGTCCTGACTTGTACAATCGTTCCTTTCGAACTTTCAAGTCGGTGACAATTGTGCACTCAGCAGTGTAATGTTTTCCTTCACAAAACACGCACTGTATCGGATTTTGACCTTTGACATGAAAGGATGACGCAGTTCCTTGAAAAGGTGGCCTTGTTTTCTGCACAGGTGGTGTCCTTTGATCCTTGACATTTATATTTTCGCTCATTTCACGCGCATCAACTTCCTGTTTGATAACTTCCATCACTTCACGTATTGACCAAACGTCCTTTGACACTTGTCTTGCGATCTGCAAACTTATCTCAGCAGGTATTCTCGACATGATAATAGGAATGAGGAGACTCCCATAGTGCTCTGATGTGATTCCTAATGCCTCGAGACTTCTTACGTGAACGTTGATGCGATCATAGATGGTACGAAGTTGATTAGCCCTGTCTGTCGAACACGTTTGTAGTTTAAGTAATTCTTCCATGTGCGAACTAATTATTTTCTGCTTATTGCCAAACCTTTCTTGAAGCAACTTTACGGCCGATTCATAATTTGCCTCAGTGACTGGGAGCCCTTGAATGGCTCTAGCCGCTGGCCCTTCTAAAAGTGAGTTCAAATAGTTGAACTTGTCTATGTTCGCCAGATCCTCATTTTGATGTACTGTGCTCTCGAATGACTCCCAAAAACTTGTGAATTTGACGATATCTCCATTAAAACGCTGTAAGTTTAGCTTTGGCAATTTCGGCTTTGCTACGATGTTCCTGAAAGATCGGGAGGGGGAGCTAAAAGCGGGCAACGGCTCAGGCCTTTCGGCCCCTGACGTTGCGGGCTCTGTTTCTCCCTCTCCTTCCTCATCAGGCCTGGGATAAATTTCCTGCGAAATTTCAATGACGGTTGAAGGTTCTCTTTCTAAAATGCAACTCTTAATTTTACTAACGACGAATTTTATGCCAAGTTCGATTTCATTTGATTGTAAAATGTCAGCTTCCAATCCCTGTACGTCTATTTTTCCAACGATTTCATTATCCAACGTTTGCAACAACTCAGTTTTGCTTTCTAACAATTTTCCGATCACTTCGAGCCGTGCCTTGCGCTCTTTGTTCCATTCATTGCTCACAATGATGGCTTCTGCTTCCTTTTCGAGGCGTGTCACAACCGATCTGTGTGCTCCTCGTGTCGCTTTCAGTCTTTCGAATTCTTCGACCATATTAAACGAGATTCTTGCCCACACTGTTGGGCGCCATTGTGTTGTAAGCTTCCATTATTTCAGGATTTCACGATAAAGAGGGCAAGAATTGAATTTTGACGATTTTTTGATAACACAACAAAACAACTTCTTATATATAATACTTAGAGAATACGGTTACACTTTTCTTTCCTAAACTATGACTCTCTCGTCTACCCTCATGAAACCTCCATGACGAGTCCTTAGCACGATGCTCACTGTTAAGATATTCACACGTGGTTACTCTCAAATCTAATTAAAGGCATGATATAATTTCGGCGCACGGGGGTACGCTTCATAATTCTAACATTGGTAGCCAATTTTATGAAATTGGTTTTATGACCCAAAGGTTCGAAAATCAAGAACACCCTTAAACGTCTCCGAAAGTTAAAATAACGTACCAAGGCAATTCTAGCGTGCAATTCATTATATATCTATTTTTTTCATATACAAAATCAGAAATCTAAGGGTTTACTTTGTTTTTACAAAAAACTATGAAACTAAGGAACTAGAAAAAGTCAATTCTAGCGTGCAATTCATAAAACGATTTTTTGATGCTTTTTGAAGAAAACTTTAAATTTATTGCATAAAATTGGTAGCAAATGGTCTTATTTTAAGACCCAAAGATACCAAAATCAAGAACACCCTTAAACGTCTCCGAATGTTAAAATGATGAACTGAGGCAATTCTAGCGTGCAATTCATTACCTAAAACGGTCTTTTGACGCTATTTGAGAAGTACTTTAAATTTATTGCATAAAATTGGTAGCAAATGGTCTTATTTTAAGACCCAAAGGGACCAAAATCAAGAACACCCTTAAACGTCTCTGAATGTTAAAATGATGAACCGAGGAAATTCTAAAGTGAAATTTATTACCTAAAACGGTCTTTTAACGCTATTTAAGAAAGACTTTAAATTTATTGCATGAAATTGGTAGAGAATGGTCTTTTTTCAAAACCGAAAGGTACCAAAAACAAGAATATCCTTAAACGTCTCCGAAAGTTAAAATGACGTACCGAGGCAATTCTAAAGTGCAATTCATTACATAAAACGGTCTTTTGTCGCTATTTGAAAAAGACTCGAAATTTATGGCATAAAATTGGTAGCAAATGGTCTTATTTGAAGACCCAAGGGTACCAAGATTAAGAACACCCTTAAACGTCTCCGAATGTTAAAATGACGTACCAAGGCAATTCTAGCGTGCAATTCATTACCTAAAACGGTCTTTTGATGCTACTTGAAAAATATTTTAAATTTACTGCATAAAATTGGTAGCAAATGGTCTTATTTTAAGACCCAAAGGGACCAAAATCAAGAACACCCTTAAACGTCTCTGAATGTTAAAATGATGAACCGAGGAAATTCTAAAGTGAAATTTATTACCTAAAACGGTCTTTTAACGCTATTTAAGAAAGACTTTAAATTTATTGCATGAAATTCCAATAATTCTAAACCATAGGATGGTATGGATGATCATACGGGATTGGATAATCCAAAGTTCTAATATTTAGAAAACTTGGATTATCCATATTAGAACATGCTAGATGGGTGTTGTGGTGGTTTTAATCGTGTTCGGCTCCTTAATTTCCTCCTTTGTATCATTCCTTTGGTCAACTCTTGTTGTTATTGTTTGTTTCTTTGAATGATGTCTTCCTTTGCATCGTAGGGATCTCATATTGGTTCGGCAAAAGCGTGCGGGATGACCTCCACGTAAAAAAATGAAACAGCACCTTTTCTCCATCAAGATTTTCTTATGCACAGCAAGCAAGGGCACATTTTGTTCTAGACCAATCAGCAGGTTTGTTTACAAAATGTCATTAGCCAATCACCTGCCTCCATTTCGAGCTTGATTTTTCAGTGTTTCAAACCAAAACACAGTTGCTGTGGAGCAAAACCTACTTTTGATTGGGAAAAAAATGTACCTTTTTCTACAAAGAAAATTTTTCAAAATTGCTTTCTAGAGAAATTTTTTGGTACGAATCTAGGAGCCTTAAGCAGGAACACAAATGGTTGCTAAAATATCTGCAGTGAAACATCACCTATTTCCCACCTCGGCCCTACCGCCAAAAATTCCCACCCCCTAATTTACTTCCTATGAAGATTCCGTTAATTAAACAGGCAAATATTTTAAGAATTAATTGAACAGGTGTTTTGCGCAAATAAATCACCCAGCCATTACCTGGGAATATTTTTATTTTTTGATAAAAACTTGGCTTTAAAACTGCCTATTCCCTCCTCTACATTACTGCACGGGATGCCTAGGCCCTTTCTGAACCTCCTTCCTGAGCATCACAGTCAATGAAATTCAGACCACTTTTGTGAAGCCATCAGTCTATAGTCTGAAACCAAAAAAGACCAAAATATTGGCAATAGTTAAAATTTAATATCTAAGAAAAATTCATTTTTTAAATTGTATAAAAGACCCACTTTTTGGACAGTCTTGGAGCCTTTAAACCTTGATGAGACTTGCTAAAAGGTTTTCTGAACAAAGCATTATGAATTTTGAAATATTTTTGCAAAATCCCATTTAGTTGTTGGAAAACCAATATGATCATATTGGCCTTGATTTTTGTTGCAAGTGTATATTCTAAATCCACCCCCCTCACGAATGTATCTGGAAAGTTTCGGATTCACAATCTCGAATTTCGAAAGATCTAATTTTTGAAATCCACCACGTTCCTCTGATTGCTCCCATTGTATTTGCAACTCCCATGTGCATCACTTTCTCTTGTGTATGTCTAATCAGTTTCTCTACGAATAAACTTTCCTCAAGGTTCATTGGATTGTATCCTTGAACTCTTCCTTGGCAATATAAAATTCCCGTTTGATCATCCCTGAATAATTTCCAGCCAGGTGTTTCTTTCATTTCTATGATACTTCTCTGGGCTCTTTTCAACCATAAATCCCTTGCTCTTGTTATTTCTTCAGTTGTTGATGGTCCCTCTGTTAATTTCTACTTTTTCAATTGTGCTGAGCAATTCTTGATGAATCTCAAACACCAAGCTGTGGTCCTCAAAGCTGTCCAATATCGTTTATGCTCTAACAGTTTGTCCCATTCACCATTTTCTGTTTCTTTGGTGTATAGAATTATTTCCTTAATTGGTCTTTCTTCCTCCAAAGTTTTTGAACCACTTTTTAATTCTGGCTGTATCGGCCATTCCTTTTCATTTACTAGCCAGTCTGGTCCTTCAAACCGTTTTCCACTCACCATTTTATCAATATTTGCTCCCCTACTTCCTAAGTCAGCAAGATTTTCAGCTGAAGTGCAAAATTTCCACTTTATGTTTATTTCTTGCTCTATTTCAACAATTTTCTTCACTCTGTTTGCAACTAATCCTTTCCAGGATTTTCTGGGGTTGCTTATCCAAAACAAAGCAACCATGCTATCCATCCAAATTGTAACTGATGAAATAGGCAGCTTTCCCAAAGCTTTGCAAACATTCCTGGCCATGTTTGCTGCCATTTGATTTCCAACTAGTTCAAGCCTTGGCACTGAAGTATTTCTCTTTATATCCTTGATTTTGAAACAAGTAAATCCTTCACTGTATCACTTCCTTGTTCTTTTATTGCTATTGTTACTGATGAGCACGCTTTGTCACTTGCGTCTGCAAAGATGTGTAGCTGTACAGCTTTGACTTTCTTTCCCTCCTTTATTAAACATCTTGGCATCTTAATTTCTCTCAGTTGTCTCAGCCACTTCAGATAATCTTTCACAAGGGGCTTTGAAACTTCATTGTTCCAACCTCTTCCTTCATCGCAGGCTTTTCTGAATATTTGCTTTCCTTCTACTACAGTAGGTGAAATGATACCGAGTTCGTCATATACCCTTGCTAACTGACTTAATATGGCGTTCTTAGTAATTGGGCCATCACCCACATCTTTATTGATGGGAATTGTAAGAGTCTTCTTTCTTGTCCCATATGCGTCCCAAAAATCTTGTTGGGTTGGACATATCTTCACTTTCTAAGCTTTCAGCATTGGACTCCCATTTATGAATTGGAAACTTTCCATCATCTAGTATAAAGGTAGCTTGTGTCTTGAATGTTTTTAGTTCCTCAACCTTTGCTCCAGTACACATCAGATTGTCAACATAAGTATTTGATCTAAGCTGTTCTAGTGTATTCCCAAACTCTGGCTTCTCAAATTGCTCATAGTGGTGTTGGAGTGTCCCCCCAAGCATGAAAGGACTTGTTTCCCCTTGGTCAGTTAGATAAAACTGTTTGTCCTTTGTATGCTTATACTTAGTTTTCAATTTTCTCAAATCTGGTCTCAGTACAGTTGTTAAATTCTGCATTACTAGTCCTGTAACTTCAAGGTTTTGTCTGGCTTTGCCATCCAATGACTCTATCTCCACATTAAAAATTGGCATAGATTTTCTTCCTTTCCCATTTACAGTGGCTATTTCTTTATTCTCAAACCTTTCTGGTTTTAATTTCAACTCTTTCATTGCTTCTCTAGAAATGAAATCTCTCCCTGCACGACTGTCTAAAAATGCCCAGAAAATCTTTTCTTGAATTTTGACTGGCAATATTGGTGGAAGGGATTCTTCCTTACTGGGTGTGTAGCCTACAAGTACTGACCTTTTCATATCTTTAAGCTATTCATAGAAATGACTATAGTGTTTTCTTTTGCAAAAATAACACCCTTGGCTATGACGTTTTCTTCTCTATGCCCCACTTTGGCACATTTGAAACATAATCTTTTGTCCCTGAAAATTGTTCTCAACTTTTCTAGGCTATCAATTGTAGTACACTTATCACTCCAGTGATCTTTCTCACAATAGACACACTTTGTTACTCTTTTTTCTTTTTCTCCTGCATTCCTGCATACCAGTGTCTTTCCTTTCTTTCAACTGGTTTCTATTTTATTAAATTTTATTTCGTTTCAATCATTTTTGCAAATTCTCAATTAGATTTTCCATTTCCCAGTTTCGCAATCTCCTTTTCGATCTCACTTTCAAACTCATATCTCACTTCTCCTGT